CCGCGAAGACGCACACGCACGGCGTTGCACTGCAGATACAAAGCCCAACGTCGGGCGCCTGTACCGATACTCTGGCACGGACTCAGCAGATTTCACTCTTGCCACCAGGGTTGCCTGGTTGGATTAGTTCAGTTGATTTTTAACCCGGCCGGACCCAACTTTAAATACTTGCTTTCATCCTCAGACTCGCTGTCTCCTTCCGGGAGAAAGCCGTCGCAAGGGCCTCGGCCTCTCGGTCGGCCTCTCGGTATCAATCGGAGCCCCCCGATGCTATTTGTCGTGGTGGTTTCTGCCCTCTGTCTACCGGATGAATTGCGATGGCATCTGGATTTGTAAAGAATATGGCCATGCAGGCTCTACACACGAGCTTACCAGACTTACAATGATGAGCCTTCACCACGACGATCAATCCTTCACCCAGGCGGCGCAGTTTCACCCTGTCTTGACAGGCATTTTGCTACAGCATCAGCACTGTTTCTGCATTCGGAAGGCGTCTCGTCAAATGCACGCTTGGAGGTGCCACTGCCTCCAAATTGCCAAGATCCGAAAACGAGCTCGGCGATCAGATGGGATTGGGTTCTTGAGTCGGGGGTTTTAAGACCTCGACCGGGGTGGCGCGCCAGACGCGTCTTGGAGACGCGTTCTTCCGCAGGCGACCCTATCACCTTAAGCCTGGCTTTTAGTGCATGCGTGCGCGGGAGCTGACCGGAAGCAGGGATACTAGCCAAGCTGCAGCTCCAAGCTGTGACTGCAGAAGGCTGCCGATGGGCTGATTCCTGACTGAGCGACACCCACTGCTACACAAAGTCCGGGCCGAAATGGACGGTGGACAAGCCCTTCACTGAAAGGAACCAACGAGAGCATGGCAATTTTTTTTTTCGACGCCCGTCGACGAAGCTCACGTCACGCGCAAGACGCGAGCTCACGCCCCGCCCGTGTCTACCTCGAACCGGATCTGCGGTAACCTAACCCCAAATCCTCGGACGGCATTGCCACTCGGGCTCAGTCCAGCATTTGATGAGCATCAGACGCCGTCTCAGGACCCTGTGCGATCTTGAGCCGAGCCACTTCCCGCCTGGCCCCCGTCATACCCGAGGACTCGACACCATGTCCTGAGGCTCGAGGAGCGTTTGCTTTGCTTTGCCTACCGGCCGTGCTCTGACGTCAAATTTCTCATATGCGCGCCAGAGCCGTATGTGAATTGCTTGCTGCTATTCGTCAACGGCCTCTCCTTGGGACGCGGTAGTGCCGACCAATGATATCTGACGATCACTTGTCCTTTTTTTTTTCTTGGTCGCAAACTCTGAGCTCACTTCGAAGTCGATAGCCTTGGGTTAGATGATGCCCAAGCATGTCATCTCTTGGGTTTCTGTCTGCAATTGTACTGGTCTTCTCTCTCAAGTGAGGGGATTAGACCCCTGGCTTAGTGTCGGCATCAAAAAAGGAACACGAGATCAGTCAAGTTCTGTCTTCACTGGACAGATCGTCGTACAGTGTCCGCCACGACCACCAGAATAGGCCCGACGTGGTGAGATGGTTCCCCGCGGCGCGATGATTAAGAGACGCTGGCCATCGAAACAGGTTCCCAAGCCTGGGGACACACAATGAAGTATGTCAAAGGGTGCGATAAGCGGGATACACGACCTGCAGAGCCATCCTCTATTCCTGGGCTCCTGATGCAAGGGATTATTTGACCGGATCACCAATTAACTAGCTATCCACACAAGCTTGGCCCTATTTATGGTGTATAATTACGTTACCGAAAATTCAGGCGCAGGATTCCTTACGTACGAGATGCTATGCAGTCATTCTGCGTGATGATGTCGTTCTGTCAAGGCACAGCAAATACCGGGCAAGTTTGCAGCCTTGCAAACCCCTGCCTTTGCATTGTTGGCACACGGCCAGTGCAGCCAGCAACCGAGTCTGGGCTAGACGGGTTCCCGAACGGGAAATCCGTCAGACGAGCGGCCGAGCACTGGGGCGCAAACATGTTGGCGATCCTGTTCCTGGCGTCGCGGACAAATCGTAACCGCGGACTAGAGCTGCATGTGAGAAATTGGAATCACATCGTCCGCGCAGTTGGGAGTAGCTCGAAAGGCAAAACATCAGATGCGCGACGTATTCCACCAGTCCAAGACGGTGTCATAACCAATCATCCCGCCGTGCCCGCTGTGAACCCCTCATCGAGAGTCGCAGCTTGCCTGGTAGCCCGACAAGGGTAGTAAGGCTCAAATTCACAATCGAGGCGTTCCTCTCTGCTGGTCGGGTGCTACCATTTACCGTCCAGTTGGTCGCCTTTCGAAACAAACTCAGGAACAGCCACAGGAAAATTTTGCTTTCCCAGGTAGCCAGGGCGGGCACAACATCACACCAATTCTTCCGCGCCGAGCGTCGCAGTGAGAGGGGAGCGGGCAGCAACGTCTGTTCGCCGGCTGTTGAATCCGGCCAGGTCATTGGAGAATGGCCGTAGCGTCTAGCTATTCGCGCTCGCCACTGTCACAAGCTGTTTTGTTCGCGTATTTTTATTTTCATTTAATTGTTACGCGTGTCTAGCCTCTCAGCTGGAAGAATAGCAATTGGCAGATAGCGTGTGAAGACACTATCGAAACAAAACATGCCTTTGGAACCACTTGAACACAACCTGACAACGCACCTGTCCAGCATGTTCAGCTCCAGGCGGGCTGCCGCTAATTCGAATCGAGCTTTACACGCTTTCTGCAAAACCACTTTACGCGTTGAGCCACGTCCTCCAAGCAGGCTAATTAACCCCCACGAGCTACGGCAATCTCCCGTCAGCTGGGATGCTCGATCTCTAAGGCGGCGCTGTATGCATCCGCCTCGACCAACCAGGCCTTCTCACTCGCTCCCGCCACGCTCCCGCTGCCCGCGACTCCAGAAGAGCTCATTTCCCGGCCGCGCAGGACCAACCGGCTGAGAGGGCCTCGAAGACGGATGGCATTTTGGCGGATCGGCTAGCAGCAACCATTATCTCGGCGGCGCACGCCCGGTCCCTGACGCAAGTGCGCTGGGCGGGCTCTCGTCCCTGGCCCGGGCATGAACCTTCATCTCGTAGGCGCGATGTCGAAATAGATCTCTCGCCTGCGATAGGAGCGTGCGTGAGCTGTGAGGAAGCTTGGATCCCGGGATGGCCCCTCCCGCTCCTACGGGACCGTCTCTTTACGTGCAGGACGGGTCAAAATTCGCATCATGCGGCGCCAAACCCATCTATCAGTCTCTGCCCCCAGGCCCAATGCTCCTCGCCGCGATGCAACGTCCCGCGCTTGGGACAACCCTGTGGCATCTTCCCGTTGGAGACAGTTGGCGGCCCCTTGATGGTAGCTTCGTCGCCGGGTTCAATGCTAGGCTCATTGGCAAAGGGTTCGTCTTGCATATGCCGGGTTGATCGTCGTCGAGCTGATCCAGATGATCGACTTTGCAGAGCGCCAGTGGGAGGGCTGTTCCTGGCCATCTGTGAAGCCTGAATGCTGCTTGTTCGGATCCATGGATCTTGGTAGTATGCCACCGCCGCCGTGGCGTTGGGCTGAGCCCTTTTTGTGCTTAATGATGTTGTCCTATACGTGGAATCTTTGTCTGCTTCTCGATGGACAATCCTTCTTCAGCGCTATGCCTGGGAGATCATAGTGTTCTGACCCGGTCCTAGCCCAGTGGTTTCTCTCATGTTCAGATGAGTGAGCTCATCAGCCAGGGTGCCGCTCAGCTCGATGACCCTGACGTACGTAACTGGTGTTGAGATAGAGATCTCTGGCATCGTTCGCGCAATTAGACGGTAGCGTCCCAGTATCCGTTCATGCGAAGGGCACGTTGTCTTAGAGGAGGGCTCTCTACCACTGCCGTGAGACATGCCTCGGTCATCACCGCCGGTTTGGCACATGTCGCCCAGCGTCTGTTCGTCCACACCTGCTTCATGTCGATGAGTTTGTCTTGGAGCGAGGCTGCAGTTCGCATTTGAAGAGGCAATGCCGTGCTGGTCAAGTATCAATCGCATAATATATATCTAGGGCAGCCCTTGAAAGAGTGTGACAAGGCTATTCACACAATATGGCATCAAAGATCAGTTCCGACAGACCAAATGCAGCCTGGCGAGTGCCAGCGCTGGGACAGTTCTTACCTGTCATCTTTTGAAGGCGGGGCTTCCGAGGGTGTGTTTTCCCAGCGGAATGGGTGTCCAGATCAATTTGCTCTGGATGTCTCACACACACCAGGCCGAACCACGCGGCGTTGGCGGATAAGACGAGAAGACACCCACACAGACGGGGTGACGATGCCGTCCACACATGCCCGAGACATATCATTTAAGATGTGTCGGATGCGAGGGGCATTTGACTGAGACAGCCCTCACGCGAACCAGAATTCTGAGGGTCTTAAAGAGGGTGTGCCGGCTGGCTGGATCCTGCAAGGTTCCCGCAGACCACTAACTTTTGCGTGCCAACACCCGAGCCGTCTCGTCGGCCACCTGCGCATCCTTTTAGACATCGCCAAGGCACGTATGGAATGGGTGGTGAGTCTTTGCATGGCTATCAAGCACAGCTGGGGGCTTTCGTTGGACTGGTAGTGGACGTGAGTCAGACAAACAGACAGACCGATGACCCCTTGAAGCTCTTGGGTTGGCCAGCTCACGTATGCCTTGAACAAGATAGAGCAGTGAGGCTGAGGCGCTCAAATATAAGTCTTCAGGCCATTCGTTCAAGCTACAAAGCATTCCCTTGTTGAGCTCCTCTGACATATGCAGCCAGGGGGAGCAACGCACGACGAACATGGAAACGACATATGAGCTGTGGCTCGAATCGATGATACCAAGTCAAAGCAGGTCGAAGTCTGAGTTCTTGACCAACAAGTGTTGGGAGACACTTGCTCTCAAAGGCGATGGATTTGATTCTTGTTTGGACATAGGGAAGCTTACGAGGATACCATTCGGCATCTGTGCTCAGCCCGGAGCTGGATGCTCCCTTGAAAATGGCATGCAAGGACGGCTCTCTTGTTCATTCGACATACTCTATTAGCTTCCGCCTCCTTCTATCATGATGGTTCTCTATCTTGCAAGTCTCTATAATCGTTCCATCAGGGCGGAATAAAGTGACTCTTGAAGTGCCTCGCGCTCCGTCGGAATCAACTTCTTCCTCAATCAATTTCCGCCCTCCAATCCGCATCTGATGCTCAAAAACGATCTTGCTTGGGTTCTTGGCCTGGAGCCTCTTGAACAGCGTCTCCCTAGGCTCGCCCAACTGAGGTTTCATGAACGGGTCATACCTCAGCCCACCTGGGATCCGCTGCATGCCCAGGATGTCGCCTCTCTCATCACCCATACAGGCCCTGTCCATCCCCGGCGCAAAGGACATGTAGTATGCCAGGAAAGGAAACAGACCAGACAACCTCTCGCCGCTGTACCCGGACGGCGGTTTGAGCTTCCAGTCGAGCTTGACGACACATGTTGGAAAGAGATCTTGATTGTGAGGGTCGTCTTTGTCGAGCTGGACTCCTGCCAGGAGTTCAAAGATCTTCAGCTTCGACGTCCGCCCGTTGGCACCGTGAATGGTTGCCACAGTGGCCGCGTTCATGTCGGCAGTCCTGAATCCTAGGGACACGAGGTCCTCATGGTACAGAATGGGAGTCTCGCAGCCACTGTCGAGCAACATCTCGAAGAAGTGCGTCTGTCCAGCAGTAGCCTCAGCACGCACTCGCGCCGTACTTGCGTTCTTGGAGAAGAGCTCTGGCCCAAGTTCGGCCTTGCTAAGAATAGCTCCTTTGGCTGCCTTTTCGTTGCGCGATGAAGGCAATGACCTTGAATCATATGCATCACCAACTTGGTCCCTGGCTTTCTTCAACAGCTCGATATCGCTCTCACCATCATCAACCAGCACCCACTTTCTTTTCATCGCGCTCGGCTTTTTGGTATTGCCCTGCCCTGCATTCGAAAAATGTGCTCGAATTTCGTCCATCCGACAAGTCAGGGCGCTGTCCTTCCGAAAACACATGGGCACACGGAAATGACACTGGTCATCTCGGAATTGTACATCGGGGTCATTGTGTCTCGTGACATCAAGAAAAAGTGCCTTCTTCGCGTTCAGATTGTCCCTTCCGCTGGCCAGCGGCGGCTCCCACCAGAGGAAACCGGGGCCATGCTGCTCGAAATACCGGTCCAGGCGATCCTTCCGGTCAACCGTGAACTCGGCCCATGTCCGACAGGCTGTGTCGACTATGTGACCCGCGAAGATCAGTGTATAGGTGGAGGAACACTCGATGGTTCCCTCCTGATATCCCCGGATTGCAGCCGAGATGTTGGCTCTCATAGGTTCGCATTCGGGTTCTGTACTCTGAGCGAGTGTCTCGTGAAGAACGGCAAGGCGGGATTGCACACGCTCTTTTTTGAAAGCCTGGGTCTCGTTTCGGGGGACATCGTCTTCCGGGTCAGCCCTGGCACAACTGTCCTCGTACTCCCTCCTTGCATCCATGCGTCGCTCATCGAGTACTTCTAACTGGAAGTCTTTCGATGTTTGCTTCCGGTGGTGTTGATAAATGTGTTCCCACTGCAGCATGTTCCTGCGCGCGACTTCCTTCATACTTGGGTTGCCGGCATCGATAGACGAGGATCCTATCACCAATGAAGGCTGCCACCCGACGTCCTTTTTGACGTCTGAAGTAGGTCCGGCGTGGCCACGAGACGATATTGTGGTAAAATCCTCAACATCTGACGGTGCGTCTTCTTGCTCAGAGGCCTCTACTACTGGTTCCTTCCCCCTTACTTTCGACTTGACAGAGGACTGACCTTGCCGCCCCAGGGACTCTGCTATGGTAGGATACTTGCCGGGTTGGTACGCCTTGACAGACTCCGTGGCTGGACGGCCATCTTCGTCTGGCCTGTCATGGGGTGGCCGGACAATTTGAAGCCGAGATCGGAGCTGTTGCACGCGTTCTTCCAGTCTTTTTTGATGTTTCCCATGAGGATCTCTGCGATCCATGTTCGCCAAAATTGATCAAGACCGATTCACCACAATGTCTCCTTCATACGGGGGACATGACAGACGGGGACATGCTAATACCCCATATCTGATGGCCTGCTTTCCATGGAGTTCTGTACTGCATTCGATCACAGCCGCGCCATCGAGGTGTATTTCGGAACAAAGACTCGACGCTTCCAGCACATGCCATATTAGCAGCACCTTTCAATCGCAACAGTGTTACAGCTCGGGACCACCATGTTGGTTTTGTTCGAGGCCATCCGAAAGCGTCGATTGCAGCCTTCTCGCTTTTTTCTGCCAAGGTTCTTTATTGTTGTGCTCCTTTTGGCCGAGAATGGGAATACCACCTCGGTATCTGCAGCGCGGCTGGAATGAAGCCCAAGTCGACGTTCCGCCGCCACTTCCTGGACGTCCTCTAAGAGACCGGATTCAATGTCCATCTGCCTAGGCAGAGAATACAACATGATCATTGTTCTCGCAATGCATGCAAGCGTTCAAAGTGCGCAACCAGATAATATGTCTATTGGAAGGGTTGTCCCAACTCGTGAGAGATTGTTTCCTACCTTTCTCCTGCTTTTCTTTCTTTTTGCCCGCGCAAGTGGGCAGGCCACAGTTTCCCGCCTGGCTGCCTCATCCTTTTGAGACCACGACGGCGCACCCCAGATCGTGCATGACTCTTGGATGATTAGCGCCTCTGCCTGAAACTATCAGTCGTGTATTGAGTAGCCAGATCTCTGGCCGTCGCCCAAGATGTCGTCGATGGTACTCGTTCCACTTGACGATGCATTCGTGGCGCGTCTTCGGCACCGCATCCAAAATGAATCTCACCTCTTGTCTGACACGGCATTGAATTACTGGCGAGACCTCCTGCAACACTTCAATGGCAGATCAGACTATGAAATCAGGGCATACATCGCGGAGAACTTCAGGCAAAACCGCTGGAGAGGCGACGAGCAATGGTTCCTCGACCAGTACATTCAAGGGCTGTTTAGAGGGTATGACCGAGCTGCATTTGATGCGTCGAACATACCTGCGCTTGACATCCAAGCTCGAGATGCCTACAACCCCAGCAATACGGTTCGTGAATAATTACTTGTCTCATATTCTGTGGACAAGGGCCCTGCAGGGTGGAAATTGCTGCCTTGTTGGTCATGGTGTGCTCTTTCACAATCTTAAAATGTGTACTGACAATGCACTTTCCTCACAGTTTGGGCGCGGCCCCTTGTTCCCTTCACAGCCTACTGCCAACGCGGGCCAGGCAGAGCTCAACCACCAACAATTCATAGCATTGCCTCCTGAGCAGCGGCAGCATTATCAACTCACCAGCGTCTTCGGCGGTAATCGATACCAACGTGTACCAAATACAAACACGATACCTACGGGAGGCCCCTCAGGACAACAGATTGGTACCGCACAGCAAACTCAGCCTACTTTACCCCCGCCACGATACGACGACACCATTGCTGCCGACGCGCTCATCGATGACGGACCCGGTGACCAGGGCATACCAGTCGACTCATCGTCAGGACCAGGCCAAAACCCACAGGCGAGTACACCAGCAAACCAATCTCAGCGGAATCCCACCACGCCATTCTCAACAGTGCCAACTAGTGGAACCCAGCCAGGAGGCCTGGGAGGCGGCGGAATCGTGGACTACCCGGCACTGCCAACGTCGAGCCCCCAAATTCCATCAACAGGCAGCGGAGATGGCACCGTCAGGTACCCCGACTTGCCATCATTGAGCCCTCAAATCCCAACAGCGGGCGGAACGCCGCCAGCAACAGGCTCTGGAATCCCAGCAACGGGCTCGACGCCACTAGGAACTGTTCCTGGAACTACATTAGCAGGCCCGACACCGCCAACAACAGGCAGCGGAGATGGCACCGTCAGATACCCCGACTTGCCATCATTGAGCACTCAAATCCCAGCAGCGGGCGGAACGTCACCAGGAACTGTTCCTGGAACTACATTAGCAGGCCCGACGCCGCCAACAACGGGCCAGAGAATTCCAACAACAAGCCCAGCGTTACCAGGAACTGTTCCTGGAACTACAACGGCAGGCCAAACACCACCAAGAACAGGCCCCAGAATTCCGACGGGCCTGACGCCACCCATGACAGTTCCTGGAACTACGGCAGCAGGCCCAACGCCGCCAGCAACAGGCCTTGGAATTTCAGGATTGGGCTCGATCCTGCCAGGTACAGGCCCTGGACTCCCAACAGCGGGTTCGACGCCGCCGGGGACAGGCCCCGTATTCCCACCAGTTGGCCCCGTGGTTCCACCAGACGGTCCCGTACTCCCACCAGGACCGGACGCCGACAACCATCATGATTTCCGTAACCAGAGGCAACCGTCCATCGCCGTGCGCCTCAGGCATGCGATCAACTACCTCAACGATGCGGACATCGACCGGGACATGCATTTTGAGCGGCGCATCAATGAGCTGGAGCTGTATTTCAATTACCTACTGAACGACTATCAACCTGCCATAAGCCCAGAGACGCGGGAACTGGTCCATCAGGGGCTCGAGAAATTACAGGCGCACCAGCTCTATAATAAGACCAAATACGGGCCGCAAACCCCCAACACGGTTATCACCGCGGACATGATCCCTGGGCGCCAGCCCAGGCTCAAGTACGACGGCAAGCTGCCCCTAATCCTTGGTCGGGACCGCAACGACAATCAGAACCTGCTGCCGCATGACTTCCCCACCCACCCGCGGGCGGAGACGATCGTCAATGACACATGGCTCACGGATGTCGAGCAGCGAGCCGGGCTTGACGGGCCAAGGCGGGATGACGGAGTGACGGCACTTGCGCAGGACGAAGACGCGTGGTGGCAGCTTGGTCCAAACCAGGTTCCTGGCCCGGGCAACACGTCGTACACGCAGAACCAGACATTTGAGGACTGTATCGCCAGTGATGGCATCGGCTTCGACGGGTGGGTGGACACCCAGCTCCAAGCTGATGGGGTCTCTCTCACCAGGTCGCTCTGGAACGGCGAGGTGCTTGGGAACGACAGGGAGTCCTACGCAAAGGAGAGGGCGGTCCGCCGCGCCGGTCTCCAGGCTGCGCTGCGGCAGTTCAGCAACGTCGAGAACCGGGTTGCCAATACCCCGTGGCGCCGTGTACGCCTGCCCCTCTCGGCGGCGGAGATCGACATCATGCGCAAGAACACCGGCGCCGGGCCGACACGCAAGTACGAACTTCCAAAGGTAGCCGACCACCAGCTCCAGAGGACGGACGGCAAGGACGACCCTCAGGGGTTCACAGTGAACATGGCGCAGTTCTGGAGGAAACAGAATAGGCATATGGCGCAAGCGCGCGACAATATCCTCAGCCGCATGGGCTACGGTCTTCCCGGAGCGGGTGACGGTACTATAGAGGTGCCGGATGTGATGCCGCCCAGGTCGATTTGGGGCGCATATGTCGAAAATGGGCTTGGCCATCAGGACCAGTACCATCGGGAGATGCTGAGTCAAATGAGAACTACGAAGAAGCTGTTTGACCGGGAATTGAGAATTGCTCCCCGGAACCTCCTCAGGCACATGAAGATCCTGTACGAACAGGGCTTCAGGGACGAGGATGACGTCTTCACCGATGTCGTTACGGGTGCGCGAAGGACGCCCCAGGCTAATGCACAGAGAGACGTAGGCCTAGAGGACGGTAGGTCTGTGCCGAGGGACCTTGACAAGATGGAAATCTACTGGATCCGGTTTCTACTCACCCAATCCATCACGCCGCAGATGACAGAACAGCTGCAGCCTCGCGCATCACTGTTTATATTGTTCGCCGACAAGCTGGCAAGCATCTTCAACGACGTCTCGGACCCGCTGTTCCCATGCAACGGGACCAAGGTCAGCGTCGAGGACCTCCTGGAACACATCCACAAGAAGAGAGACGGCCCGGTCGACAGGATCAAGTTCTATGTCCACGACGTGCAAATGTGGTTGGAGCGACTGCACAGCCAGGGCCGCTGCCGTTACCAGGAGGACTGGCGGTGTTATGGCTGGGTAATGCGTCCCGTTCCCACCTGCCATCCAGAGCAGCTCATCAGATGGACGGTGCCTAACAATGTCCAACTTCTTCGCCCCGACTTGGTGGATGAAGACATGTCCATTGCACCTCGGTTCCGCCACCTGCGGAATTGGCATTCGCTTGTCGGAAGGGGCCTGCAAGATAGTCCGCTGCACCCGGAAGTCGAAAACTACTTCCTCTGCCTCGCCTATCGCTGGGGCTCCTACATGCTGAAGCTGACAGGCGAAGGCGGCCTGGAGCAGCAGTGGAAGGCACGGCCGGCCAGGGCGAGTTGGGATATGAGGCAAGCCATTGGTAGCTTGAAGACAGAATTCGAAAGGGTTAGCCGGTGGGGTCTGTATTGGGACGGCATCGGTGGGGAGGATGTCTTTAGCAGTCCCTTCCTGACGATCGTCAGCCAAACCGCACCGGGCCGGACGGAACGAGACCCACGGACTCAGGACGAGGCACTTCAGATCATCCGCGACCAAATCATCAAGGAGGCCGTGCAGAACGACAGCATGCTCTGGCCCGGGCGCAATGCGAACGACTTCACAGACAACGCCGACGAGAAGGTGCGGCCGCCCATCTGGAGCTGGGCCAGGACGGCGGTCCGCGGCAATGTCAAGAGGTTCTTCAGCATCAACCGGTGGCCGCTGCAGTTACAGACGTCGGCGAGGCAGAGAATATTGACGGACGACGCGGACATCAACGTGGACTTCATCTGGAAGCCCGAGCTTGAGGACCCGACGCCGGCCAAGTACTACCGGCCCAAGGCCAGGCCGTACGTCGACGAAAAGGTCCGCTTCAAGCCAGGCCACAGGAACTTCCTGATCGGTGACACGCCTCATCAGAAGCAGGTAGTGATAGACCGGATGTTTGCACAAATGGGTAGAGGTAAGATATCCCCCCAACCCCCTACTTCGTCCTCGACCCCTAGTCCCCTAATGAATTTGTGGATGAGGAGCAAGCTTTTGAATGTGATGTGCTGACCTTGAAATCTCGTTGTAGCCATGGGCCTTGTCAGAGATCCAGATGCAGCGCAAGGGGCAGCAGCACAAGGGGGAGCAGCACAGGGGTCACTATGGCAGCCACCTGGCTTCGTTGAGAGGTGGTCAAATTATCTGCTAAGCCGTTTTGATGAGGAAGACCCCAGGCGCTTCCAGGCGCCAGGATCGAAGCTGCGCAAGTTCAACCGACGGGACATCCCCAAGAGTTACGACCCTCGTAAGAGAAAGGCGGAACAGGATGCTCGGGACCAGGCTGCCAATCAGGTGCGAAGAGGCGAAGGGGCAGCAGACGTGGGCGCGGCGCGGCAGAGACAAGATGGAGGGGGGGCGCCTGCAGCACCGGCCGACGGTGATCGTCCAACATGGTTGGATTATGCAGCGATGGCAACCGCCATTTGATAGGTCTGGTCATTGGTAGACCTGGTTGTTGATAGACAAGTCGTGCGGCGCATAAGAGGAGCTCTGATCCGGAGGGCTGTCTGTTTCCGTCGGAATGAGCTGGTTTTCGGTTGTCTGTAGCAATGTTCTGCCTCTTAATGTTGATATTGCATCAATTTAATGTTGTTGTTGCCAAAGCTGGTGGCTTGAGAACATGGATCCCGAGAGCGTGTGACCTCCGGGTGTTGATGTCTCGATTTCAATGAAGGGGCCAGGTTATTATCTGATAAGTAAGAGGCCAGCATTGGTCCTTGACAAATGAGTACTGAGTCCAGCTGCACTGTGGATGTTGACATTGATGATGGTCTGGGAGGAGACGAGTCGAGGTTGGGGCAGCGCGGCGCGGCGTACACTCAGTAAGAGAAGCGTAGTACTCTGCTGACGTTGCCCAGGCCAGTTGGCACGAGTCAGTGTTAGTATTGAACCTTCCAACGGCAGGGCAGTTTGGGACCCTGCAACGAACGCTTCTCCCCTGCCGAAGCAGCCAAACTGTTACTTGAGTGCATTTCTAACCGGCAGTCGCCCGGCAAAGCTCAGAGGTCTCTCCATCTCCATCTCCATCTCCATCTCATCTCCATCTCCACCTCATATTCGTCTCCAACATCGCTGCCTCAATCAAGAACCATTCCGTGCCATACAGCCAGTCCCAATAATGACGCTGATGCTGTCTCTTTCTTTGCCCCCATGGAGGTGCCTTACTTACCCCGCAGACACCCCATGTCCGCCCCCAAACCCAATCATGCCCTGCCCGAGGCAACACATTTTCCTTGCGATTCAATCAATTCAAGATCGTTGTATTGTTTTTATGTTCATGGAATGATTATGGTCCACGCAGGCATGGGTAGACTAAATGGGTTTGTATCAATAAATACGTATTCTCCTGATAAGCCACCGTACCACCCATCGCCCGACTTCCGGGGACAATCCAAGATAAACATAGGCTCGCCCCATCCTTCTTCAATTAATCATGCGGGAGGGATGTGCGATCTGCCGGCGCGATAAGAAGCCTTGTATGCTCCGATCCCTTCCTCCGACTAACCCCCATGGTGATGTTGTGTGACGCGCCAATAAATAAATACATTCCCCGAAACCTACCGTCTTACACTCCCCATGACTGCTCCCCTCCCCTCTCTTTCAATCAACACCTCCATGGTCCCGACAGCACTCCGCCATGTCTGACATCGAGAAGTCTCCCGAAAAGGACATCGCCACGTCCGGCAACGACGAGAAGGCCGGCGCCATCCTCAAGCACGCCGACCGCAACGATGCCGACGAGGCTCTCAAGGTCCTGCAGGGCGAGAATGGCGAGGTCATCGAGCTCACCCCCGAGGACGAGCGCAGGCTGCTGAGGAAGATCGACTGGAACCTCATGCCCCTGCTGTGCTTGGTCTACGGCCTCAATTATCTCGACAAGACCACCGTGTCGTACGCCTCCATCATGGGCCTGAAACAGGACATCGGCCTGTCCGGTCACCAGTACAGCTGGATTGGTTCCATGTTTTATTTCGGCTATCTGTTCTGGGAATATCCTACCAACCGCCTGTTGCAGCGGCTTCCCCTCGGAAAATGGAGCGGCTTCAACGTGATCATGTGGGGCTTGGTTCTCTGCTGCATGGCTGCCACTAAGAACTTCGCGGGTGCCATGACTGTGCGATTCTTCCTCGGTGTTTTTGAAGCCGCCGTCACCCGTATGTATCGCATTTCTCCTAAAATGACTCTTTATTGTTCAGTTCCAGGAACTTCCACGACTTTGTCATCTTGGGCTTTGTTGCAGTTTACTAACAACAAGTAGCTGGCTTTGCACTCTTCACGTCGCAGTGGTATACTACTAAAGAGCAAGGGGCTAGGACCGGTATTTGGTTCTCTTTCAACGGCTGGGGCCAGATCCTCGGCGGATTCGTCGCCTACGGAATTGCAGTTGGAACAGCCAAGCACCCCGTTGCCATTGACTCGTGGCAGCTTCTATTCCTAGTCATCGGGCTGTTCACTGCTTTCATCGGCGTCATTTTCCTGTTTGTAATGCCTGACAATCAGATGAATGCCCGCTTCCTCACAGAGAAGGAGAAGGTCCTTGCTATTGAACGCATCAGGGTAAATCAGCAAGGCGTAGGCAACAAGCACTTTAAGCTCTATCAGTTCAAGGAAGCCTTGACTGATCCAATGGTCTGGGCTTTTGTGTTTTACAGTTTGGTTGCTGATATCCCTAATGGCGGGATAAGTAACTTTTTCAGCCAGCTCATTGTGTCATTCGGCTTCACGAACGAGCAGTCACTACTGCTGGGAACTCCTGGTGGAGCGGTTGAGGTAGGTCTTTTGTCCATGTTTCCTAGCGTCTCAGCCCAGCCAAGAAGCCAAGCTTTTCGAAGCCCACACAAGCTTTTCCAATTCTCCGGGTGGCTTGCTGATATCTCTTGGCAGGTCATTGCCCTCGTCGTCTGCGGTATACTAGGCGACCGCCTCGGCAACCGACTCCTGGTATGCACTTCGGGTATGGTCCTCGCCATCCTAGGCATGCTGCTCATCACCTGTCTCGACAACAATCACAGCATCGGCCGACTCATCGGGTACTACCTCACACAGGCCAGCCCCACGCCCTTTGTCGCCATACTGTCACTCATCTCAACCAACATCGCCGGCTGGACAAAGAAGACCACAGTGGCTGCCATGTTCCTGATCGGATACTGCGTTGGTAACATCATCGGGCCGCAGGTGTTCCAAGAGAAGGACGCTCCGCAGTACAGGCCCGCGGAGATCACCATCGTGGTGTGCTACGTGGTGAGTCTGTTGGATGTCGGCTTCATCTACTGGTGGTGCCGGTACCAGAACAAGAAGAAGGCAGAGGTCAGGGCGCAGCACGGTTACGTCAAGATCGAGGGACAGGAGTTCTACGACCTGACGGATAGGGAGAACCCTGAGTTCATTTACTCTCTGTAAGACCAATACAAGTCACCACAAGGGCACAAGCATACCAAAATTGTCAATGTCTAGTCATTGATTGGTTCTATTACCTGGTTTATTTGACCTGAAATTGAAGGTACCACATTTGACATGCGCCTATCTCAGCCCCGTTCACAGTTGCGGGTGATACAAGATTTTCGTCGTAATTACCACCCTTTAAAAGTCTCAATCATTGCCATTTCTTAGATATTTGTCAGATGGACGGTAAGAATGCTTTGATACTACGCGTACAGATGATCAGTGACCCTAGAATGTCGAGTGCTCTCGAAATTTAAACTCTTTAGGGGTTATGTATAAACGCTCATGGGACACATGGACTTGCTGGGTTTGTCAGTGGATCCTTTTAATTTTTATTTTAGCCCTCCTCTTTATTTTTATTTTATTCAACATTCTGGATAATGACTGAAAGCACGTACATTGCCTAGTGTGACGGCGCTGCGGGCAGGCTCAGTGACTGCAGGTGGGCCATAGCGCACAGACCACCAGCAGCCCCAAGGCTCTCTGATTTTAAGGCCTGACTGCAATCGGAGGCAACCTTGACTCCTGTGACGGCACAGCTATATATAAGATTGAATTGTATTCCAGAAGGTGTTCTGGAACTCTGACCTTTTGTATAAGGAAACAGCCCTAGCCATAGTGCAGCGGTCAAGGCTCTGTCTCTATCCGGAACGACATTACAATGTATAGGAGTTAGTACATAACGACAGCTGTCTAACAACAGCAAGCCCCCTCGGCGATAATCATTTCTCTGTCTAGGTCCAATTGGTCTCTTCTATTTCTCCAATCAATATGTACCTCCAGATATCTATCCGTGTTTAGGGGTGATCCAGCCCTGCAAGTCTTGGTCGCTGGCCTCCTTGACAGAAGTGTTGGTTGGCACATTCACATCCAGGTCGATGAAGAATGGTCGCCGGAACTTAGCTACATAATCCAGTGTACCATTGCCCCCCGTGTCACCAACTTCATACCCAGCAAACGTCAGTACCCAGCTATCGCCGGCACCGATTTTTGCAACAGTTGGTACGCCCGGGGCACGAACTTGATTTCCAACGTAGTGCCACCCGTCATGCTGCGCGTCTGCCTGCAAGAGGTAGTAGACTTCTTTCTGCTTCTCGGATCCCCAGAGTTCATCTGGATTTTCCTTCATGACTTTGCGATATTGCCCGTCATTCTCAGGCAGGAACGTATCAGAGTAGGCCACAGCTAACTTGTACGTTGGGCGATTATAAGCCCCGACCGAATAAGCCATTAGGAACTTTCCATTGATAGCCCTAATATTTCCCGTCTCAATAAGTTTGAAATTATTATCGCTGTGGTTGTGGTAGTTTTCCGAGTTCAATCCTTCGTCAGGAGCGAGTAGGACTGTGGCATTCTGGTTGGGAGTGGCTGGCGTCGTGGGGTCTTTCATAGGCCAAGCGACCACGCCATCACGCTTCAACGGTTTCTTGTGCAGATTCTGCTGATAAACTAGGAACAATTTCCCTTCTGGTGTTCGAAAGTATTTCCCGTCGTAGTTGGCATCGACATTATCAGAGAATGATCCAACAAGAACTTTGTCCCCGGTCCATGCATGCGGTGGTGTGTCAACTGTCGAGCCCGCTGGGGTTGCGTGGACGATGACGCTCCAGCCCTTGAGACCATGACATTCCGTGGAATTTTCCTGAACGTGAAGCGTCACTGCTGCGTCCCACGACTTTTTGTTGTCCGAAACAGTCTGGAAAGGATGAATGCCCGCGACGCCGCAGACTTGAACCTTGGCTTTGTCCAACTCTTGCTGCAGCTCTGTTGTAACGTTCCACTGGATGTTCTGGATGTTTTTGAGTGTAGCACATTTGGGGGTCAATTCTCCATCGCATTCCAGATATTTGTGGGTGGTGCCTGAGATATAGACACGGGTCTCGTTCTTATATGGGACATGATAGGGATCTGAGAAGTATCCTGTATGCTCCTGTTCGTTGACATTGGTCAATGGTTGGATTGTGATATTGGCCTGAGCACGTATATTAAGTGCAAAGGCCAGGAGAATTGTGAATTGAAATAGTATCATTTTGAGATAATTGCGAGATTCTAACTGGTGACAAGTAGGGTGTAAATTTCAGGCAGTCTGTTGTAGAGAGTAGCGTCAAAACTGAAGTTGACTCTCAATTGTTCAAAGAGACTGACCTTGAGTTCAAGCTGCTTAAATATCAAAATGATAGCTGCTGTATTGACATTGGTCAACCGTAGCATTGTCCTGTTCTAGAATTGATCAACGCACGCGTCAAAGATCAACACACTCGCCAGAGGCAAAGTATGGCGGTGTATAGAAAACCGCATCGTGCACTATTCTGTGTAACAGCACTTGCCCGAGATGATGGTCTTCATTGGTTGTGTCTCATTAGGAACCAAAGCTGAAATCCTCGGACTCGACCCACAGCTGTCCACGGGATCTCCAAGGCGAATTGCGGCCATTCATCTTGGTAGTCAGCACGCCAAGCCATGCCACAAGCCGCTCTGACATAATATTCCTACGGAGTTCATGATTAAAGACGCTGTACAAGCATTGCACTAGCGCAATGTCGAGTATTGCCACGCTACTTGTAGCTTGCTAATGATCAGATATTAATAGACATAGATAATGAAATCAGGGATGTACAAAAATTGCCCTCCTACTCATTTTGATGAATTTCCAGTCGAATAAGCAACCAATCACCAGCTCACTGCCACAGTTGAGAAGTTAAGTTGAGATCATTCCATGACCGAAAGTCTGATCGGTGTAACAGAGGTCTGAGAAGTTCTGTCGAGGCGCACCATAATGCATCTATTGGCTAGTCCGAAGTAGGCGCAGCACCGAGGTTCCAAGAGGTAACCTAGGGACATCTAGATACATCGAGCTGATTTAAATTTTATCTATCATCTACCTATCATCACGTCTTTAAAGTGCTGGTCTCTTGTTGTACCTATGAAATGTACAGTGCTGGTGTGATCAAGGTATATCGGCACCAGACGCGCGTCAAGGATTGTATCTTCCGTGTCGTAAACGGCCCGAGGTCATCTCTCCTGTGCGATGTGACAGATTTAGAATCTGTTCTGAAATTTGCTTTGAATAGGCACTTTTTTCTAGCTGTTGAAAATTACTAGATGAGTGTCTATTTTTGAATATTGGGATTAACACTATGGATATGCTCTAAAAAAGAATTCTTAGCCGCGCACAAATCGGAGCGACTTCTAAGTCCCTGTACGGATGTGTCCCACTGGTGCAACCTCCAGAGCAGCACGATCCACATCCTCGAACTGCTGCACAACCCTTCGCATCCGTCTTGTCCCTCCCAAGGACAGCGAGGTCGTGGCTGAGCCCATCCGGTAGAAACTCGTGAAAATGCCAAGCAAATATTTCAGCTTCGAAGAGCTGATCGATCTCTTCCAGGTCTCGGCCCTGTTCCTCTATCAGCTCATGCTACACTCAAAGCAGTTCCTTCACGAGCTTAAGCATCCAGGTTCAACGGTGACTGGCACGTGAAAGAATTGACTTGGGGATTTTCAAATGCGTCGATCATGCCTAGTCCAAAGGTTAGCGTGACAATGACAAAAAAGCCTACAAACTCGGCTACGACGTACCTTCAATCGCAGCGTAGAGGCCGAGCCCAGCTGTGGCCCAGGCCCCGATGGCATATAGCACGTGCAAGATATTTAGATACCATCTACCCCGGAAGAATCCTCTCACCCAGCGCCTGATGCCATAGTCTTTGCGCACCACGACCCCAGTCGCCGGATCGAAGCCCTCTCCATCGGTCATGGCATTCAAGTGGATGTCGTACGCTAGAGCAATCATGGGAGGAAAGCAGTAAGTGAACTCGAGGAGGGTAGCCGACGCGATGACGGAGACGAAACCGAAGTAGTCCGGGATGGCGGCCGCGATGATGTAGGCGATGGACCACCAGATAGGCACGATGATGGCGTAGACGATTTTCCCCGACTTGGTGGTTAGGGGTGGTGCCGAGAAGAGATCCATCAGGACGTTATTGTAAAGAACCTTGATGCCGATGTTTCCGTATAGCGCAGCGGCGATGAGGCCACTGACAAAGGCGATCATGTTGCCCGCGGTCTGCAGGCCGTAGATGGATACGCCTTGGTAGGAGATCTGGTAAGAGTACTGTCCTTGCCAGTAGTAGACGTAGCAGCCGTAGATCACTAGTAGTAACGGATGTTAGTCTCGTATGTTAGTTCAGAAGAAGTGGGCTTGTCTCTTGGCGAGAACTTGGCGAACTTGGCAAAAAATAAGGTTCTCACTATAAACACTGTAAATAAAGAATTGCGCCCCCCACATGGCTTTTAAAAAGTCATAGGGCCTGCGCATCTCGGCCATGAACTCGACAAACAGCTGAGCTCCACCATAGGCCAAGACACCCGACATGAGACCATTCAGAGATCCTACCAGGCTGCCAGCATCTGGCAAGTAGCTGTAGTGCTTGACCGGCGGGTAGTTCCCATTACCATCCGGTGTAATCGAGTCCGGATCAACAAGCGCACCAGCCGAGCCCAGCACGGAGATGGCAAAGTTAGGCGGGCTATGCGCCATGGTGCCCATCGTGATGAAGATGACAAGCAGATTCAGCCAAATCGCCAGGTTGGCGATCAGCCCGAACCGCCGTAGGGTGCGGACCTGACCGAGGGCAAAGCCCGCCGCGATGAAGATGATGGGACATGCGGCGTAGCAGATACGAAACTTGGACACCTGCGACAGCGCCTGGCCATTCTGGATCGTCACCTGGCCGAGGATGAGCAGCAGAGCCAGCGCCTGCAGAACGTTGAGGATGTGTCGCGACCAGGGGCCAAAGAGACGAAACCCGAGGTCGCCGTAGTTGCGCACCGGGAACTGGTGCGAGTCCAGGCCCAGGAACGTGTACCAGATCAGGTACCCGCTATACCCGGCCATGAACCCGAAGACGCTGTACAGGATAATGCCTGGCATCCAGCCCAGCGTCCCCATTGCGAACCCGACGCCATAGGGCCCCAGGATGTCCGTCGTGATGAGGTAGAAGCACGCGCCCGCCGACGCCGTCCGGAACGCCCGCGACGCGTTGGACCACTCCTCGTCGGTGATCTCGGCGCGGTTGGCGCGGTTGGCAAAGTTGACGTTGTTGCCCGTGATGTCGCCCACGGCAACATCGCTGGGGTCGATTTGCGCCTCGGGCTTCTTACGCAAGATGACCTCGCGCCATATCGATGTCTTCGGCTTGGGCATGGCGCGCTCCTCCTCGCGGGTTTGCAGCGCGTAGTAGTGGTATTCCTCGAAAGTGACGTCCGGGTCGTGCAGCTTGCGCGCTTGCGGTCTGATGTAGCCAGGACCAGGACCGATGGGGCTCGCTAGCCCACTTGTTTTGTTTGGCGAGTCGAGCGGCGGCGGCCGCTTCTCTTCGTCCGAGGCCATGTTGCTGATGTGAACAGTTAGAACGGCAGCTGCCCAGGTGGTGGACCGCAATGTTTCCGCTTCGTGGAGATCGTGAGCGGGAGAACCGGGGGCAAAGAGCCGGGGGAAAAGGACCGGGGGAAAAAGAACAGTACGTGAGTGACAGTGATCCAAGTATCAGACCGTACCCTAGGGTATTAATGGAGAATGCTCTCAACTGCAGAGCCCGGATAGGTCGGCACACGTCAAGTGAACGTAACATCGTGTTTGCGGGTAGTGCTGACGGGAGAAAGCCATCCTGAATCTACTGAAGTGATGAGGTCCGCTAATAAGTCATCAACTGCAGCCCTGCTGGAAGAGTTGTCAACGCTGTTCTGGCCTTGCGTGTGTGTGCTCAAGTGCGGAGAACAATGACAGCTGGACTGTCATCGGCTCAATAGATGCCCGCGAAGGTACCGTATTACACCCGACGCCTATGTGTATCGAGCTGCTCCAGGCATTTGCATGATTTCAACATTCACGGATCTAGGTATATCAGCAAGCATCAAACCCCCATTTGAAGTAAATTTGCATGGCATTCTGTTTGCAGTTGAACACTTATTCAACCACAATACCAACTACTTTCCAAATTAGGATCCGACGATCCACCGACGAAGATTGCCCTCTTTGGCCACGCACAAATCGGCCTTTGGCGAAGAACCTCTCCGGAGGTATACAGCGTTCCGTTGCCTCGTTTCCACATTGTGGCCACGACGCTGTCGACCGCGACATCCTGCTCCACCCAATTCATCAGAGCAACAAATGCGTCGTACCGAGAATTGTTCTCAAAGCCAGGCACCGACCAACCGTTGCCAAAGCTGAAGTCCTGGACATATCCTGCCTGTCCTCCCCCGGCAAACATCCAGGGCGCGTCGACGGTAGTTTTACTTGGCGTAAAGGCCAGAGGTGATGGCGTGTCCCACTGCGCCACTGTCAATCTCGGCATCTCGACGGTCGGGAGAGGAGGGTTACTCACACAATGCTGCATCCCAGGGACGGCGAAGAAGCGAAAGAAATCCGTAACGTTCACCCCAGACATGGCGCTCTGAGTGCGGTTGTAATACAGCTCCGAGGACTTGAAGGGGATGACACCATCCGCCATCCCGTGATACAGGAAGATCTTGGGATACAAACCCTTGCTGTTGGTTCTCAGCTCAAACCTATCTGCAGTCGCAACGTTGTTCTCTCGTGCCCGTGAGTCCAGTACAGTCGACGAGTTGTAGCTTGTGGTCTGCCAGTCCTGCCCATAATTCAAAAAGTACCGCTCGTAGTCCCCATCGAAGCCGGTCGTGCTCGACCCCGTGAGAAAAGTCGACCACTGGTCTTCGGAGCTGACCTCGAAGCCGTTGTGGACAAAGTCAGCTCCCCCGTCGATGTAGTAGTCGCCGTAGACGAGCTGCGCGATTTCGACTTGCCCACTGCTGAGACACGGGCTCGGGTTGCTCGATGACCCGCACTCAATGTCGTCCCAGTTGATGTGGCAAGTCTCAGGTGAGCTGACGATGCCATCATCGACGCCGTCTTGAGCATCGCACTGGGCTTGCACGAAAGCCGCCAGGGTGCCAAAGTCGGAATCGTTCAGCCTGGTCGCGTTGCTCGCCCGGTTCCAGACGCCGATCTGCGTCACCCAAGGCATGTAGTTCTTGGTGTTCCACGCAGGGGCGCCTATCATGAGACCATCGAAACTGTCAGGGTACTCCTGGATCTCCTTGAGCCCCTGCCTCCCACCCGTGGAGCAGCCGCTGTAGTAAGACCCAGTAACATTCGAGCCATAGAACGCCTCGGTGAGGATCTTGCCGTACGTCACGGCGCCGTGCATTGATACCGAGCCCCACTCCGCCCGCAGCCCCGGGTCAGCAGCCCATGACTGGTTCGCAGCCGCGGAGAGGTGGCCCGTGTCGGTCGTGACCGTTGCCATGCCGTACCATGGCCCCGGGCTCATGTCATGCCAATTGATGCCACCTGCGAAAGAATAGCCGCCCACCACCAGGAATTTCCCGCCCCATTGGTTCGGCAGGAACAGGCCAAGGTTGTAGGACGAGTTGCCCGCGACCACGTTGGCGATGACGGCGCAGAGTGCGGGGAAGTTCCAGGCAAAGGCCGGGTTGTAGCCTGGGTCGTCTGCGGCTGACTGCCCGTAGAGGTTTGTTGCCAAAGACAAGGGAAACAGCGTGGTGTTTGAAATCGATACGCCTGCTGGGAGTGAGCCGAAGCCTTCAGGGGAACAGGACCCCGCGCTGGTCTGCGAGGCTAGGTTCCATGACGCCCACAGGACTGACTGTAAACGCATGATTTGGCCGTAGTTCCATGATGGAAAGGAAAAGACGGTGGTTTTCCGACGTCAGCGATGGTAATCGCTTAAAGAATACAGGCTCTTGGACCCCGCGGCTCTTGAATTCCGCCGTCCCCCTTCCATTACCGGATTGGGAAGTAAATTTTTCTTGGCGGATAATTAGGCTCAACTCTATCCCTTCTTTCTCCCCTCCCCTCCCCTCCCTTTCGCGTCCGAGCACGATTGGACTATTCCGAGTAGATAGGGGGGCGTGAGACGGAGATAATTCGCGGGTGCGTAATACCCGCGAACTGTTTTCGTTGAAGGCCCCCCCGGGGGGGGGAGGGGCTAAGGTCCTTTTTTGAAACGATTAATTCCATTATATTCAATAATCATAGCAATATACGCATATTCATTATAGAATTAGCTAGGACTTACGCAAGCATTGCGTGTAAATCGTAAGCCAAATATATGCACGTGGGAACAGTACACAGCCTCTGGTGGGTAAGGTATAAGTCCAAATTCACTGAGAACGACCACAATCTCCCTCATGGACGCGTGAGGACTTTGATGGGACGCAAGTGAGGGGAAGTTGCTAGACATATCACAAGTCTAGATTCTGAACATACTCTCGCGTCATTAACCTGTCATCAATACGACAAGCTGTGAGCCATTGTGCCTTGAAGCGTTGTCTAGTTCTCGCCTCTTACTGATTTCGGTAGCACTGCCTACCAGTGCCATTGCATGAAGTTATCAAACAGAACACACCCCTCACCTCTGTGAAATCGGAAGAATAAGGCAGAGCAGATATAGTGTTACGAATGCAGACAAAGGAGACCAATAGCCTATCTATGAAACAATTTATCGATAGTCCTCCTCGAGACACCACTTGGTGAGTGAAACCCTTGTACAAGAAACCTTGGAGCACATTATACTCCTTGTTACTCATCCCGCTGATCGGATCAGATCGGCATGCCCAACTCCCTTTGCCTTTGACGTATCGCCTTCCTGAGCCCATCCAGCTGACCTGATAAAGGAACCCTTCCCAACCCCGCAGGCAACTCCAGATAAGAGACTTCATCCTCAATATAGCAGTATATATGTTCCTCAAAGCATCTTTCCAGCCAAATAGGGTATAAAGCCTCGGATTTCAAAATCGTATCGGGCAGGGATCGTTGACCTCGCAGGGTTTCTGCCACTGCCAGGTCCATTCCATCCTCAAGCCGTGCCGTTACAACTTGGAGTATCTCATAGGGTAGCGTTGGGTTGGTTCCAAGTAACCTCACTGCCTCTTCTCTGATGTACCAATCTTCGTCTTCCATCCATGGTACCACGGCTGTGAGAAACGTTTTGGACAAGCCCGGTTGCTTCCGTAATATTTCCATGACGTCCGATCTGACATTCGAATCTGGATTCGTGCGGCAAGCCAACAAAGCTTCCTGGATCCCTCTAGTCAATTCCGTTTGGGAGCGCAGTGCGTTAATTGCCGCCATTCTGACATTAACATCTCTATCCTCAAGCTGTGCTGTCACGACCAAAAGAATATCCTCAGATAATCTCTTTTGACTCGCGAGCGCCTTGGCTGCGTATAGCCTAACAATAGCCCTATCATTTTGACGAAGCTCTGCTGCTATGCGACTAAGGGTATCTTGATCCAAGCTTGGTCGTCCCTCGAGTATTTCCAAAGCGGAACATCTAACCTGCCAACTGTCATTCTCAAGCCGTGTCACCAGCGTAGCTTGCGGGATGTTTTCCGATGATTCCGCTTGATCTGGGAGGAGTTGAAGCGCGAGTCCTCTGATATACGGGTCTTGATCCTTGAGCCGTGCTGCTACAGCCTTAAGGACATCTTCAGGGAAAACCTGCCGACTTCCAAGTGTCTGAAGCGCCTCCAGTGCTGCGCATACGATTTTGTTGTCTTTCTCCTCAAGCTGTGCTGCTATAGCCCGTATAGTATCATTAGGAAGCGGCTGTTGACTCCCAAACTTTCTTAAAGCATCCATCGCCACTTCTCGAATAGCGCCGTCTTGATCATTGAGTTGCGCCTCAACAGCCTTTCGCACGTCGTCGGGAACGGCCCGTTGACGCCAAAGCTCTCCAAGCATCTTCAGCGCCGCTTCTCTAATAGTTCCGTCTTCATCCTCGAGTTGTGCTGCCACAGCCTTGAGGACACCCTCAGGTAATGTACGTTTAGAGCTGAGCGCCTCTAACGCCATCTGTCTGGTAGCTCTGTCTTCCCCAAGCCATGATACCATGACTTGAAAGACATCATCAGAGAATTCTGTCTCAGAAAGCTGTTTATTTCCACATTTGAGCGCTCGTATCGCCTTCTGTCGAATGTTACTGTCCTGAGTTTTGAGCCGTAGCGTTACGGCTTGAAGGATGTTGTCAGGAAGTTGGTCTCTGTGACTGGGAAGTCTGTATTCAGCCATATCATCATCTTGTTCGTGAAGCCGAGCCATCATATCATCGAGTATGGCTCTTGGAAGCTTTGGCTGGTCTTGAAGAACTTCAAAAATCACCAGTCGAATGAATTCATCCTGATCCCTGAGCTGTGCCGCTATTGCCTCAATAACACATTCAGGCAATTTTGACTGGTGGAGGAGCACTTTGAATGCTCCAAACCTGGTAGATGGATCACGATCTTCAAGCCATAAGGCTATAGTCCGAATGATGTCTTTAGGCAGCGTCGACTGGCCCTGGAGCGCTTCCGCTGCTCTTTGTTTGATGTCCGCATCTTGGCTCTCGGCCCGTGCCATCACGTCTCTGAGCACGTCTTCAGGCCAATTGTTTTGAGACCGAAGTGTCCACGCCGCGTACTGTTTCGTCCCCCGATCCTTATCATCCATCCACGGTATCACAGCGTTGAGTGTCGGGCTTGGTAGACGTTCGCGTGAGCCCGAAAGCATTTTCAGAGCAGCATGTCGCAACTGTTGCGAAACGATCCCCTCCAGCCAGCTAGTGACCAACTCTATCGTTTCCAGTGGCAGACTTTGTCGTTTGCTGAGTGAGTCCAGAATTGTCATCTTTACCTCCTCAGAAGCTCGTTCTAAGACAAGGTTCAAGGCTTGTGCTGGAAGTTCCGTTTCGCTGATTAAGCGTGATGTGCTTCGGAAGTTGCATTCGAACTCCACCCATTGTGATAACTGTTCTGCCAGTTCTGTTCGGAGGTCAACCGACTGCACCACTTCGGCCACACAGTGCATGACTAGCCGCTGGTGTGTGGGTCCTAGAAGGTCGACCGGCTCGCTCTCGATTGCCTCAAAGAAGCTAGTGATTTGTGGTATCCCTTCAGCGTCAAGTAGTCCAGCAACGAAGCGCCACATGATGTTGTATCGTGGAGTATACTTGTGTTTCTGAAGGAACTCACGAGGTCTCTGAGGTAAGAAGGGACTTCGACTTTCGATCTTCCCATCGTCTAGTTCTGTATATCGGAGTTCCTGGTCATCTTTCCACGCCTTCACGAAGTGCTTCGCCGAAAAGTACTCTTGGAAAGTCAGGTGTATGAAATGGAAGCTCTGGCGAGAGGAGTTCATTGATGGGTCTGATGTCCGTAGAAAGGAGAGACGCGCAAATGTCTCATCAAGCGACAAGCTCGTCTTATCCTTTTTCACTTGCCGATACAATGCGTTTCGGTGGTACGGTTGGAACTCGATCACGTTGCTGCACAAACCGCTAAAGGCCAAGTATCCAAGATCGTTGTATTCATTCGAGTCGAAAGGATTTGTTTCAGCTGGACATGAATTTCCAATGGTCGGAAACCCATCTTTCTCGAGTCGCTCGTTGTCCTTCTTCCATAACTCCCTTGTCATAGCTTCATAGACGGCAGTCATTGTTTCTGGGATAGCCGTCGAGCTGTTGTTCCATATCGAGCTTGCCTGCCATGTAAAGCAAAGTGCATCCAGCTGAATGGGAATCTGAACAAGGTTTTGCATGATCCGATTCTTTTGCAGGTATGCCTGAATGGCATCCGAGTCCTTGTCATTTGTCATCACCGCTTTGATATACCTCTGGACTTGATCTGGACTGAATCCGATCGTATCCAAGTCGAGATCAAGCGGCTGGAAGCCACGAGGGAACGCAGCATGAGGCCGAGTCGTGATTATAACATTGGGTCTGTTCAACAGTCCTTTTAGAAGTTCGTGCCCTAGATGAGGCGGTCTTTGTCCAGGCTCCATGATGATATGGGTGACTTCATCCAGACCGTCCAACAGAAAAACAGTATCCTGCGCTTTCGTGCCCTCTATGTGGTTCCACATCTGATGACCGAGAGACTTCCCGTTCTCATGTTGCCGGAAAAAGATGTGTTCGAGCATCCCACCAAGGTTGTATCCATTATTGGACAAATATTTCAAGTCCCGCAATCGTACCCACACCACACGCTTGAACAAATCTTGCCACATACCTTTATGAACGAAGTCATGAGCAATCTTTTTGCACAGAGTGGTCTTCCCGACCCCAGCGTGACCTCGTATCAGTATTCTTCTTGGCTTATTCGTGTCCCTATTAGGCATTTTGCGTGGCTGAAAGAGATTCGGTAGCTCTACCCGGAGGCTCTCATGCGGAGTTTCCAGCTTCAGTCGTTCGCTTAAGGAGAATGGTGACAACTGAAGCACTGCCTCTTTGGGAATATCCGCCTGCTTCGTTTCCACGAGCGCTAGGTTGATATAGCACTGGTCCATCTCCAGAGGATCTCCAGAAAGCCGTTCAATCATGAGCCTCTGCTTATCGTAATGTTTGTTACGTATCCAGGCGTCTGCTTGCGCTAGAGGTGTTCCGGTCTGAATCTCGGTGAGGAGTCTCTGGATAGTGTGCACAACTTTCTCATAGTTTGGATCACTCGGTCCCGAAAACTTGTTCATTAGGACGTGGGGCAGGTCGAGTGAGTATCGGTCTGTTGTTGGGACACAGTCCAGTGTCGCAGAATCCATTTCGACGAGCTGCCAAATATGAGTTAGTGAATCAAATGTCCGCGGAATCCAGATTATAGGCCTCCTACCAGTTTCTTCGACAGGGGCAATAACCACGAAACGAATGGAACTTTTCTGCGGAAGAATGTGTACCGTGTCTCATAAAAAGTGTGAACTATGAAAGCCTCCGATTTCTGGTCATTGCGAAGCTTGGTGAACTCGCTCACTAGATGGACAAGATCAAATGTCGGCGAATTCACCCAGCCAAGCAACTTGGTCACTTGTTGGCCCTGGATCGATGCCCAGGCTTTCAGACCCGGCTGCGCCCACCTGGAGATGTCTTTGAAAAAAGTGCCTCGGAACGGTGTCGCTAGAAAGATGATCCCGCGAGTGGCTTCCCGAATAGCAGCATGTGCGCCTTTCGCCTCGACAAGGGCCTTCATCAAGATGACACCTCCGAGGCATGAGGCAATGAAGAGAATCTGTCGGTCTCTCTTTGTATCCGATCCAAGAATTCCTTGGAGAAGGGATACAGCAAGTTCCTCAATCTCAAATGGAACCGAGTCCTCCGTTTCGAATAAATCGGCGGGCCAGTCGCATGTGTAGATGCGAGTGCCCGGAACCTGTGCGGGAAGCATGTCTTGGTCGGCCAGCCAGTTGGTCTTCTGCCCGTCTTCTTTCTTATACTCCCAGGTCTCGGGTGACCTCGTGTCGAGGCCATGAATGGCAATGATGTCAATACCAGTATCAGTCTTGGAGGCATTCTCAGCGGATGGGTTAAGGTGGAGCAACCGGACGCCGCGGTGTCGTTTGACGGCTCCCGCTCGGTATATTGGAGTCGCCATCGTCGTCGGGGAGGCGGGCACGGGCCTCAATAGTAAAATGAGAATAATGGCTGCCGTGCCGGCCAGGAAAGAGATCAGGCCAGCAGACGCCATTGCTTCTGGAGGTCTGGTCGACAAGGAGTGCAAGTGCTATGCGGCAGGACTTCTAGGCAAGGAATCTTTTGGCTAACACCGAAGAAAGCGTGTGCTCGCCGACTACAAATGGTTTCGCACTGACCAGGAGGATTTTCCCAAGAAGGGCCTCCGGCGGTTAACATTCAGTTGCCAGCCGGAGGGCTTTTTGGCGTAGCGGACTGAAGAACAAGCGTAGCGAGGAACAACCCAAAAAAAGCTTGTAAGATAACACTCTAAGCTGGGAATATTTTTTAACTACAGTAAATTTCAAGAATACTAAATTACTAAAGGGAAACTTTTTAAACCCTACCTTATTATATATCATTATTGATAAGGACTGACTAATCCCTGCACGAGAAATATATTGGGCGATTTATAGTAGTAAAGAACGCTCCGCTCAGAGTGTAGCCGTCCTGTTTTCAGCGGCAAAGGAAGTACACGGATGCAAGATTGTGAAACATCTCCTCCAAGGGCATGTTTTCTCAGCTGGCGACAGGGATCCAGGCGCTGGTCCCATGCAGAGATGGAGTCATGTGTTGTAATATGGCTGATGCGTCAACCCGATGTGATACCAATCACGCCAATCTCGGCGACTGTCAGTGAGGAAATGTGTGCCAGTAAGTACCTAACCCAGGCCGAGGCGCAGCTTCACCCGTCCTGAATTGGTTTTAATTTCTGCTGTCTCACCAGGCAGCGGCCAATTACTGATGAACAGGTGGCAGATCAAAACCATCATCCGACCTGCAGCGGCCAGTACTTCTGCAACAGAGAGAAGATGGCGAGGCTACACAAGCTCAACTAGGAGGTCTCAGTGTTCTGAGACTCCCATATAAGGTTGACGATGAATGCTGTCAAGCGACGGTGATGAACACAGGTGAGCTAGCCAGCCAGGCAAAGTTTTTTCTAGGCAAGATTACCAACAGCTCTTAAACGGCCATCCTCTATCCGGTAATAAGGTGTGTCTCTTCGGCAATCTTGAAGTCGCTCTCATGCAGTGCGAGGGCCGCGTACGACAAGGGAAGGCCAAGAGCGAGTTCCAGCCTGGCAATCGCATCTGCAAAGCCCCTCATTCCTCGACACAGTCGAACGTCGTGGCCCCCGACCTGCAAGCCAGATCACCTGTTGAAGCACCTTCCCTGTTCGCCAAAGTCATGCGGCACTGGGTTCACAATAGTTACTCCACCATTGAGTAAAATTCCGCCCGAGCTCACGCCTCGCTATCCGGCAGGGTCCAAGATAGGGGCTTCCGAATGCAGGCTGTTGGGAAATAGCGGCCAGTCGCTGGGTGTCACCAAGAGTCCAGCAGTTGCGAATCCAGGATCACTGAGTCTCTTGCCACTTTCTGACGCCTGCGCTGGCCATGCATTCCAGTCAGTGTCGTACTGTCAGATAGAACAAATAGATCCGTGGTATAAGAAAATGGCTCATAATGTTGAGATGAATCAGAGCCAGCTGCTGTCCGTTCACCCATGGCTCAGCCAATTCGACTCTCCGCATCGAGATGGCATCGCAACTGAACAGCGTAAGTTCGCTATCCTTTATCCGCCCCCATTATGTCAACATATAGTTACAGACAGTCTGAACAGCGCCCACCATTCACGCAACAGCTATTGGGAAACGCCACTAGTCAAGGAAATCAAGTGTTACGAGGTCGAGAGAACAGTCTCACGTCACTCTTGCCTGCATCAAGAAGGACCAAGGACGATGATTTAACAGCGCATACTCCTTCCATCTTTGATCATGCCGGGATCGAAGTTGATGTGCACCAGCTGTCCGGCATTCTCGACTGGGTAGACGAAGAGATCGGCCTCAGCCGCTTAAATGACATCCATGATTGGTTATGGATTGTCGGTCGGCCCATGCCGCCGCGTCCGCTCCACCAGCAGCGCCTCCTGAATCGCGAGATCGTGATAACCGAGAAGCTGGATCTGCACCTCGTATGGACCACCCAGCGCATTTTCGTCAAGCCTTTACCACGGTTTCTCCTTGAGCCTCGCTTTTGGGAAAAATTTCTCTGTTGCTATAGAGTGTCTGTCTCTTGCACATACGCGTGTAGCTGTAAGGACCTGCGGGAACGTGCTCTTAGCCTCCTTTTCTCATACGCTGCCCTCATCGTATATGAAAGCGACTTCCATATTGCCAAGGAAACACATCTTATTCCAGAAGAGGTACTTTGGACGACCTGGAGGACGGCTGTCCGGGAGCTGTTGGATCTATCACCCATCTACGCCTTGATCAACCCACGTTTCCATTACGGGGAGCTCCGCCTCAGCCGACTCGACAAGATTTACTTCTTTTGGAAGACACCACTCCGAGGCTATTTGCCATACTGGAGCCAGTACCGCTTATTCTTTCAGGACAACTTTGGCTGGCTGGCTAGCTCAACCGTTTACATCGCCGTCGTCCTAACGGCCATGCAGGTCGGCCTTGCGACAGAGGCCCTTCAAAGCAACGCAGCTTTCCAGTCAGCATCGTACGGCTTTACCATCTTTTCTATCTTAGGGCCTTTAGGCGCTGCAGGCCTGGTCATAGTCATATTTTGCTACTCGTTCATCGGCAATTGGGTTGCTACACGACAGTACAGCAAGCAAAGGTTGCAACGAATTGAGGGCCGTTGAAGCTGTTCCTCGGCTTGTCTAGCACCCACTGTTTTCTTTCTTCGCGAATGGTACTCTACTTTGGCCGATACGTTCTGAATCGGTGTTTCTTCTTATCCCACTAATTCAGCTATTGGCTAGTTAGATCTATTTTCACAGATGTAGTTTTATCGGTATTGTTTGACATCTAACGCTGGGTCTTTGAGCGTTTACCACTGTGAGGGACCGCGTATAGCTCTGTACGAGCATGTGAACGGCGTGAAAATCGATACCACCTAATTCCCCTCCCCCCCCTTCTTGGATCTCCTGGAAAAGAGATCTGTCATATTCTGTGCCTTGGCGGATACGCTGAAAGCGGACGGCTCTACTGTCATCAAGCCTACCAGCGAAGTGACTTCTCACCACAAAAGTCGCCGAAACAAAACTGGCACATTTCAATCGATATCTCTTTTCTAATATGGTACATTGCCGTTACTTCTCGAATTACGTTTTTGTATGATCGATTTCAACATACGTTCTCAGTACACCGTCGCCCCAGATGGGCTACGGCTGGTCAGATACTGTTTCAAACTTCCGTCAGATGACTCTGGGCCTGATATTGAGTGTGATCCTAGAGTGATGTTTCCATTTATCGATTTCGAGCATGCTAGCCAATTTGTGAAATCGGGCTCGAGTGTTCTGATAGCAATTATAAGCTTGACTATGAAAAAGCGGATAAGATCTGCATTTTCCTCTATCTATGGCTGTATATACTTGTTTTTGAAGCGGTAGTGGATATCATTTAAAATCATTATAACTCAGGTAGCTAGGCTTAGTTGCTCGTCTCTTGAGCTCTACTTAGTGCAAAGAATATGGTACCCACAACTAAGTAGACATGGGCCGGTGTGATCTAACTTTGCGAAAGCCTTCAGGTCGAGACCAAGGGATGATAAAAAGAGCCCAAGGGCAAACTCTTCGGGCGAACCGTCCGAGGCTTATTAGATCGATTGCGAAAGAAGTTGTCGAAAGAAGCTATTATTGAAAAAAGATTGAAAGGACTGGACTGGCACGAGACTGTCGCGGAGTCAGAAAGCCTCTCGTGCTAAAGGCCAGTAGAAGGAGGAGGTCGTAGTACTGAGAGTACCTAAGACTCGAATCGCAAATGCAACCTGAATTGATCTATCTACTCATTGTCTTGGTAGTACTCGAGGCCATGCATGGCCTATAGCGAACGTGAGAGTGTGCGCCGGCAGCAGCAAAATCGGTGGAGAACGTAGGTATATTGCACACGTTGGTATCATTAATGGCTGGCCACCTTGTATTGAACGAAGGGACGGTCTAACTCCAGGTCCTTATTTCCTGCACCTCCGTGCACCAGATATTTAAAGAGAGTAAGAAAGAAAGGCTCGCGGCGAGCATCCTCCTCGTCAACGCTGGCGCGCTTAGTTGGCGTTCTGCTTGTTAGCATTTTGGCCCTTCTGTTGTCCGTTCTGGGCATTTCCATTGGCGTTGGCGTTGGCATTGGCATTGGCATTGGCATTTTCTCCATTAGCATTGCCTCCGTTGCCACCATTTCCAGCGAGAGCTGCGTCAACGTCAATACCGGCTGCCGTCAGAGTGTCCAAGTCCTGTTGATTTCCAGAGTCCGAGATGGCCTGGACTGCCTTTTCAAAGTCGGCACCAGAGTCAGCGGCGCCAGCTGAAAGAAAGAAATTTGTCAGCTTTGATCGTCCAAACTCAAAAATCTTGAATTGATAGGGACTCTTTGAATTCCTCACGTACCATCTCCGTTCTCGGTCAGAAGGATGGCGGCCTCTGCCTTGGCAGCGGCTGCCACGCCGCCTGAGCCATCGTTGGCAGCTGCATTGACATCGTCATTTGCTGCTGCGGCATCTTGGTTGTTGTTGTTTTGGCCCTTATTGTTCTGGCCCTTGTTGTTTTGAGGCAGGGCGACGGCGAAGCCGGCCAAGAGAGTGACGATGGCGAGTGAGAACTTCATTTTGAATAAATATGTACTGGACTAAAGAGAGTCTCCGGGACTGTTGTTTGTGAAGTGAATGAATTGAGCACAGCTAGACCAGAATTAGTTCAGAGTTCGAAATATTCATCGATGCAGAAAGACGGCTCACCTCTTAAAGAATGCAATGGATATGTTAGTTTAGAATAGGGCTGATGGATCCAGAGTTTGGTAGATGTGTCTCCATCGGGATATTTTAAATACCAGGAGGATGAACACATCGTGGCTTGGCCGAGTTTCGCGGCACTTGTCTGATCGACGAATACTCAGGCTGCCAAGGAGTTGTGAACCAGAATCTGAAAGCGACAAGAAGTAGATCACGCGGTGCTTGACTATGCTTGACAATGCTTCGAGAAGTGGCCTCCATCACTGCAATCTTGGCAAAATTGCGGCAGAAACACGGAGAGAAACAAACTTAGCCCCGAGTAGACTTTGTGGTCCACAGATTTACTTTACAATGGCTGATAAACGCCCAGCTGGCCGTCTTGTTGTGTCCACAACAACAGGCAGCAAGCGAGTTGTTACGTGTGCAACTCCTGTTGCAGTCTTCTACCCACGACTGCAGAATGTCGAGATTCTCAGCTTGGATGAGTTCCGGACGATCAGCCCTGCCAGAGCCTGCCAACCGATTTTCGGCCGGTCAGAGATCGGGCAGCGCTCCAGGTTTCATGTTTGATCTGCGGCGTCAGGAGAGCGGGTTGGCACCTCCCGAGCTTTGCCGGCGGCGGCTGGCCCACTGTTGTGGCCCTGGAAGCCTAAGACCCTTCCCGTGCCGAGAGACCCACTCACTGACCTCGTCGTCAGCACGTTACAAATACCAGCGGGGGCCAAGAGGGAATCGCCGACTTTTCTACACTCGTGCTGAGGAAACTCCAGCGATGAGTTGGCAATGCTGAGCATCGTTCTGTTTCAGTCGTCATTTCCTGGATTCCAGCATCAAATTCCCTACCATGCTAAAGAGATCATCAAGAAAAATGGCCTGATCCAAGAGTCAGGAGTCATGGCCTTTTCAACACCTGGTGCAGGACCGCGCTGACCAAAGCTGAACTTACTGCTGACCGGTGAGGCGAGTGGGTGATGCCCCGGAGATCCTACCAGAGTAGGTACTGTATTGAGTCAAACATCCCCGAAACTCTCGGTCTGTTCGTCTACCACGTCCGTGGTAGCGAATACGTCATGTGCATACATACATATATACGATTATACGAGGTTGTCTTCAAACTTCACTCACAAGCACCCGACTTCGAGAAAGTAGGCCACAACGTGTTCTTAAGCTTTCAGTAGACCCTTCTAGCCACGCAGAAACTGTGAAACGATAATCACAGCTGCAGTCGAGGTAACGCACAAAACACAGTTCTCGAAGACCAGGCCGTAATCAAATCTTGTGCTTGAGGACCCTGGAAAACCCTCAAATCTGGCATGGCTTTAAAGGCTCACATATTCAGGAGTTGGTTGTATTGTAATCTTGTACTGGCGCCAGGACCTCCTAGCTTTGCACCTTCAGTGGTGAACATAACTGCTGTATCCCTAACAAAGCCACCACAAACCCCGGGACGAGGTCAGAATATAGGCGCCAAGCTGGTCTCGCATGTCGCTCTGCTCACTCTCGAGAGGCCATCGCATACTTGAGCTTCAGGTCAGGTCAAAGTAGCATTTTGCATGCCCAATCGCCGCCGTTGAAGCCCGAGTAAGTCTAAGAAGTAACGAGTGAGGTGGTAGAGAACTCCAAAATGAGGAGACGACAATAGGGTTTTCGCCAATATTAACACACGGATGCCGCCCACCGTTGGGCGTGTCAGTCGCATGCATCATCGCAACCTTGGGTATCTTCAAGATCGGCTTGCGTTCCTGCCTCATCCTGCATCGATCGCAGCAGTCAGTGCGTTCAGGATGGCTTGGTGATTGGGCCATGGTGGAGTGGTCGTACATATTATTGCGACAGGAACTTGCCATGCCGGGCGTTGGCGATGATGCATTCCGATTGGGTACGCGTGTAATATTAAAGATACAAATTGTGGTGTCCCATTTGGTCTTAAGACGACATGAAAAATCTGTCTGCCCCCAAATCCCGAGAACTCGCGGGACAGACGATGGGATGAAGAGCCAAGTCCCACTGGTTCGAAGACTAATTGATTCCCGGGAGTTCTTGTTTAATTAAACCGTATCTGACACTCAGCCGAGCGTTTCTTTGAGTGTCGTACGTGGGCTTCCTATGTGAACCCACAGTTTCCGAGGCAATGGGTCCTGGATCGCGGGCGTGCAATGTATCTCGCTGGTTAAGAAAGTTCTAACATGCCAGTCACATGTGCCAACCTAGATTTCCGTGGTTCCCCACGATGGGCAGGCATGTTAACTTTCGCTCGGCAAGACTGGCAAACATAAAACTATAAGGTTTTGGCTTTCGGAAACTTCGCATGGAACCTTGCCGTTTTGCATGCACGCACATATGGCATGCATCCGTCCCTGGCCCTGCACGTACGCTGTGGTTCGTCTGCTCAACGCTCATCATTTGAACCTAAACCCTTTTCTTCGCGCTCGGATCCGGTTGCGCCCCAACGGAGATCAGCACAAGAAACTTTGTCGGACTCGGGACCTACGGAGAGGCAGCGAGGCTAACAATGTGACAGATACGACAGTATCATTGTACCACATTACGTCAGTGATATCGCCCTGGGGTCGTGTATGCACCATCCCTGACAAGCTCAATTACAGTTCAGCTGCTTTATTAGAGTGGTGGTCAATGTGGTGGTCAGCACCATTGACAAGACAAGTGAGTGCATCCTCAAGTTTGGGCCGCGCTGCGACCGTCCAGGAGAAGCTTTGCAGCTAGGCGCCGGATCACGTCCGGACGAAAGGGGGAACAGGGACGTCGTGATCGCTTCACCTATCACGTCGTTGTGTGACCTGCACGAAGGGTGTGTGACCTGCACGAGGAGAAAGAGCCTCATCTAATCATCAATTCGTCAAGGGTATGTAGCTAGGTATTATCGTTAGGTAGCATTAACAACATTACAAGTCGGATCTCCTTACTGACGCGTCTTTCGGCCTGGTAACCGGCGACGGCGTGCTCGAGACCGTTACGTCCATTTTCACCTCGATACCTGATACACTCGCTCCTGACTTCGGCTTGCTGACGGAGCGCAAGTGCTGCGGGAAAATCGAAGATTGCCCCTTGTTGTCGGCCATTATGTGTGTGGTGACACCCGTATCATGATCCATCCCCAATATCTCCATAGCCTTGTCGTTCTCTTTGCCGCGATTGCTGAACTCTCTCCTCGCCTCGGTATTATCCGTGCTTTGAGACGAAGGTGGGGGTTTCGATCGGGAATTTAAACTTTGCATCGGAATGTCTTGATTCTCCTCTCGAGGGGCGCCAGTGTATACTGCGCCGAATGTGCTTCCGCCGTCTGTTGAAGACCCTGTGTCGTCCAGTCTGCTTCTGTCCACTTGGAATGAGGGGCTTGGTGGTGCCGGCATAGCCATCTCAATGTCGTTGTCACCAAGTCTTCTGTAGTTCGTCGAGCCAAGTTCCTTCGTGCTTACGAACAAGCTAGGGTCTTTGCTCTCACGAGTACTTCTGGAGTTTGCGGTGCTGCTCATGGCCTTTACTTTGACGGAATTGACCCCGTAATTGTTGTTGTCTCCGTATCCAGTCTGCCTTGTTCTTCGTGACCGTATCGCGTAGCTTGCCATCCATTGCGGCTTTATCTTGGACATCAATGGTCGAAGAGTCGGAAGACATGCGCAGATGATGCCGGAGGCCAGCTCAGTGACGGACCAGCCGGATGTCGGGACATTGTCCCACGTGAAATCGGGGCCTTGTTTGAGATAATTAAGGCGAATGAGCGAGATGGCACAGGTGCTGTAGACAAGAGTCAGTATACCGGGCCAATACGATATCTGTTATAGAGGCGTGGAAGTGTTTGGACGTACAAGAAGCCCAAGCAAAAGATGCCGAGGAGAATGTACTTCTGCTGACGGCGAAGCTTCAGTTTTGCCAGTACAGGCAGTGGCATACCAAGGATAGCAAGATCTGTTACGATGTTTCCGGCCGCATTGATGTACCAGAATGGTAAGTTGGACAAGCATTTTCCGTCCAATTCTGTCTGCCAAAACTTTTGAACCGGAGTGCAGGTGAAGATGACGACGAGTAGCTGAGAGAAAGCCCACATCATGATGACTACTCCGAGCATCCAGATCACTCTCTTCATCTTGTATACTCCGAGCACACGATAGTATTGGATCAGGAAAGTAAGCTTGATCATCATCAAGGTAGCATTATATAGGACAATCGAGACCCAGAATGACTGCCATCTTGTCAGCCTCCATTACAACATACAGACACATCAAAGTCTGTTTTCGAACTCACCCGAAGATACAAAGGGATTACTGAAGGATCGAGTGTCGCTGTATGCCTTCCAAGGCCATAAGGAATGGCTAGAGCGAGTCAGTTTCATTGTCTCCTTGAGTTTCGTCAATCTGATCGACTCACTTGAGAGCACGGCGCCCCCGGTGGCTATAGCAAAGCCCTGAAAGCAAGTCAGTCATTGACTCCAAGCGAAAGAGGTCGACACTGAATCTGTCGACATACCAGTGTCAAAAGAACGAAATAATCATCGAGCCCCAGCTGCTTGAGCAGCACTATCCTCGTGTAGAAGCGGAGCCCAACGATGATGGTCGCCAAGGAGAGGACCAGGATGATAATAAGGAGAGCGAGCCATGCGATGTTCTGGGCTGCCAGCCCTGGGTCCACAGACGTCGACGTCGAATCCATCGCGGTTTGGTGAGGCCTGCCTAACCCAGGGAATCAGATTCCACCGGAGACGAGAAGGCAATCGTGGGCCAAGTGGCAGATATATGGTTGTCCGTCCAGCCGGGTCTGCGAACGACCCCTGTACCGCGAGGCCCAAGACCTAAGTGGAGTCGAAGGGGCAGTTTCACTTATACATGAACATGTGAGTGGGCAATATTCTCAAACTACCATGAAGCCCTCGAGGTAGTGGGTGGATCTGTGAGATACTGTCTCGAGGCCGAGATCCAGGGGAAACATGAGCCAGGGTCGACTAAAACCGAGTGAGACATCAGATGGGGGAAATATGAAGATCCACTGGGACACAGTAGCCGAAGGCGGACTGGCTCCGAACTGGATATATGCGGACAAAGGAAAGGGGAGGGACTAATACTTGTTCGATGCTGGTGGATGGACGAGCTTGTGGAATTAAGCTTGGCCCCGGTGTACCGTCAATATCTACCGCGCCGGCCGCCATCAATCATGTTCTCGGTAGAGTACCTACCCGCCAGCACGAAGGAAATAGGGGCCAGGGGAGTGGATGGTGGCAGTGATGGTGGGTGGTGCCGCACGGAGTATCCCTTTCACGAGTCGTACCGTGAACTATTGTGGGCTTGAGCACCCAGTATCTGGTATAACGAAGGTAACCCGAAAGATGAGATGGCAGGGCTGCGTTCTCCAAGCCAAGCCATCCCAGCAGCTGGCGAAAGCGTATGGGAGACGCGGCCTCTCGACATGCTTTCGAGGAGGGGCGACAAGGTTCAAGGGCTGCACGTGCCGGCGATTTTGGATGGAAAGGAAGTTGTTGGCGCAAGGTCATCAGGGGTGAGAGTTCTCGTTGTGTGCATGAGACGCCAAAGATAGCCGGGCTCGGCAGGCCCACCTGGCCTTGTTACCTTCGCACGATGGTATTTTCTTGTATAGGGCCAAGTGCCTAGTTGGTATTGGAAAGCCTCCCTGGCGCTGGCAGACTTGCGGATGAAGGCTTGGCGATGACCGCCGGACCGCCGGCAAGGATGGCTATGATCATCATAATGAGCCCACCGAAGCCCACCGTAGAAGCGGCTACGCTCCGATAAGCGTGCGGATCCACGATATTTATGGAGTACAGATCCAAGGGTCGGGAGCCAGGGTATGAGTGCCGTATCTGAAACGCTATGCTACGGCGCGCGCCGCCACATTTCCTGCTTTTAGGCGACAGCACGATTCATTTACAGACAGTTGCCACGATTGAAGCTGAGGGCCGTATCCGCTTCCACGTCATGAGTGTATCTGAGGATGGAGAGGTGTGGAACGTCTGGGTGGAAGATGATCAAGACCTAACCAAGGCTTGAGCAAAGTTAGAATTTCAAGTGCAGGCGCGCTTAATGCCTTGCAGCTGAAAAAGATCGCCATCATTGGCTCGAAGTCGTGTGCTTGGGCCTCTGTCTGAACATCCGGCGCTCCATTTCACGGCCCCATCGGCAAGTTTACCAAGAACTTAATCTTGAAGATCCATTCTTTGGGCCCCTCTTCTCTACTACTCCTTGTTGATTACTGTGGTGGGTTACTAGAGCAACATTGCATTCCAACGACCTTGCAGGCGATCTAAAATGCCACACATCCGTGCAGTTGGCTTCAACGGATCGGGAATTTACTCTCCCGGCCCATACCATCGGAATTGCCTGGCTCTCCCGGCCGAGCACTTAAGATAAATGTATGTCTGCTGTGGCATGCTTTACACACTTGACTGCCACTCAACATCCTACCATGTGACGAGAATTACGAATTCAGTTCTTATCACGTCCCTTCCCACCCAAAGAAGAAAATGCGAGAGGGAAATTATGGCCACGCAATACCGCATCCTTTCTGTCGCAGGAGTGTGTAGGCAAGGTCTCCCTTGAACTGGCCCATCTCGGATTGTTTTCAGCAGTGCCCGGGTGGACCCTGAAGTTATATGCGCGGACGCTCGGGCTTAATATTAGCCGCCATTTCAACCACCAGGACTCTGGTGACGACTCGCCTGTTACCTAGCACCGTCTGATGATCCGTTTGACATTGCCACGCCGACATGGTGGATCGTCGTAGCAGAGACATCTGCTGCAAGAATTCCCAGACTGGCGACCTTTGGAGAGCTGTCATTGAACGCGTCCGAGAAAGGAGGACTCCGGATAAGTGGGGGTGGCTTGTTCCGGAGGCATTGAAGGAGCAAGTTGGTGATTGTCTCCTCTAGGAGGGGCTCACAATCCCTGCCACGTCTGTTCTTAGATGCTGAAATCCGCTTCTTCTCCTTGAAGCTGGTCTATGACAGGCTGTATTCAAGTATCGTTGAGACTATGGCGCAAAACGCAGGGTCGTCTTGAGGGCTGTGAAGCTTACCCGATCCCGGTTGGGTTAGTACACCGTTTAGAAGCCCCCAATCATGCGGTTTTCAAGGCTGACCTCTGAATCCGTTCATCACATGTTGATCGTCAAGGCTTTCCCTGCCACACGATGAGTAGACTGGAAGGGACTTGTAGCAGCAACGCCGCTAAAAGCTCCCTTCTAGACCATCCTAAGCCTCGACTATTGCGCTACTTGCAAGACTATATTTCACTCGAACAATGTGATACACGGTCACAGGTGTTCTAGCTGACGGACTAGCTCAGACTCGCAGATGGCCCCTCCCCCGTGTCTCGCAAGCAAGGTCAAGCTTGGATGATGGCTCGAGATGCAATCCGCATAATTGAGCCGCTCTTTCTGGTCGTCCAAGTGCACTTTCACACCATGTCTGGACTACTGAGAAATTGCTCAGATTGTGTTACCAAAACATAAAGCCAAACACATTCTCCTTCGACTTGTTTAGCGGCAACCAGCCACCGAAGTCTTGTACCATGCTAGGCTGAGCCCTACGCCAACGCCAAAGGTTGCCTGAACAGCTTGTGAGTGAATGCAGGTATCTTCAACACGATCTGTTAAATGTCGTGACATGTATCCTTGGGGGAAGTTGTACGGCCTCACCACGATTGGTCATTTCTTGCACCAATTCAAGTGTCCTTTCATACAGGCGCTGTTGTAGCTGTCCATCAAATGTTTTCGGATCAAAAACAACCAATGATGCGCCAGTACTGGACATCCAATGCTCCACCAAGCATCACCTTTTCCACGGATTTTATATTGAGTAGATTATACAAAAGCGTCCATTGACTTGATAGGCCATGAGAAACACATCTTCGATTCACAAAAGGTCATTCTCACCGAGACCAGTATCGAGGCATCTGAGCCAGAATCTACACATGCCGGAGATTTATCAAGCCGTTCAAGTTTCTGCGCCATGATTTGGAAGAGATCCATAATATGGATTGAGAATTTTGGGCGCAAAGCATGCCTGACCAAAGAATATGTCGTAGCGGGCCGTGCGGTAGCATTGCTGTCTTAAAATGTCAGGTGTGCAGCTATTGCGAGAAATTCAACACTGTTCCACTGGACTTACATGGTATAGCCAACAAAAAGGCCAGATTCACGTGTGAGCTCTGTGATGCGATGTGATACGACATTGTATGCAGTCCAGCCAAGTTAGTAGACTAAATTATTTTGATCGTCAAGACCCGAACCAGACTTCTGTCAAGATCTTTGAACAAGATCGGAAACAACTCAGCCACCGAGAATAGGATGGCGCCATGTAGAGCCTCCTGAAGCATTCGTGTAGCAGACACAAGTGGGACATCGGAACACCCGGTGGGAGGGGATGGGCCAGCTGGGGTGAACCTGGACGGGGGAGGTGGCTCAATGACCCTTGTCCTGCTCGTAGGGCAGGCGTCTCTGCTGCTCGGCAGTTGGCCTCGTCGATCGCCCAGTTGCTATCTAATTACCCCAGATTGCCATCGTGCCATCCCATCATGTTGGAGAGGCATAATACAAATGCTGCAGATCATGGGAATGAGCCGCATAAGTCTAAACTCAAGTACCATGAAGCCCATGTCCCGGCCCAATTACAGACGGCAGATGGTGGGACACGCATTGGTATCCAAATCGGCTTAGACGATTGCTCATCAAGAGCTAGCCAACGAACCTGTGGTGTATACCAGGCTCCCATGATTCCCCCGTAGCCAGCAACACAGAAAGATCTCGGGGAAGAACACCCAAGGAACCCGGGTGCTGCCGCGCGGTCGCTTGCTGATAGTACGATCGTACGTGTACGTATATCAGACGATTGGCCCATTCAAATGTCGCACAACGCTTGTTGGTGTCAGGCCGGTCCAGCTGATACGGCGAGTGCGTGCATGCATGATTCTTGGGGGTGCAGTGCTTGGTCACTCACACCTGACAGCACCGAAGGTCAAAGCTCCTCAAGAAAATCTGTCACGCCTTTGTGTATGCACCTCCGCGAGGGTCGGCCAAGCATCATAAGCTCCGGGACGAAGCCCGCCGCGATCCGGCCGAGAGGACCAGACGTCCGATGCTGTGGATCCGCTTTGCCTTCCGTCTTTCCGCGAATCTGCCGAGATTCTTGCCCCGATAAGGTTTCCGTCTCGCAGAGCTGCTGCTCTGGCGGGCTATGTTGCGGCAGGCCAGGTTGATAGTTCGACAATCATTTCGATCCCGGGGAAAATACTAACAAGATGTTTCATGGTTTTTGCCGAAGTGAGGCACTCGTTGTGGTGGGTGGCAAGCTTTCTGTAGTTTCACTAAGAGTTTTTGGTGCTACGCCAGGACGTCTCGAGAAGTTGCGCTGGGTGTAGAATGACACGTGGTCATGGTCTTTGAGGTGCTCGTTGACTGAATATCAAATTTGGTCCTCGAGTTCAGTCTGGCATGGTACATCGTGGTATACCTAGATATGAATTTGAGTGATCGTTCCGGATTCAGGAATGGAACTCATCTACCATGGCGTACTAATCATGTGGATTTCAACATCCTCTAGCAGATTGTTAAGGTTCCAACTACGAGATGTGGATGCCAACCTATCGCGACAATGCCTCAGCGGCACAGTGTGTACCGAGTAAATCTTCTCGGCATGCATGTGATTGTCAGACTATTTGTGCTTTAACACTCACCATGCCGAGACTCGGACCGTCCTCCCGATTCCTTTTTGGCTATCTTGAAACCCTACCACGATGATTCATTGAGCCTGGAGAATAAGAAACTATGAGACCAGAATTTATGGAACAACTAGAGTTCATGTCTGGGGCCGAGAGGAAAGGCTGGGATGGACTTCACAGCGGCAAGCTAGAACACTGTATGTCTGGGACAATGTCATGGAAGCACAGCAAAAGGCAGCAAAAATGCGATTATCATCATTTGCTTTTACCTATTCAAGTATTCTTGGATTGTGAAACATTGATTGGTGTGATACAATTTCGCCCTGTGTGTGTGGGCATAGACAGGAGCATCTGCAGCTAACTTTGAAAGTTTCAACGTTCCGATATACTTTCATAACTACATAGACAGATATTCTGCCATAACCTGGGAAAAGATTAATTGTATGTGAAAACACGGTATCGATTTCGTTGTGTAGTTGTTCTTGTACCTGAAACCAAGTCTTGACCTAGATAATCTTCCAAAAGTTATATAACTTTCGCGCTTCTTGCAGGCTGGGAGAGTCTACATCGCTATCTTACCTCGTCCATATAACCAAGAGGCCGACACAACGACCCACAATTTGAACATAATGTTCCAATTCCTTGATTCATAGTGTAGTTGAACAAAGAAATACTGAGTCAATGTCTTCACGCGAGTCAATACTAGTGACTTAAAATATGATTGACTATTGTGTCCCAAGCAGGTTTCTTGCAACTATATATGATTTGCAAGACACTCTGGTCAATATGGAAAGTAAAAAAAAAAAACCACCAATCATCTCATGAATACGTATACAAACACACTATGTAGCGATAAGCCCGCAATAACTACAATACCTCCATCTGCTGAATCTTGAATCACTTCAGAAGCTCCATCGCGGCAATCGTCCAAGATCAGCCCACCCTATACAATTGTTGCTCGTACGCCAAGACTCTCACGCTTGGGCATCGGTACCAGAGTTTCCCAATCATAGCGAACGTCCTATGAGAAGGTTGGTGTCAGAAAAGGATCACAGTGGAACCCCACGCAGTACACAGGATAAGTCGATTCGCAAGCTTTGAGAATGGATATTTTGAAACAAGAGAATAGCTTATCAAACTTTGAGGGTGCCTACCTCTTCTGATGTCTCGTATAAACGCATATGAGGGAATACACGCAATGTTAGAGCCGCAGTGGCTAGATAAAGCTCACAGAGGCCCAGACTTCGTTTGTCAATTACCTGGCTAGCGCAAGGACAAGAGCAGTGAGAAAATTGTGTAATGCTTACTTCATACCTAGGCAGGCCCTGCTGCCCTTCGAAAACGAGAGAAACCCGCGGTCGAGCTCCTTCCTGTTCTGAGGATCAAACCAGCGCTCAGGCTGGAATTTAGTCGACTCCGGAAACAACGTCTCGTCGTGATGAGAGACAAAAGCGGACATTCCAATAGCATATCCCCGTGGTATCACGTATCGGATGGATTTATCCTGCCGCCCGCCTCGGTAGACAAGGTCCTCCTCGGTCGGTACCCGGGCAGTCCTCCCTGCTACCCCATAAGAGAGTCGCAGGCCTTCCTGGATCACGCCGGAAAGGTATGGCAACTTCTCCAGCGTGGCCCAATGTGGTAGACGTTGCGAGTCGGGGACTGCTTCTTTTAGCTCATGGGTCAGGTTCTCAAAAATTTCGGGGTTTGTTAGGATGTGGTATGTCATCACACTCAGGCACCTTGGGACTTGTCAGTAAATTCCCTTAATCTGTGTTAAAGAAACTTGAGTAGTAAATTGGGTGGACAAAGATTAATTTCATTTCCAAATACTTGGCTGAGAAATTGCCAAGGAGGGAAAAGACCAGTACTGACCAAGCTGTCGTCTCAGTACCTGCTCCCAGAATACTCAACGTCTCTGCAGAAATTCGTTCGGGAGCCTTTTCCTCTTCACTGAGGCTAGAGCCAATCAATGCGCCGACGAGAACTGGGCGTGGGTAGACAATGCCGGCGTTCAGGTTGTTAATGGTCTTTGTGACTAGTTTGGGTATGTCGACCTGCATAGTCTGAACGAATAGCGCTATATCAGGAGGGAGATAGTCTATGAACCTGTGAATGATCGTTAGCAAAGAATTCAAGTTTCGCCATCATCTCCAGACCAGCCTACCATACACCGAGCTTCGTCAGGTTCTTCAAGGACGGGAAGAAGCGGAACAGGAACCAGTATTTGAGCGTCGAGAGATTTGGCTGCCGGAAGTTTGCAGACCAACCGGGCTTTTCTAGGAGGTTGAAGCTCTCGCCGAAGCTCTCGCCGAAGCAATAACCTGAAATAACATCGGTGGATAGATTGCTGTAGGCGATTGTCAAGTCAAAAGGCGCCCCCTGGCCTCCTTCGGCCAGGATCTTATCACACAGCCGCTGGGCGTGCGCAGCAATCTCGTGTTCAAGGTTCATGGTAACAGAACGTGAAAAGAATTTTGCAACAGGTGCTCGCCTTGTGCGATGAAGGTCGTGGTCTGTTGTGGCAAATTCAGTCTTGTTACCCCTGCTCCGCAAAGGGGAGTCAGTAGATGTGAAACGTAGTGAGGTAGTCAAGAGGAACTCATGTCTACTGACACCGGGATAGCATTGACTTGATGTAGAGTTTTATTGCGCTTGCGTCCGCCAACAGCATATATCTCGTCCGCAAAGTAAGGATCACTGCAATGGACCTCATCGGGGTTGATTCGAATCAGGGGACCTGTAACGATCGTTAGCTGTTGAAATTGGTGCGATGGTGCTTCTTTTCCACACCATATTTCTCATGCATTTCACGAATCTTGGTGGTATATCGCCCTAGACAAATTACATCGTAGTAAAACTCAGGCAAGTAGCTCGCTGCCGCCATCTTGGGTCCCGGAATTGGGCTCAGCGGGTGCAATGGGGAGACGTTGTAGAGCATTACAAGAAGTCGATACCCCAGCCATGTAGCTACCATTGTAGCTATCATCCCAGATGGTTCAATACCAGAGAGAGAGACAAAATGTTCCATGGTTGCCAGATCTGACGATGCGGTGGTTGATACTGATACAAGTGTAGTTGTTGTCTAAGGCTAAAAGAATCACGGACATTGCAGAAGAGTCCAAGCGCACAGGAATGGGAGCTTCTGCGGGGGAGATGTTGTGTATCCACGCCATATATTTTTTTTTATATCGCTATGCCCAACTCCGTTGGGTAGTCCTCCATGGCTGTTGGCACCTGATATGCTGTGATAGTCGTGTAACCACACGAAGTTGCTCATCACATGTGTTGTCTGGTGCCAAGAAAGCGTATGCTGACATGCGTCGAACAATAGACTGAGTGTCGAACGAGCGACTGGTTCTGCGAGTTTCATTGTACGGAATCCGGGTAGGTTGGTGCTGATCCAGTTTGTTCTTTGTGTACAATTAGATTAGGCCAAGTAGTAAGCAGTACTAATTCGGTATACCCAGTTCTTTTTTGACTGGTAGACTAGCACGACGGAGAGACAAGGGTCAAACCCTGAGTCAGCCAACCCCTGGCCAGCGTGTGGCCATAGCTCCAAGCATGCATTTGTGCTCGTCATGATGACCACCATCAAAAGCGAAGTGTTGCTTTGGCTCGATCGGAGCCACAACCCTTTTCTTCAGCCGGTGACAGAATAAAGAAGCTTCTCCGTCCGAAACCAAGCGTCCGTTACTGCATATAAGCAGTTCTCACGTCAGCATGGGCTCCGGCGCATCCAAATCTGCTGCGCAGAGCAGCATTCGCAAATTCCCAAACAGAGCTCCGGGATCAGCGTTACCACCTTCGTCGGGTCCTTCCGCCCCTAGGGCGGCTGCAGCATCGAGACCGTTGCCAAGTCGAAAGGGGCAGACCCCTCAGGCCTCGTTTGCGAAGGATGAAGGTCAGTCGCGTTGCGTTGCTATTCGGAATAAGCCCCGGCTCCCAGCCAAACAAGCTCGTCTGCTAACAGCGCGCGGCGTGAACAGCCATCCTTCAAGACGGCACCGACCCGCACATGACGTCCCGGGAGCACATGCTGCAGCCGGGTCTCGCCGAGCGGCTGCGGCAGATAGGCGTCGTGCAGCCGAACCCGACGTACTCGCCGTCGTCTACGGCGTCCCCCTCGTCGCAGCCCCAGGAGGCGGGCCGCAGCGGGCCGGTCTTCCCGTCGCCGTCCAGCAACGCCGTCCTGTCGGCGCTCGAGGCCCGCGAGAGGCTGGCGCGCGAGGCCGAGGAGGAGTTTGAGAGCCTCGGCCTGTCCAGCGGGCAGGGCAGGAGGTTCCTGACCTCGGGCATGATCCGCGACGTGCTCGTCATGCGGGAGAGGGGCGCGGGGGAGGAGGACATCGAGCATCGCTTCAACTTGAGGAGGGGTGTGGTGAGGAAACTGGGGCCGAGGGGCTTGTTCCAACCAGTCGGAGGCCCTGCGCCTTGAAGCAGCAGACAAAGCATGGTGCCGTCATTAGACGCAGCATGACCGATAGCTGAAGCGCATCTGATCTTCGGCGGATGGCTTGTCCTATTGCGATCGTTCAGCATGACTAAAGCAGGTCGCTAGGTCAAAAAGGCCAGAGAGGCGTATCGGAGATCGCCACTTCACTGACAAATTACCCGCGACAGCCAACATAGCAAGGCTAATGGACGAATGTTGAGAGGGGATTGTCATGCTGAGCACTTTCGAGGAGTTCAGGGAGAGGGCTAAGAAAAACAGTCACAGTGTCAAAGATTAGTACAGAGGGGGGCCGGTGGTGGATTCTACCATCCTGCAGAAGTTATCAGGTCTATTGCTCAGTCGTCCCTTTCTTGTATGGAATGGGAAGCCGACATTGATACCAAGCGTTTTTATCTAGACCTTGCGCAGGCTGAGTCGCAACAACGCAAAAAGCGCAGCATTTACTGGGCGCATTGTTACATGGGCAGCTATTCATCTGTTGTCACTGAATTCCTCACCCTCTATTAGACATTTGACAAATGTGGCAAAGCCCGATTAAGACCCAGCAGTAGTCAATGGTGCGAAACTGATGCTCGGTATACTAGTGCTTGGGAGCTCGATTGCCTCGTAGAAATAACTTAAGAATCTTGTATGTACCAAGAGGTATTCGCACGACGCTGAGCAAGTTCGATGAATAAATCGCTCAAAAAGCATGTCCCACTCCCACCTTGACATGACAGTCACCGTTGGTGCCTGACAGGTCCTTCGGAACCTCCAATATCCCAACTCCAACAGCTGCTGCTAAGCAAAATGCAACGATCCAATAGTGTTCTGGCGCCGACTCGTCTGGCGCAAAATCCCAATTCGCTAGCATTATGTCTTGGAAACATTTTCCAAGAGGGCCTTTTACCAGGCAGAATGACCTCCGTCCATTCGAAGGTCGGAACCAGTCATGAAGCTAGAGGCGTCGCTGAGGAGGAAGACGGCCGCACCGCGGTACTCCTCTGGGTAGCTCAGCCTTCCCAGCATGTTCTGCTTCGGCCAATTCTCCTTCCTGTCGGGGAACTGCTCGAAAAGTGGCGCTGTCATTGCTGTCACGATGTAGCCCGGTGAGATGGTGTTCACCCGGATGCCGTGAGGGCCCCACTCCATGGCCAGATTCCGGGCAAGCTGGATCACGCCGGCTTTGGAGGCGTTGTATGCTCTGTCTGGTGTCAGAATTGGAACTCACAATGACCAGCCAAGGATAGGGGTAAGACTCACGGACAGATCAGCCCCTTGTTCGCTACCGTGCCGCTCATGCTGGCAATGAACACCATCGAACCCGGCCGATCCAGCCTCCGCATCTGCCTGGCCACGGCCTGCGCCGTCATGAAGACACCAGTGACGTTGACGCCAAACATCTTGTCGGCGTCCTCCATGGTATACTCGAGCGCGGGGGTCTCCTGCTGGATGCCGGCGCAGGCGAGCAGCCCATCGATACGGCCGTTCTCGTCGGCAATTTTCTCGATCGTCGCGTTCAAGCTGATGTTGTCGCGCACGTCGATCCGGTTATACGAGATGCTGGTGCCGAGCTCCTTGGCGCGCTCCTGCACCCGCTGGAAGCCCGGGTCCGGCTTCTCTAGCCGGTCGAGGGTGTAGACCTTTGCGCCTGCCTCGAGGAGGGCCTCGCTCTGTACCAGGCCCAGCCCTCGGCCGGCCCCGGTTACGATGATGACTTTGTCTTTGAGACTGAACTCAGGGAGGCGGCCCGTGTTTTCAAATGTGAGATTGCCCCGGCTTGCTGTGGCGTGAAATTGTCTGGGCCGGGAAGGGCTTTGTGAGTTTCCCTTGGCAGTAATGAAGCTGCTGGGACTGTTCACCACAGCTCGACTCGCCAAGCACAGCCTGGGCAGGAACCTTGGGGTGGCGACCCGGGGCGCCAGTCTACTGATTGCTCTGGACATGTTTCTGTATTTTGTGTGAGCGAGGTAGTCAACGTCGAGATTAGAGCTCTATTCCCTGAAGAGCTGCGTTCAGTCTCACTTGGTCGGGTATGATCAGACTGTGATCCGAACAAAGGAGCGATACGCGGCACCGTGTCAGATGTGAAGCAACTTGCTAACGAGCAGACAGGAAGGAAGGCAACGGCGAAGGAGGAGGATGAGGGTGCACACACTTGATCGTGACGTGGGATAGCTGTCAACAATCGTCACGAGTAGGTCAGGCTCTCGGGGCGCGTTGACCCTTTGTAGTCCGAACGGGATTCCCTTTGCGAGCAGGACCCCCGTGTGTCGGGTAGCTAGGTAGGCGTGCGCATGGCATGGCTGGGTTAGTAGACAGACTATCACACTATCTACGGCCGGAGGTCTTTGCCCGGTCTAGGAGCCGGGCCAAGGAGACAGTAGCTCCTCTCGTCGACTCCCTCTTCCCCCTTCGGTTCCTGCCGTGGCTCTTGTTAGTTCGCCCCTCTGCCCCTCAGGCCCCTCTTGCTGCTGCCCATTTTCGACCAGTTTCGGCCTGCCGTTGTGGGCATTGGCGGGGCAGGATACATCAGTCGTCCTCGCCCTCCAAGGCGACATCGAGTCCAGACAGCCTGTGGTTCTTGGCGGTTCTTCTCCCGCTGCAATAGCCATTGGGCTCTTCCAGCATTGAGTTTGGCTGCAATGCAACATCGGACAGTTGTCCTGTGAAGAAGGAGGACAGCTGACCTGTCACTTTCTACTCGGGGCCAGGATAGTAAGCGATCTCAGGCGTGTAGATGCTTCTCTCGTCCAAGTGTCGAAGTTTACCCGCGACTCGCCCGCCCCGTCTGGCGTGCCTTTCGGTGGTGGGGTGGGTTGTCGTCGACCTCAAATGTGGGGTATGACAGAGGATCTGGAGGCGGGTCTGGGGTAGGGGCCCAGATCGCCCCTCCGGATTGCTGTTTGTGGTAATCCGGGAGCGCATTCCGTAGAACTGTCTCTCCTGCTCCTGTTACTCCTCCTCCTCCTCTGCCTTGTATCCGACCCTTTCTCTTGCTGAAGATTCCAGACATGCTGGGCCCGGCCATTCTGTAGCCAACATGCCCAGTTTTCCACGCAAGCGAATGTGCAACAGCAATCTTCTCCATTTGCAGCCAGCCCTATGCATTGAATCACATACAGAGGCACACTGTCTATGCCACTAGGCGACCGTTAGTAAATCCTACGCCGGGATCTCTGCCGAGCGAGCATCGGCCCAGCTATAGCTGCATGCATGTACAGTATGTATGTACGTATGTGGCTTCTGCAATCCACTGCACATGCGTCTACAGTAGATGGCACGCATGCTGCACGCTGCGGGGCCAGCGTCACGCCAGATGAAAGCAGCAATGACAAGCGAGCCCAGTCATTGTCTGTGTACCCAGTCGCCCACTCTCAAGCTCTGGGTATGGTGATGAAGAGGCCCATCTTTTCAACGGTTGATCATGTGCCCTGCAAGTTCTGGCCGGGATCCACGATCGCATTATACATACATTTGTGGACTGTCAATATGCGTCAAAGCCTCATCACGGACTGGGTCAGCCCGTCCGTCCCGTTTTGATCTTCATGACATCCAAAAACAGGTGGGCCTCTCTCACATGTGGCTCACATCACTTGCACTTGAGTCGTCTGCGAAGCAGTGTCTATCAAACGCTTGGTTGGTCCTCCACCCTCCCTGGTGTATCAGTCAGGAACCACGGTGCAAGCTCAGCACGAGTAGACGCCACAACAATGTCTATCACTTTGTCCGGTTCGACACACGAATGTTACTGAAATCTGCTGGCGAAAGCACTGGCTCCCCCCGTCCAAAGGCGTAGACACCAAACATGACACCGGTGAAAGCGCCACCAACTGTTGGCATGACTGTCAAATCCTCTGCATCGCAGTATGACTGGACTTGAACCCCGTTTCTCCCGTGCTGGAGAGTCAATGTGTATGTGCTGCCTTCACAGTCAAGGGTGAGCTTGACAGGATCCGTCAGGTTACCCGCTGTGGCCAGTGTGCTCACAATACTTGACGGTGCCGGCTGTGCCAGAAATATGTTAGCATAGCTGGTCAACAGTTTCGGCCAAAGGAGCCTTACGTAATATTTACGACCTGGTCGTCCCTTTGGGCTTCGGGTTATCACGCATGCTTTCCTGAATCTCCTCTCAAGCGTGACCCCAATCGCGGCATAAGAAAACTGGTTCCACCACAACACAAGTCCAGCTTCACAGTCCGCTTGCAGGGGGTTGAACTCCATGGTGACTCCAAAAGTCTGATAGAAAGACGTCTGCTTCCTGAGGAGCATGGCAGGAGCCTCCGGGCTTGACAGGTCATAACAATTCCCCCATAGCAGGAGGTGACCGGGCCGCTCGGTAAGCGAGTATGACTGCTTCAACGGTGTATCTGCCGATGGAGTGAGTGTCAATGGGAGCCATTGACACAGGAATGTCTCAATGCGAGGGGCTATCACTCACTCTTCTGGTACCAGCCGAGCTCAAGATCGGGTTTCTCGAGATTCGCTCGCCAGTCCAATGTCTCGTCACACGGACTAATTCGTTCGAATTGTGAAGTTCGCCCTTGTGTCAGCAGGGCGATGTTCTTGCCTTCGTTGAAGACTGGCCAATCGTCGACCCAGTCTACTTTCACCAGGAATGTCTCTCGGCCTTAGTCACCACCAAACCAGTCAGCTCTTTTGCACCTCACGATTTCGACGCCTTCAGTGCAGGTGGAGTGGGATTCTGAAGACTGACCCAGTTGCGGCTCCAGCCACTTCTTGGTCTGCTCATCCAGCTTTGGTCTCACCCCAAGCAGAACGGCCCACCAGTCACCCTGCCCATCCTCGAAAACATCCGCGTGGCCAGTCCTCTGGACTTCTTCGTCGGGGCCGTTGTACCACAGCGGCCTCTCCTGACTCTCCCAGGGGCCAAGCACGCCCTCACGGCTGCGAAACACCCATTCCTGATGGCCAGCCTCAGTGCCTCCCTCGGCGGTAAATAGATAATACCACCCATTGCGCTTGATGACGTGTGACCCCTCAGCGATCCCATGGGGTGACTTGCGGATCACAGCCGGTGGTGTGAGGGTCCGGCCTGTGGGGAGATCGATCTCGCTGATGTGAATGGCGAAGTCTTTCAGATTGGAATCTGGCGCACGATCCGAGAGTCTTGTGGTCGTGGATAGGTACACCTTGCCATCGTCGTCCCAAAAAAGCTGCGCACATGTTAGTGCCGAATCAGTCGCTAATCATGGAGTAAAATGGGATTTTGCGGGCTCAGTCCCCAGGCGAGACACCTACATCTTGATCAAAACCAGGGTTGTCAAAGTAGACCGGATCGGACCAGGCATCATCATCCCATATGTTGTCTGTGAATACATAAAATCCGCGAGGAAAGATACGTTCCTATAGTAGCAAAGAGTTTAGTTGAGCTACCATGGGCCAACAGCCAACGCCAAGGCCCATCGCGGATCGCAGCATCACATACATCAGTAGCCGGCCTGTACCTCTGAAAAAGGCAGTTGGCAAGATACCACCGCCTCTCATCAGCCCGGTAGCGCAGCGTGCTGGCCCAGCTGCCCGCGCCCGGCTCGACGGTGCGCAGCTCGATCTGGCTCCTCCTGTTCAGCGCATGCCCGATGAGCTTCCAGTTGAGGAGGTCTGTCGACGTGTAGATGGGGCACCCGGGGAAAAATTCGAACGTCGACGTGCTCAGAAAATACGTCGTTGGCGTGTCGTCGGTGGCCGGGACGACGCAGATGGTCGGGTCTGGGTTGAAGCCGCAGAGGACTGGGTTGTGGAAGGTGAGCGGGCCCGAGGGCGCTGCGCTGCGGGCTGGGTTGGACATGATGCTACAATTCCGCGCGGATAAATTTCTCAAGCCAATACTTGTCAGGTTTAAGTTCTGGTTTTCAACTTGCGATGCGCTGATTTTCCCCAGTGGTTGTTGGCCTTCTGCATGCTATTTCGAGCGGTAGTGGCTGGTATCTCGGGCCGCGTTTGGCCGCCGGAATCAGGAGAGCTTGCAGGTCTCTCCACTACAACGACAAGTTACGAAGGAGGGGACGAGTAAACAGGCTGCGCATCAACAGATGCGTGAGATTTGACATTCATGGATTTTATTTGGGGGGGGGGGGCCACATGCACAATTTATCAGACAACGCAGGCAGCAGCCATTTCGTGACTTCCTGTCTGCCTATTCAATGAGCCAGCCCTCGGTTGGCACCGCACCCTCCCGGACGCCCTCCTCTGGGGATATTGAAGATCTCCGAAATCGCCTCATCACAAGTTCTTCACGGGAAATTTTCCCCAGGCGCTTGCACTGAAATCGCCTCTAGTATCATGTCCTTAGAGGCTGCGTTATTAACCGTTCTTTTCCGCGGCGTAGTATCCTCTGCTGCGTTGGTGGCTCTACTTTTCGGTGTACTTGGTATCATATCGAAGCCAGGAGGCCATTTGAGCTCTGCCCAACTTCCCACAGGGCAACGCCGGCTCCTCCGAAGGCATATTCAAGGTCGTCGTCAACAACATCCTTTATCGTGTCAAAGACGTGAGAGATTCCCTCGGTCGTAGGCAGAAACACTCTCCAATACCCGGTTCCGGGCCGTTTCTCATAGTCGAAGAAGTATTCGCCGTCTGCTTCCGACTTAAGTACTTGCGCTTTCTTCTCCTTGATCATTTCCAAGATCTCGGTCATGATGACAGGTTCCCCAGCACCTTTTAGAACAGGTATGACTGCCCCAGAATCCGTATCTTCAGACGGCCGTTTGACGAAGTCACCCGTCTTCTTATCAACAAACAGCACAGGGTATTTGTAGCCGTACAGAGGCATGCCCATGAGGAACTTCCGGGAAGCCCACCGGGACTGTGCCGGTGACTGCGATGGGTCCATGGCGCCGGCTTGAGACGCCTCAATAAATGCCTTGAGGTTGTCCTTGACCCAGTCCGCACTCGTGTTCGGGCCGGGCTCACGAGCTTGCCCTTGCGCAATGGCCCGACTGATCGAGCTGCCGTCTGGGAAGCCGGCTTTATTTTGGAGCTCTTGACCGCCGGGGCCACTCATGTCGTATGTCATGATGCTGAAGTAATCAACATAGTGAGAGAGTCCCGCAAGAGGTTGGAGGATCACTGAGATGTACGTGGTTAGACATCGAAACAATAGCTATACCGAAACTTCCCGCAAACATTAATGCACGTCAAGGAGCTCGAGGCTCGCTGAAGCTCCTCCCGTGGCATTCTCGCGCTTCAACTTCGAATTTGCCGGGAAGAAATAGAGCAGAATTGTGCGGCTGTAGAAGGACGGAAAGATAGAAAGGAAAAGGCTTTGCCTTGCTTACTCGAGTTGTGAGCGTCAGTCATGCCATCGCCAGGCGCTCGAACAGGTGGCATCACAAGTATCAACAACTTGTCTTTGTTGTGCAATAACTCGGACAATTTCGTCAGAGGTGGTCCAAGAGCGTAGGATGCACCAGACTCGAACACCACACCGTCGAAAGACTTCTCGACCACAACATCCATAATGGCTTCTGAGAGCAGCTGCCACCTCGTCTCGTTGAAGATCAGGTTCTGGAAGTTGTCCTGGTCCCAACCGTCCAAGATGAAGCGAGGCACGATTTGGAGCGGCTTCGCCGCGTCCGAGGACGGCTTGGGCTTCTGAAGCCTCTGGTACCAATCTTCATCCTCCTTAGCCGGCGGGCCGCCCCTGACGGAATACACCTCATTGACCTTGGCCTCATCGGCGTGGACAGTGTACCAGACGGGGCTGACGAGGTCGAACTTCTGTCGGTAGTCTTCCACCAGCTGCTTGCCGCGCGAGTTCCACGGCGTCACATAGCCCAATACGGGAAGATCTGAGTGGCGTTTTGGGCCAATCGATTCGATCGGTTCCGGTGCTGTCGGCTTCTGTGTGATCGGGATCCCGTTGATTGGGGTTCCTGTGCTCGATACCTGCACGATCGGCTTCTGTGTCGGTTCAACCTGTTGGCATCGAGCTGCAAGTGCGAAGAATGCAATGATGATCAAGCAGCTGAGCGGCCCAAGCACCCTTCTGCCGCCCGCGATAGACATTGTTGGCCGTGCCAGATTGACTTCTGGGGGGTGGACGTTGATCCTGGTGAAGCTTAATCACGGAGGGTAAATGACCCCGTGAAAGATTCTTTGTTCAGTGGCCCTCTCCGAGAGTGACCAGGGTAGAACGGCAGAGTCCCGGCCCTCGCTGCCTTGGAGTGATGCAGAGGTTTAAAAGTTGCGATGAACTCCGGGTCTCCATTCACCGTGAGGGTTCTTGTCTCATGATTGCCCAACCTTGTCTGCTTGATGAGAAAGGAATCTATTTGTTATAGGAAACAGAAGCGGACAGAAAGGTACAGGTGCATGTTCCGCTTGCAGCGAAGACACAGGGCGGTTCCGAGAGCAGGTGGGGTCCCTGTGAAAGTAAAAGCTAAGGGGGCAGTGGACCTATCACTTGCACATCGCAAGCCCTCTGTGGCTTTGCCGTCAAATTGACACAAGTACGGCGCAATGGAAGCAAAACTGTTGAATCTTGACGAGTATCAAATACAACTTGGGAATCTTCTATGCTATGCTCAAATTGACCCACTTCATAGGCCATATTCACCACTCCTTACAACTTGCAGACTTGCCCTCAGCAGCCAACTCGACGACCTGGTAGTTGCTGTTGTATATACCCGAAGGACACTCAGTCGAGACACACATTCCACCCGTGGCAGTCATCACCACCGCTCCACTGGGGTCGTGTACCTCGATAATCTGGGCACCGGCCTTCAGCCCGTCGTCGGACGAGCCATAGTTGAGGCCAGCCTTTAAAGGCACGTTCTGCGCCTTGTCCCCGGCCACAGTCAGTGTGTAACCAGATTCGGCCTTGGGATCTAGAACAACTGCCCAGTGCAAAGCATTTGTGCCCTGGTCGAACCCTTCAGGCTTGGTGTCGTTGTCGCAGTCTACAGAGTCGACGAGGATAGTCTTGTACCAAGCTGCGCCGATTGCCACCGTGCCGTCCGGTGTGCTCATGTCGCTCGCAGTCGCACCACTTTTGAAAGCTTCATTGAAAGACTTCACAAGAGGTCTCCATCCGTCATGTGACCACTGGTCCATGTTGGCGTACAAAGAAGACGCACCATCTGAGGTGGCTTCCGGCCAGAAGTTCCCAATATAGTGTGCCTCAGGACCGTCATTGAATGTAATGAATTGGACAAAGTCGGGGCGGGGGTTCATCCCAAGTATTCTGTCCATCCGGGCTGGCAGGTTGAGATCCCCGAGACGATAGGCATTGGTTCCATACTTGAGGATGTTAGTCTGCGTTTGTTTACAAGATGGTAAGGGTGACTATGTGAGTGATTGGAAAACTGACCGCGTTTTTATACTGGAGTGGACTGAGACCTGTTGATGTGCTTAGTACGGTGCTCCAAGGAATGATATCACACTTCAGCGGGCTCACCGATCATGTATCCCTTTCCCCGACCGCTCGCAGCAGCGACAACTTTCTCATCCTGTGAGACATCGCCGGGTTTGGAGGAGTCCGAATCGCCGATATGAGGCCACGCAGACTCCCAACTAGAGACTCCGTCGAGAACAGGACCCCAATTTCCCCTTTCATATAGATCAGTCAAGGAAGTCTCACAGATTGAATTGATCTTACCACCATTCGTCTGAAGCTTCATAGTATCCTTCGGTATCGTCGAAGTCTGGGATGAAATATACAGAGCTTTTCAAGCCTTCTTTCCATGCTAATGATTAAGGGTAAATGTGAGCGACTAAATCACTGAGTGAAGAAACTTCATCACTTACATCCCCAAGTATCGCTGTTGAACCCGCCCGATGCAAACGCTAGGTAAAGAGAGTCAATATAAGTGTACGCGTCGAAATGGACATGGAAACCTTTTCTTGGCTGCCTTACTACTGATTGTTCGCGCTCCTTTGACAGAATGATAAGCAGAACTATCCATATATTTGTCCAAAATCCATTGATAGTCAAGTGGCTGAGACAGGAAATAGTTAGCCAAGTCAATTTATTTATTCTGCATGCTTTCAGATCACCTACCCCATTACAACCATCTTGATCCATTGCAAAACAGGCATAAGGCTGGAGATGAAGTTAGCTCAGAAGTATTCATGATATAATGAGCAGTAGTCCGTGAGACGCACCGAATCGCAGGAGGCGTTGCGCGAGTAACACCCATTCCCAATAGCATACATATCCATTGTGACATACAAACTAAATCCTGTGCTCTCGGCTGCTTCGAATAGAGAGGATAAGCTTCGTTCCACATATTCTTGAGTCGGATCTCCTATGTTAAGTGCGAATGCAGTGAAGCTTAAGTGAGAATCGTCAGCAAATGACTGTTTGAGGAGGTCGCTGGCCAGGAATTACTCACCCCATGCTGTGTGCATCCTGAACGTCCTTCAAAGCGTGTTCAGAAGAGATTGTACCAAGCTGATTGTTGTAAGTAACCAAAACCTCACAGTAAATACAAACACTTCGGCTTTACTTGCCATGTAATGAGCGAATACTTCAGATGCTACAATCCTCTGGCCTAGGGCAATCATCAAAATTAAACTGAAGAGATTTCGTGCCATTCTCAATAAAAGCAATTTTTAAGACAAAGTAAAAAAGAAAACTGCGTCTAGTCTATGTGAGTGAGGCATACTCGAAAGCTCAAAAAGAAGGCTAAGGATAAACAACAATTGTAGTGTGCTCAACATATATAGGATTCAAGTCTTTGTTTCATGTTTGCAATTTCGTCCTCATCGACAGGATAGATATACTACCAAGAGATGAACGGCCGGGCGGTCTGGAAACGGTCGCGATCATAATTGCGATCAATTGGCTGAAAGCTCATGGGTAGAAGGTCATCGCTCCTAAGGCCACTAAAGTGGCCCGTGGTCTGCCAGGTCCAGCTTTAGCGAAGGAGTAAGCAATCTGACATGCGATACCTCACCATTTCAAACAAGAATGCCAGTGCTTATAAAATTGTGACCCACCGTAAGGCCAAGATGCAACAAATTTCGATCCATCTGGGTCGTTTACCCGGTTGGAGGTCATGGACAGTTGAAGTTATTCGTGATTCGCGACAATATGAAATATCATCCTTTTCTGGGAGGATGAAAAGTATGTACAATCAAATCACGCTTCCGCAAATACCACCTTCTCTTGAAAAAAAGGGAGAAGGGGGAAAAAAGAAAAGTGTGCAAGGTGCTCATGTGCTTGCTTCCAATGGGCCGAATCGAATGGACTCAGGTGTCGGCAATCGACTTCACATGCAGCAATATAGAGCTGCGCCAGCCGAATTGGTTGTAGTGAAGCAATGGGTAATTATCTAGGCCATCTGATCTCTATTGGAGACACCAATTAATCTGTTTCATTACAACTTATACTCCCGCAGCAAAGGTGTCAACACGAACGCTAGTAATGACGCGCTCAAAGACACGATGTGGCTATACCAAAGACCATCCACATAGGACTCCGTGATTGCGTTTGCAATATCACCCCTTGCCTTATAGATATATTCAACGCTGGCTAGTGCCTTTTCAATAATCTGGGATGAAGTTAGACCTGTTTTGCGCCACAATTGTTCAGGAGACAACATACCTCACTCCGCAACTCCTGGCCGAGGTGCATGTCCATCAATCGGGCCTCGAGAGTGCTTCTCAAGCCAGCCTGGAAAGTCGCACTGACAGCGGCAAGGCCGACAACCGTACCGAACCCTGAGGCCAGGTACAGAGCCGAGATAGCGGGAGCAACTTGTGACTTATCCACAGAGGCTTGGACAGCGATGAAGACTGCAGAAAGCGCAATGCCAGTCCCGAAGCCGCTGATAGGGTCGAGGTCAGCAATTTTCACATTTCATTAGATTCTTTGCAATAACACAACCTACCCAGGGAAAATATATAGACTCTCTAACCAGTTGGTCCTACCATGCCAACGTAATATCAGTAGCGTGTAGGCGCTAGCAGACATCAACGTAGCAAGATATATGAGCCATTTATATTTGCCAGTGCTAAGGAGAGCATGTGTCAGAATGCAGAACGTCAAATCTAGAGACGATTGTTCACTTACTTTCGGATGAAGTATCCAGATAATATCCCTCCGATGGCATTGCCGATCACCGCTGGCATAAGGTGAGCACCGGCTGCTGTGTTAGACATCTTCTGTGTGACTTGAAAGTAAAGAGGGACCGAAAACATCATCTGGAGATGATTAGCTGAGTGAGATAGCGAATTCAAGCACCAAACGACTCACTCCTAATTGGGCCGCACATTGAAGAGCCAGCACCAGGAATGATACAACAGTGTGTCGGCTATAGAATAATTTGAGGGGCAAGAGTGGGTTGGTCGCCCACCACTTTTCAACGACGACGAACACAATAAGGCACAGGAATCCAGAGCCAAAGAGGATTTGTATCCGAGCGTCTGTCCAGGCAATTTTGTTCCCTCCGATTTCCAAGGGCAATAGGATGAGTATCAGGAAAGCTGCGAGGAGAGTGGAGCCCATGAAATCCACTTGACGAAGCTTGCCGAACTTGGACTGGGAGGCTGTCGCGTCTTTCGACATTATGGAATTCGTTCTCGTCGTCGGTAAAGAGATCCAGCAAAGCAATATAGAGATCGCGAATATAGGAGCTTGTCCAATGAAAGACCTAGTGAAAAGTCAGTTATACCAGTCAGGTTTGGAGACTTCAATGTGACTTACAGTCTCCAGCCGATTACATCAGCGAGCCAGCCCCCAAGCGGACCACCTATGCATCGTCCGCTCACAGCGGCGATATTGACATACGACCTCCAGCTTGCGACCTCTCGCACAGGAAGGATGTCCGTAATAACCAAGGACACAAGCACGTTTGACCCTGCGCTGACGGCCCCAGAAAGGACCCTGCCGACAATGGCGGTGGCCATAGACTGCGCAGTCCCGACAATGAGGCAGCCTAAACCGAAGATCGCGTAACAGAGGATGATGATTGACTTTCTTCCAAAGATCTCACTAAGCTGGCCGAATGTTGTCTGCGTCGCTGTTGAAGCAAGTATAAACCCGGTGAACAACCAGCTTGAGGACTCTAGTGCCATAAATTCGGATGCAATCACAGCGTGCGTTGCCATAACAATTGACCCGTCTGCGTTGGCGATAAAGACAGCTGTGTCGAGAATGTCAGGGCTGGAATTTTGAGTGCACAATCATCAGGGCGAGACTGACCTAGTAGCATGGGGAGCACGATCCACAAGATTGCTTTGGTGCTTAAGGGCGAATGTGTTTCGTAGCCCTCAGCTCCAGAGGACGTGACAGGTGACTCGATAGACGCCTCTTCATCCTCGCCCCGGGACAGTAACGAACTACTCTCGGAGCTGCCATACTCACTGCCTGAAGTCGTTGTGTCGGTTCCGTAGACAGCATCAAGACCGGGATGTTTCAATAACGCAGACCGCTCTGTAGATGGACTGGAGGCGGAAGGGGTTGTCCGATCCCAAGAATCTGGGCTCGACATGCTCAAAACCTTCTCCGGATGGGAGAGAGTGAGCGACGCGAAGTGAAGGTCTAACAAACACAAATGTGAAGAGCACAGAAATCCCAACAGGGGTTTGTTTGACCTGGTCGTCGCAATGGCTGAACCTTATTTCTTCGCGGATCTGGACCCGACTCCAGGGTCCCGGGTGTCTCGGCAGGTCCCAGATGTATACTTACACGCACGCGATATCCCAGTGACTCACATTATCACACACCCATTTTTGCAGCTCAGACAGTGGGTAAATGGGCATGCCCATCGTAGGAACAGGTGGGGATCCCGTTGAGGCGTTCGAAGATCGATTGCGCCATTCGGGATCAAAATCACACTTGCCGAAGCGACAGAGCTTGAGAAACCGCGCAGCACAGAGATTTGCCGCTGTCTTGGCCCTGAATTGAAACTCGCGTGCACTTTGCAACCTATGGATAACGTCTTGACAAGGTTGGGATGGCGAATTACAAGCCAAACGCAAAATTTAAGCCTATTTCAAACTAGCAGTCCGATTGTGGGACTCCCCACCCGGGACATATGCAAGACCTGGAATTCTTTTCGCTGCAGATTCGCTCCAGACTTACCTCTATCTCTATCTCCTGGCCTATGAAAGAAGTCGCCGACTTCCGAGCCAGGTCGAGTGGCTCCTTGGATCGGAGATGTCCATCATCAGGCACCTTCTGACTAGTTCACGATGGACAATTTTCCGAACTACTATTCATCATGAAGTCCGGCTCTGTCCCATTGATCCTGACGTCCAGCGTTATCCTCAGGCAAGACTCAAAGGCTGCTAGCTCTCACAGCATTGTCTGCGATCCCGTTCACTACCAGTCAAAGCGCTCATAATTCCAGGAAAGTTGTTGATCTTCGACCAACAATCAATCGATCCACTCGTGCCACGGGATGCGCTGGCGATATACGTATCCGTCCGTATCGAGTTGGTTTACTTCAGCGGAGACGATATACCCAAGCTGATAGGGAGCGAAATCGACCCCTGCTGCGAGATATAGAACTCGTTGAACCTCAGGGTAGTGCATCGTAAAGTGTCTGAACATTTCCCTGGAGATGTAGGGCCTGCTGAGGCCTCATAAATGTCTTTCACTTGCAAGATTTGAGGACAAATGAGAGCGGATTCGGGCGAGCCAAAGCTCTGGGAATCAGAACACCGGAGTTGACAAATGCATGAATTCTTTTTTCCGTCTGCAATAGGTTGTGCGTTTGGGTAGGCTCGGTCTGTTAAATGTCAGAACTGCATGCAACGGGTGCAATCAAAGTACCTAGATTAACAATGCACAGTCAAATAGTAAAACTCAAGTTCATTGGTGCACCAGACCTTGTAAAGTAAGGTTGCACTCAACTGATGACACGAACTTCCTGGTACATACCATTGAGGTTCAAACGGTCTGGCTGCAACCTGATGTCCCCTTCAAATGCAGCGATGGCCCAGTATTCAACAATGGCGTGCTCATGGCATGCGTTGGCAGCGTCTGTTAGGCTGTTCTTGCTCAAGGAGACAGGTTTGTCGTCAGAGATAGCCCTGAGCGGAGCACCGACAAGGCATAGGATGGTCGGAGGGAGGTCTATATGACTGGTGGCGATCTCGCTGATCTCGCTTTCCAGCACACCCGAGCCGCGAACTATAGGCGGTATGTTAATGTCTCCCCCAAAACTGTTTTCCTTGCCCTTGGTCACCAGTACGTCGACGATATGCTGGTCTTCGGAAGACACAGGTACGTCGTGGTCACGTTGGTACGACATTTTCCTAAGGATATGATGTGAAGTATAGAACGGCACGAATTCACAGCGAAAGAAACCCAATCAAATTGTGTCCAGTTTGTAGCAGAATCCAGAACAGCCCAGCGAGGGTTTGTCTATACAATTTTGACGCCTGTAAACCCAACCTCTAAGACTGAAGACTATTAAAGATGATAAATATAATACCACCGACGTACTAATACATTGAAATGTAGTATATGCGTATATGTGGCTAAGGCCACAAAGCTTCCGGGAAATTCTCCCCTCCAACCACCCCATATACCACACTCAAGTTGTCATGCAGTTTCTCTGGAGCATCTAAATACTTGCCCTCCTTCTTCGCCCATGTGTGACGCTTGAGAGCAATGCTCCACGAGAAACTCGAGTGCGCAACGCCGGCAAAATCTGACGCCCTAAGGAGGATCAGATAGTCGACAAGCGCTTGTTGGTCCCACCTGTACGACTCCAGAGTACCCAAGTCCGCGCTGCCTTGCAGGACGTCAAACTTGCCCACAGCTGTGAGATTGTTCCGGGCAGCATCTTCGACGAATCGTTGTGTTCCTTCAACATCTCCCGAGGCTACGTAGATTCCTTTCGGACTGGACCTCCTGGACTGTAAAGCTTGTGCCAGGTAATCCTCAGCCTGTTTCTCGTAGCTAGCATGCGTCCATCCATATTGGGAGTTCCATGTGACCTGGGCGTCATGCTCCACGCGAAGGTGTGCCCCAAAGTATGCGTCGGGCAAGACATCGTTTTCGAGGTCGATGTCGGCGAATGATAGTCTCCTCGCCAAAGCCCTTAGGACTTTACTAGCCATCACCCTGATGTCCTTTCGCAATTGCAACATCCGCCCAAATGACAGCGCAAAGGCCTCTCCATCCGAGTAGATTGGGTAAGACATGTAACAGCGCTCAAGGTCAATAACCATTGGGCCCGCCTTTCCAGTTACGGGGCCAGCTTGCTGTTGTTCCAGCCAATCGTAGAACTTGTCGCGCCACATCTCTGTTCGGATCAGCCCATCGCCTGTAAGAGACTCCGGCTGAAAGCGTAGTCGATTTACATCGCCGGTGAAATTGTGCTGGTTAATTGCTTCATCAAGGGTCGGATAAATAGTCATCTCCGGGCAAGACTGCTGAATCGATTTGTAAAAGTGTTGCGTATCAAACATGTAGCTGAAGTCGGTGGCATTCTGTGTCTTATAGTTCGCAATATCGTCGTCCCGTATCAAGATCTGAGGGAGCACCAAGGCAGCTCCGGCCTGCATTGCAAAGCGCAGGCAGAGCAGGACCGAGTTCCGGATATTCCCAATGCCCCCAAACGACTCATTGCACGTGAATAGTAAGCTCTCATTCCACTGAGTCTGTCTGCAGACGGATTTGATAGCCTCTTCGTTCACAGGCGGGATAGCGAAGAGGTCGTCGTGCTCAACCTTGTCGGGGGCTGGCCCGGGCCCGCCGCTCCCGCGCAGAGGCGGCAGTGTCTGGAGGACGGCATGTCCGGCTTTGTTCCACGTCAATCCTGTGAGGGTCTCGAACTCGTAGAGAAAACTTGTGCAGAGTGCGATCACAACGAGAGCAATCACATACTTCTTCGCGTTGGCTCCCCGTTGCAATATCATGATGCAAATGAAGACGCTGCTGCAAACCGGAATCGCTTAATCGGACGCTGAAGACACGTCCAGGTTGTCCAAATCGCCAATTTTGGGGGCGTAAGAATTAAGGTTCGGGCGGCGTGTCAGCTAAAGCCCTTGCAGGATGATCTCAATCCCGGTCAGGGGTTGCACAGTACATCAACGGTCAAAATTGTTTACGCTGGTCATCGAGGTGTTTCAAGATTGTTGCCAGCACGAGCCCATGCTCTTAGGCTGTTTGCGGTATGGGCCAGAAGACTAGCATATTGGGCTCTCGAGTCGCCACTTCTGCAAACATGCGATTTTGATCTTGATTCAGACCCAACCCGTCTCTGTACAAGGCTGATTCAGAGTCGAAGAAAATGTTGATTCCAGTCGCTCCCTCATTTCGTCTCTATTTTTGACAGCTCCACTTGGTAGGTATACTCGGCACGGATTCCGTTGACTTCGTCTCTTGAAGTATCCGAATCCCGATCTTGCAGTCGCGCCCAGTCACCTGTATGGACACTCGCAAAACTCATTCCCTGATCCGTCGGGTTCAAGAACCTCTTGCTAGACCCTTTAGGCCGGACAGGTATGCTCCCAAAGGTGACCAACGATTTTCGGTGAGGCTTGAGCGGCTCTGGTTGTTTGTGAGCAAGGGTTGTCCGTCTGTAAATGAACTTGTTGATCGAGGGGATCGAGGAGGCGATCAAGCCGATGGCGCTTTCAATGTTTGATAGCAGGACAATGAAGCCCGTCCAGTCTGGTACAAGATTAGAATCCCTTATATCAGTTACGCCTGTCTCATGCGGCTCACGACTTACAATTTAAGTTGTCAAGCGGTGTCCAGTAATGTTCGATGAACGGCGCCCTTGCCATTGTCGTCACTGAGGCGCTGTGGATTCACAACTTGTCAGCAAGCTGCGCACGTCTCGAGTACTCAGAGTCCAAACCATCCGTAACTTACAAAGATCCGAATGATAAGAGACCCACCACCGAGAGCTTTTGAAGGAGCTTCATGGGTGTTCCGAAGACCATGATTCCGGGCAAGACAGCCAGAGACAGGTCGGTAACAATGGTTGAGGCTGTCGAGGTATAAGAGAGCGCAACCATAGAGCTCATGCCTGCACACTGTCCTTGCCCAGTCCAATTTGCCGACACTGGCCTGCAAAGCAAAAGGATACCCACGATGGTGACGATGAATGTGGAGATCGTTAAGCCCAGAAGAACGTAGATGGCGATCTTGTATGTTCTGTTCGTGGCCGCCACACGGAATAACGTGACACAAATGGAACTCTTGATCGTTGCAAGACCAACGACATATATCATCATCCACAGCATGAGATATTTCTTGCCCTCCACAGACAGCCACAAATTGATCTCCGCGTCTCTTGTTCCAAGTCCAACGGTGGTGCCATGACATGCGAGCGAAACATCGACAGCATATATGACCTAGTCAAGCAAAGTAATCGGTTAGTCACTTTGCATTTATAACAACGCGCGTATTGGATGTCAGTCTTACTAGACCAGCCAGGATTAAACCGTCATCCAAGCCGAAGACATTATCAAATAATCTGATGTATGTCCTGAGTCCCACGGAAATCATAGACATGCCAAGGCAAACAATAGAGACAATGAATATGGCCAGGCTCAGACCGCTTAGCGATACTGTCCTTGCATCCTCGTCGAGCATTATAGTTGACGCAATAGTGAGTGCGCTCAAGGGCGAGGCTGAGAGGAGGTGAGAGTAGACAATGCAAGAAGATGATCTTAGGCGACCGGATGTGGCCGGGGGAAGAAATCTAGACGAGCCGTAAAACCGAAACGTATCTGCAGGCTTGCGAGAGTATATCGGTATACTTTTCTGTCGGCGCCGAGACGTCACTAATGGATCCCATGTGCCCCTGAATTGAGCCGGCCAGTCCCGTGGCAGGGAAGTAGATATTCTGTCAGACGAGGATCTTTGAAAAGCCTCCGACCTTACCACCTTAGTGGGCTTTTCCGCTCGAGGCGAGACATCCGTTGGACCCAAAGGATCTCGTTGAAGACAGTCCCCCGAACAGACAGGGCGATCGCTTTCCTGGGCAGGAAATGCAGGGTCCCACGAGAGCCATGAAACGCGAGAATGTTGGGTGTCTGGCAGCTATCCAATTGCCATGGTGGGTATTAGTTGAAGGAGAGATTCGTCGATAATCGAGATTTAGTACCGCTGAGATGGGTCGACAGGAGTCCTTCCCTGTTTGCCATGCACCACAGTGGTCCAAGTTTGTAGACTTCAATCTCACAGACTGCCAGGATTAGTTTACTTTTGACATGTCATCTGGGAACTGGGTTCGGCACCAAGGAAGGGCGAGAGGCGATGAGTTTCTCGCGTGCCCAGATTCCTAGTGGCTCGTTTCATACGAGACTAATCGTAATCGCCCACAAATGGTGCAGGTATTAGGTAACGGGTGATCCAGTTTTTGCTCAAGCTTCTGTGGAGCACATTCATGCGAATCCTGCCCTCGCGTCGTAAGCGAAATGTTCTTTTCACCACGCGGACATTCGGTATGAGGGCAACGAGGCAAGATGACCAAATCGCACCTGAATTGATGGCCCAGGCCAAGTGCACGATCTCGGCCTGCAGGAAGTCGATGTATCTGCCCACACTCCACATTTCGGAGACAGAGGCAAGCTTGTTCTACCAAAAGTCCCAGAATTTACAACAAACTTGAGCTGCTGGATCTCACAGAACCAAAAGGGGGCGGCTTGTCTCACAACCGTAGTTCCGGTTCAACCCTGTATGTGGGCCAACCGGTCTTGGTGTTTCCTGGCGTGATATTGATAGCGTGTTGTGAAAATGAGAATGACAAACTAAATCGTCAAATTTTCTTCTATTCAGCCAGGGCATTGCCGGGATAGTTCCTCAGCGATAGAAGGCTGTCTCTTCAATGCCCCAATTCTTTTCATGCAGCACCCAGGTTGATATTGCTAAATTGGGCCGTCGACTTATAGCTAGATCATGCAAGGACTAAGTATGTTACCTAGGTATCAATGTTGAAACACATCTCTCGCATAACTTGTCCTCTCAAGCAGACCGATCGTGGTGTATTCACTAGGAGCCTCGATGCTTTTCGCTGACAATTGATGTTGTTAATCCCTGCCACGGTACAGGATACAGGAGTAAATCTTCTTCCCCACCACCTGACCAATGCCATCCCGCTGCGTGTGAAATCCACATCCACTCGCGAACCCATGCTTTCCCCAGTGCAACCATACAGGTCTGATCCATACGGCCCGCAAATGTCGACACCGCGGAATCACCGCTTTGCGGAGCCCGCGTGTGGCAAGTCTGGGGCCTGAGAATTTTCCGGCACCATGCATTACTTCCAGCATTCCTGTTCTTCTGAAGGAATCAGTCTACTCTATTCCGAAATCTGACAGACCAGGGTTAGACTACCAGACTGACGAATATGGCAACCCCGAGAATCCACGAAGGCAAGCTTGCCATCGTCACTGGCGCCGCACGAAGTACGTGACAGCTCGATTATCCGAAACCAAGCACGCTCTACGCAGGGGACTGACGAAAAGGGGTTGCAGGTATCGGCGCCGCCATTGCCACGAACCTGGCTGCGAAGGGCGCTCACGTCCTGATCGGATACCTGACTGAGGCTTCTGATAAGCCAGCGGCAGAGCTTGCGCAGGAGCTGACCTCGAAGCATAATGTCATCGCCGTGCCTTGCCGCGCCGACATCAGCACCCCCGAGGGTGTGAAGACTCTCATCGAGACGTGCAAGGAGAAGTTCCCGGCCAATTCCAAGACTGGGAAGCTACAGATTGATATCATCATTAACTCTGCGGCTGTCATGCCCACCGGACCCGTCGAGGCTGTGACTCCAGAGGAGTTCCATAAGACGTACGCGACTAATGTCCTGGCTCCTATCCTCCTAGTTGGCCAAGCGAAACCTTACCTCCCGACTGACCGCTCCGGTACGTATGATGATGTCCCGCCCTCATGTCCCGGTACCCTATATTCAGGAGATTTCCTGAGGGCCGTCGTTGTGGGCCTCCTGACACGTGGCTGATAATACGACAGGTCGTATTGTCAACATCTCCAGCATCGGGCAGAAGTGCGGCCTGCCTTACCTCACCCTCTACAGCGGCACCAAGGGCGCCCTCGAGGCCATGACCAGGACGTGGGCCCGCGAGCTTGCAGAGCAGTGCACCGTCAACACGATCAACCCGGGCTCGGTGCTCACCGACATGTTCCGCAACTGCAGCGAGGACGTCCTGGCCGCCCAGGCGCTCTGGAGCCCTGTCATCCCGCTGTCTGGTGCGCGCGAGTGGGACACGGACGAGGTCAAGGCCATCGCCAAGAGGTGGGGAGGCCGGCCTGCGTACGTCGAGGAGATCGCCGGTGTTGTCGCCATTGTGTGCAACCCTGAGTCTGGCTGGATGACGGGCAGCGTTGTCTCGGCCAACGGTGGACAGTGCTTCAGCACTTAGAAGGCGTTACCGACCTCGTGTTCACAAGTTGAACACGCATTTCCCAAACACTGAATACTATCACAATACATAGCATAAGCGTAGCCCAATGTTTCTATACATCATTGCAAGCCATTCACAACGTAGTCTCACGCGAGAACAAAGATGGAACCTTTTTACATATGATCTATGACGCAATATAAGCCCACATGGCCACTATGTGGACTTGAAAGAAGGACTCCATCCCTTTTGATGTGGTGTTTTGCAACTAAGGAATTCAATGAACGTTCACTCGATGCTCTGAATTACCAAATAAATCAGGGTGACACTTTATTGAACCAAGCTTCATTTAGCCATTGTAGCACGATTAGCTGCGAGCCGGCCTCTAAATTTGATTCCTCAGGTCTGAATGCTCAAGATTTCTGCTTTTGGGACACAGTGGTGGGCCAGTCATTGTAGCCCCCGTTAGCATCTTGAAAGGGACCATAGTAAATGTGGCCGCCACGATCATTGACAGCAAATGGCAAGTTGTTCTTGATTCGGGTGACCAAGTCCTAAGTGAAGCCACGTCAGCAGTAGAAATTAGCGTAAAAGACCTCGCTCATGGCTCTCACCGGATTATAAATGAAGGGGCGGCCAAATTGAACAAAATCAATTCTCCCTTCCCTGATCAAGTCACTCGCCTCGTTGACAGTGTATTCCGTCGTAACCATGAGAGATGTGCGACCGGAGGCTTGCTTGACCGGCGGACCGAACTGGTGCAAAGGCTCCCACCCATCTGGCAAAGAATTGCCAGATGGGCGAGGGTCCCTTTGACGCTCCACTTCCTTTTCGCTGCCACGGCGTGAGAGAGTGATGAAGGCGATATCTCGACGCAACAGCTCCTGTACAAGGTAATCGTACGTCTCAGAGAGCTCCCCGTAAGATGCAGTCGCGTTGTTCATATCATCGCCTGGACAGATCTTGACGCCGATTCGCCGCGGCGTCCCCCAGATCTCGACGACAGTGGCCAAGACTTCGAGTAGGAAGCGGCAGCGGTTTTCGATCGGGTGAAACGAATAGGCATCCTTGCGGGCGTTGCATTGGCTGCGGCAAGAACAAGATTAGTCTGTTGCCCGGGATGGCCAGCTCGAATTTCGGGACTCACGAGGTTAGAAATTGGCTCATGAGATAGCCCCTGATCGATTGAATTCGTAAGCGCTCGTTAATATAGGAGACCATGAGTGGATCGCGGAGTGAAAATTGCACTCACCCACTAGCCAACAGCTCAACACCATCGAATCCAGACAGTTTGGCAAGCCTGGCAGAGTTTCGATATTGCTCGACGATCTCTTTGGGTTTCTCAAACTCACTCACATCTCCACTGCTATTCAGCGCCCCTAGATGCCACGGCTGGTAGAAAATCTTGCCTCCTTCATGGTGAACCGCATCGGTCACCCTTTTCCAGGCTTCCGCATGCTCTTCTCGAAATAGTACTGGAGCATTCAACCAGGTAGAAGTGTTTGCAGAACAAATGTGCCCTCGGCTATAATCAAGCCGACGCCGTCTCTGGCTCTTGTTGCATGGTGCTCCACCACAGCAGGCCCAGGCTTGTTGTCATCGATGCAGCGATTGCGCGTCAAGAAGCTCATGACGATACTGTTGCGCAATGGCAGATCATCACCGAGGGTGGCCCCTTGAAGCAGAGTATCAGCCATGGCTAGAGTATGTTTAACGTCAAGTATGAAGTTTTCATTTTGGTACACTGGGGCTGTTCCTCCACATACAAGCCGTCTGAAGGAGGTGAAAGCGGGAATCTTAAGTACCCAAGGTCCGGACTTCCTAACATCCTGCATGCACCGCCTGAACATACGGTTTCATTGGAACCTGATTGATTTCTTGGATTATACTCTACATCCGAACTGTCTCCGCATGTTTAGTCGATGTGCGGTCTCAGGGAAGCGAGTTTGCATATCACAACATATTGCTGATGTTGTCGCCCGTCACACAGCACATCTTTGTCCCGATTTCCGAATAGATGCTCTGCAACCACCTTCTTGATCTTTCAAGGAAAGAAAGTTCTAAGCGCTTGGCAGATGACTGCGTCAAGAGCCGGGCTTGAATGCGTCGCTGGATTAGTCGATGTCGGACAAATGTTAGGCCCTCCCACCGAACTCCTTACAAATCACTTGTCCACGCATCGCACTGTAATGATGACACCTGCAACAGCGCGTCAGCCAATGTGACGGGGAGCCGCGAGAATCTGGGCCAATCGTGGTTTCATCACCAAATATTCTGCCAAATGTTCCCAACATGTAGACCCTTCGATCTGAGCGTGAAGGTGGCAACCCGGGGCCTTGTAGCGTGATGTGATCAGAAATAAAGCAAGCTACACTGTCAAGGCATCATGGGCCACATCATCTATTCGTGGTGTTGGCCTGTGTTAAGGATAGCTGGAACAGCAGAGGTTATACAAATTGATCCCTCCGAGCAACTCATCACGCAGTAGTTAACTGATCAGTAGACGGTAGCGCAGCCGAAGACCATCCCGGTAGGCTGTTTGTTGAACTACTGCCCATGGAGGAGTAGACATAATGCCGGAATAACGCTGCGTCAGTAACCTTGTCTCTCCTCTATTAGATCTTGCCCACCGTGACTTCCACAAACAAGATAGCTGCCTATCATCACGCCCTTCAAGGCCCCTAGGACATGAGCATCACTTTCTATATATCTCCTGAAAGCTAAGCTAGTCCTTCTAGCTAGTACGACTGCCTAGGGTGATCACCGGCCTCAGAGTCACGCCTGGGTTCTCCCAACGCGGTCACATTGTCAGAACATCAGATTAAAAAAGAACAAATGAGTACATGCCTCCGGCAGGAAGAACCTGCGGTCTTCGCATTACGAGTGCGACGCTGTGATATGTTTAGTCGGGAAGGAGAGTCTATTTACAGCGGTGGTGATACTGACCCTTGCCGCTTGGCCACAAAGGCAGCCGAAGGAATAACACTATGCTCCACTTATTAACTCTGTGAAGCAGACGTGCCACCCCCATTCCATAATTACAATGGTATTCTGTCTAATTAGCTCTAGGCCTGGCACCGTCAGAGCAGACGTCCTGTCGTTGATGCATAGACTAAACATCTTTCCCGCGCCACAGTCCAAGCATCCCCCCGCTGTTACCAGGCAGGACATTGATTGGGCTCAAATATCAACCCTCCTTGACATCCTGCGCAACCTCCCAGCAGTGGCCAGCAGGGTCCCGGAACGTGACGACCCGCATGCCCCAAGGCCTCGTCACGGGCCCCATAAGCCCCTCGACCACCACGCCCTCACCCCCTTCCCCCCCAAGCCCCCTCAGCCTGCGGTACACCACCTCCACGTCATCCACAAATACGCTGAGCAAGAACCGCCGGTCCGCGTCTCCCCGCTCGCCAACGTCCACGCCGGGGCCGAGCAGGCCCTCGCGGCGCGCGTCCGCCGACTCGCACAGGTTGACGATGAGCGCGCCGCCGTTGAAGCGCAGCGCCGCGGACGTGGCGTCCTCGAAAAGGCACGGCGCGCCAAAGACGCGCTCGTAGAAGCGCTTCGTGCGCGCGAGGTCCTCCACCAGGAGGGTTATGGCCGAGACCCGGTTGAGGTCCTGCGTGGCGGCTGCTGGTGTTTCTGAGGGTTGTGGTGGTGCCGCTCCTTCTGTTGACGCGTATGTGGCCATCTTGCCTGCTTGTCGTACTAAAAGCGGCGGTGATGGTGATGATGATGATGGCGCCAGGGCGAGTGCCCGCGGCCGGAATTGCGGAGACGCTGGGCTGTGCTCGACCGTCGTGTCCAGCCCCGTGGCAGTCCCCGTTCCGCTTCCTACACTCGCCGTCGCATACGTCCAGTTCTCGGAGTCGCTACTTCCCGGTCTGGAGCCAATTCCGGGCGGCGGCGGCAGCAGCGCAGCAGCAGTGAAGTCTCCGACGGGCGCGGTGACGAATTGGTCGAAACTCGAGTCGTAGCTGTCCAAGGCAGGGCGCACAGGCGTGCCGCGGGTGCGACGCACTGGTAAGCCCGCGGGCGCTGCGAAGAAGAGGTCGACGGGCGAGTAACCCTGCGCCGAAGGCCTGGCCGGATAGAATGCGTTGGATCTCCTGCCGCTGCTGCTGCCGCCACTAGAAGGGGGACTCCAGGGCGAGATGAGCGAGCCAAGGGATGCCTTCCGCCCACCAGCTGTTCTAGCAGGATCGATAGCAGCAGCAGCACCGGCCGCACGGGAATGCGTGCCGTAGGTGGGAGTGGGCGCGCTGCTGACCCTTCTCTGGACGTAGGGCTGGATGCACTGCTGCGTTGCGAGGTAGAGCTGGTGGTCGATGATGCGGTCGAAGTCGAAGGGCATGTAAGTGGACTTCACACGCACCACAGGGGTTGAACTCGCGCTTGCAGCGAGTCCAACTTGTGATCCAAAATGCCCGCCTTGATTCCCTCAGCGAACAAGGGAGGAATGGCGACAGAGGAGGTGTGAGTGAAATAGGAATTGCGAATGCGAATGTGAATGTGAATAATAGGGTTGTGATCATTGCCTGCGAATCTAGGTTTGGAAATTAATGCACGAGTGAGACACGACCAGGTTGCATCCTGGGAAGCTTCGCGATGGCGGCACGCGTTGAGGGGTGTCGCTGCTCTCTTGCCCCGCGATGGCCTTTAATTACTTGGCTCCCTCTCTACTTTTGGACTCGGAGTTGGCGCGCACTAGACCGTGTCCGGCGCGATTGGCATCGCCAGCTTCAGGCGGCACGCGATAGCTCGTCTCTAGGCAAAATGAGAGATGGCAGTAAGTTGTGCGTTGGGTTGTGTGTGACAAAGAGTGAATGAGGTGATTCCCGTCTTCTTTCATTCACGAAGCGTGCGTGCTTGCTCGAGGGCGGCAGTGCTGACCTCGGTTGTGAATTAAGACGCGTCGCAGGAACGTGTGTGACGTTGAAGGCCAATATCTGCATGAACTTATATGGTTGCTTGATTCGGCTGGTGCTCTTCTACTTATAGATGCATCCTCCTCCAAACACGGTAACGCTTCTAGTGTATCTATACAAATAATCTCTCCCAACCTCCGCGCAGACTGCGCAGTCAAACGCCAATAGAATGCCCTTTGGTATGCCCCAAAACCCGTCGTGATGCCTGTGAGCAAGGTGATGAATATGTAAACCTCTAAATCATGCTTTCCAAAATCATATGCTGCGTTTCTTGCGCGTGTATATATCGGGACTCGCGTCCTGCTGCTGTTCTGCCGCTCTTGAATCCGACTGCGCAAAAGGACTAGCCCATCCAGCCGGAGTCTTCGTCAAGTATGTGCACTGCATCGTTCTTCCCGCGCTGCTGGGTTTCCTCAAAGTTAGGGTCCAGCCACCCATTCGCAAGTGGGTATGATTCGGTGTCGTTAGAATGTGCAGTCCGGCGACCCGTCGTCTCAGCATCGCTGCCCTCGAAGCTCACCCTTCCTTCGACGAGTCAATCCCACAGGCCATCTCCGCCGTCTGTCGTGTCTTGCTCATCATCTGCAAGAGCCGCAGCGGACGGCGAGCCTTCTGCTACGACGTCGGAGGCATCAGCCTGTTCGACCGTTATCTCGATATCAACAGGGCGGTCCTCTTTGCGCGGCGTGTCCTCATCGTCTGGAAGCCATGCCTGTGTGTACGGGTCAGGGTCCGATGTGCTATCTTCCGCTGTTGAGTCGACATCCCCGTCGCTGGTGTGAAGGTCTGAGGTATAAAGGTCGCCGGTTGTGGGCGACGCGATATCTAGTCGAGGCGAGGGCCACGACGTTAAGTGAGGCGAAGATCGGGAGAATGTGATTGGAGACCTGAGAAGACGCGTAGGGGCCTGAGGAGGTGTGGCCAATAGGTCTAGTGCTGGAACAGACGTCTTCGGTGGTTCTAAGGGCTTCGAGAAATCGAACTCGCTTCCCTCGTTTTCTGTGCCACTGACATAGGCAGGAATCGGGCTGGTCATGGGCCCCAGGTTGGACAGAGAGACTCCAAGCCCTTTCAGCGACTTCTTGAATCTAGGCTTGTTGGCGCTTTCCCTCCGTCCAGACGAGGACAGTCCAGTACCGCTCCGCCTCCTGCTGAGTTCTAGGCGCTCCTCGGCGTCTGTGTCGTCATCCGTGATTGCATTTTCCATCTCAGCGAGGTGCCTTCGGTGCCTCACGAGCATGGAAGGAATGCTGCTCCCCGAGCCTCGGCGCTGGTGTCGGAGCCTGCCTTTTTCTGACATAGGAGAAGACTGTGAATTAGGGCCAGCAGTGACCGGCCCGGTCGAGACAGCGGTGTGCAGACCGTGAGCAAAAGACGTCTTAAGACCCAGTCTTTCCACCCCAGTCACAAGTCTGCGCAAGTTCACCTGGCTCTGGCTGAAGATACACCGTGCCCTAAGGACCTGTATGGATCGATCAATGGCCAATTCTACCGTACAGCGATCCCTTATCCGGCTGAGTTTCGGCCATGTGGCCCGCTCGCCCGCCAGAGTGGCTCGCTCCATGAAGTCGACCGACGGATTCTTCAGGATGCGTGGGAGATCTTGCACACTGAACTCAGGCAAGATCGTGATGTCGCCGGAGTATTTCTGGCTCAGGACGCTCCTGAGTTTGGTGACGGCTGTGGGGAAGATTCCCAACTCGGCCAGGAATTGAAGCCTGTGCAGGACCTCGTCTTTGGCTAATGTCGTGAGCGTGGTCGTCAGATTGGAGTTGTGGGACGTGCCAAACAGCTCGGGTCGGGAGTCGTCGTGTTCTGAATAAAGCCTGTCGTCTTTGGCCAGGAAGGGGACGACATGGGGGTTGACCTGCGACACGATAAAGTGGTTGACATTGAACATCTCCGCCAGTCTCGTCATCGGCAAGTCATTATCCACAGAGCCATCAACCCATCGCTGAGGGCTCGGGTTCCACGGCATATGCTCGCCAGTCTGCGGATCTTTGACAAGGAGCGTAGCACCGCTGAAGATGAAGGGCACCGAGCAAGAAGCGGCCACCGCTGACCAGATCATAACGTTGGGCGCAGTGATGTAATTCAAGAGTCGCGGGAGTTCGTAGATTGACTCGGTGGAAACCGAGATGTTGCAAATCTTTCTGGTCCGGTTGTAGGCTTCCTGGAACGTCATGTCGCCCAGCAGCCCTCTCATCACCCGCTTCAAATGCTTGATGTCCGACCATGAGCCCTCGGTGAGCAGCCTTTTGACGTGATCAAGAACAGTCTCCTCCCTGCCCTCTTCTTCAAACACAGCGAGGTCGCCGTAGGGGAACTGCCTGATGACTTCGGGCACCTCATCCGCCGTCCTGGTGCAGAAGACGGCGCAAACAATGGAGCCAGCGGAGGCTCCAGATATGATGCGGGGAAGGAGATCCGCCTCGAATATGGCCTTCAGAACGCCGGCGTGCATCATTCCAAAGGTGCCGCCCCCACTCAGGAGCAGGGCCGACCTGCCATAGCTTTGTCGAGTCTGGACCAGAGCTTCGAGGATATCATTGTGGTCCAAGTCGTCGGGTAATGCGCCGGGATATCCACTCTTCTCTACGAGATCCTCGATGGTTTTTACTGCAGATTGTACGTATTGCTCAATCAGGTCCTTTGTTCCCAAGTATGTATGCTTGTATAGGTCGATGTTGCCGAGGCCACCGAGCTCACGCGACAGAGCAGTCCTCACGAGATGGAGCATCCGCCGGATATCACAGGCGGTGCGAGCGTCGTCGAGTTCGCGGATTCTTTCGCGGACGACGTCGGGCCGGTAGATGCCGTCGACGCCATTCTCCTCGGATTTCCAGACGTGATTCCCTTCGAGTAGATCGAGTTCCTGGGCTGCCGAGGTCCATTGTGACGCTGAAGTCGCCTGTGTTGGTTGCATATGGGTTAGGGTCGCCAAGCTTCGTGGACGACATGGGGGGTCGGAGAGGACTCACATTCTTCATGCGCAAGGCCAGGATGTGTTTGCGGTCCTCGACTTTGCGGGCCTCGTCCGTCTCGAGGCTGGTCTTCGCATCCTGGGAAGGACAGAGATAGCCGTTGGCTCCTCTTATGAGCTTCGAGAGACGGTGGGTGGGCAATGCGCCGGGGGAGCAGGTCTGCTTCGGGGCGGGCTGCTGCTGTCCATCGCGTTGAGTGCTGGCAAATGATGGTAGAATGTGGAGGTATTGGTTCATCGCAACAGGTAGGATGAATGGGAGGGTTGTTTGTGTCGGCACATTTGGAAGTGGTTCAAGGGTGGTCGGTGAGGTCCTTTCAGGTCGTCATCAGGACAAGTGTATCCGCGAGGGTACCGTCTTTGTTGCTCCGCGGGTTGGTGCAGGTGTCAAGTAGGGAATTGCGGGTGTTCTGATGTGGTTGTCTATGTTCAGGAACAGAAGGACGGTCTGAATGGTGTGGTGTAGGTTGCCATGCAGGTAACTCCGTCGAGGTGCTCGGTTCAAGGATAAGTCGCAAAGAGAAGGACAAGGGAGAGACGGAGGGTGGGAGACGAGGCTAGGTACTTTAGGTTGTTGGAGGTTGGAAGTTGGACGTCTTTTTGGCACGGGCGACGGTCCAGGTCCAGCTACGCTACGGGGAACAAGACAATGCAGATCAAAAAAAGAGAGACCAGATCGGAATAGGATCGGTGGCCGGGAAAAGCGGTGGAGAGTCAGGTCAAGGATCAATCCATTGCACAAGGACTAGAGAAGGTAGTTATTATTAAGAAAGACCACGAGAAGGTCAAGAGAGTCTGGTCTAGTCAGTCTACAGTGTAAGACCCAAGAACGACGGCGGGAAGAGGCAGGCAATGCAAGAAGGCATGCTAGTATGCACATGGCTGCGTCGCCGGCGCGGGAATGACATCTTTGGAGACGCAAGTTCGGGGGACCTGGGTGCTCTGGAGGGCCCACTTGGGCGAGCTGGGGACTCACTGGGCCCACCGTTGCAGCTCGAAATGACAAGGCCAGACCGATGATTGGGCGCATTATGCCATTGATGCGCGGAAGCAGAAGGTCACCTGCGACCCCGGATCTGGGATACATACTGATCTACGCCTGCACACGACCACACGACTTAGTCTACCTGCGTCCCGTCACAGACTCACAGCAGCGTATTGCTGTTCCCGTCTAGTCTACCCCGTACTTTGGCAGGCGATCCACACCACCTTCTCCAGACTTTTGTCTGCCTGCCAATAGCCTGCCTGGGGAAATTAAGCGGTGCTACTTCACACTTCCGGCTACAACAGCACGCCAGCACGCCAGCACGCCTGATGGACGGGTCAGCTGGGAGCTGGACCTTGAGCTGGAGGAAGATCTTGCCCGATGTCGCCGCCTGCACCCGCAGCATGTTGTGTACTAGACTACGTATTAAATAGCCCAAGCCCAGTAGTGAACCCCGGGCTTCGGATGTACCTCCCGAAGGAGAGAGAGACACGCAGAGGCAAGATGGGATGTCGAGGATATCGGTGCTTCAGCTTGCATCAGCTGTGCCTTGTGACCGTCCACCTGCCCCCTTTTCCCGCCCCTCGGCACACCGCCAGCCAGCGTGCAACGGCAGCGGCAACCAGGAACGGCAACCAACTTCGAGCATATATGCGCCTATATTATCTAGTAGCAGAGCTGGCGACGACTGGGAGACACAGCCAGCCAACCAACAGCCACACTTGTCGGTCTGATGTGAGACAGACGACCAAGACCTGGACTTGAAGGAAGCTGATTCAGTCTCACCCAGGCTTCTTCACATGCAGCACACCTATACCAACAGAGACCAAGCCCTGGAGGATGGGGAGGGCGAGATAGAGCGCAATAGAGGGTGGTTGGACAACAAGCCAACCCACAAGGTTCATACATGATCATCCAGCACCACTGCCACCCCCGGGTCTCCGTCATCACCACACTCACCAGACTAGCCTCCCGAGTCAGTCATTCATACATGCACACTTACACACATTCAGTGCACAAGTCAACCGCCAGGGCCGGCTTCGGTTTCACGCTTGGGGGAGGCCCTCGGAGATGCAGGTTTGGTGAAAACCCCCCCTTCCGCGTGCCCCCAAAAAGAGAGAATGGGCAGATTTAGCCGCGGTGGCCGACGGGGCGGGCGATGGGATGGAGGTTTCTAGTCCATGAGCTAGAAGGGAAAAGGAACACGAGAGAGCGCACGGCCTCGGGTGCTTCTGATAAGCAAGAAAATGTTCTGAGCGACGGGTCTTATTGTGTGTGCACTTTGACCTAACTGTGTTTGAATGAAACATGCGGCCGCCAAGAGGCACAAGGCTGCATCTTTGCGCCTTGCTGCAAGTTTTCTCTTGCGGTGCGTGTAATTGTTCAACTGGGTGAGACACACACACCTGCGATGCATCCCACCACAACGCACAACCATTGTCTTCGCGTGAACCCAATCGCGGGACCGAGTGACCTCGAGAATAACGAGGCCCCCGGACACAACACGAGTCACAGGCCCCGCCGTCAGAGTGCCACGGCGACCCCACGGGGTAATGGGGGGCAACCTTCTGACTGGGTGGGTGGGTGGTGGGGAATAAGCACAGTAAGGTAAGCTGTCAAGCATGTGAAGATTGACATGGGCTGTCAAGTACGCAATGCTGTTTAAGACAAGCCTGGTTTTCGCCTGCGTTTTTATCAGTCTTGGCATTTTTGTTTTTCTCTGCTCGTGAAAGCACTTGATCATATGCTTCAGACTAATTGGAGGGCTCTTATCGCCCTCCTAAGCCGGGCTTACATGTGCAAGAAGGCTTCGACACAGCATCCACGACATGCTTGGTGGGCTTGGAAGTTCGGCATGACTACTGGAATTGGGACATCGAGTATCACATTATTCAGGAGCTTGTTGCGCCCTCATATAGAGACGCCGTAGTCAGCCCCGGCCCGCAAAGACAGGGAATAACATGCTCGGGTAATATTACAGCTGATTCTAAGGTATCGTAACTCTAATGCATCATTATCAATAGCCATTACCATTTCCATGACTTTAGCCTGGATAGCAACAAAAGAGAAGGATGTAAGGGAACAGTCACAGGCCGTCTTCAGCCTGCACCAGCAGCTCCCCCGAGAACGCCCTCACGGCGTCAGCAAGCCGCTGCATGGTCCCCTCCTCGACGTAGAAGTGCCCGGCCGTCGAGACCTCATGAGCCCTGAACCGTGACCCGGGCGCGGACTGCAGCTTCGACGCCCAGTCCCGAAACCTCTTGACAGCCACAAACACATCCGAGTCGCCGTAGATGGCGAGCGTGGGGTTGTCGACCAGCTTCTGCCTCTCCTGCTTCGACTCCGCCGGCGCCGCCGGCGTGCCCTGCTCCTCCTTGTCCTTACTCTTCGGCCGGGGGTGCTTCCCGAAGATGCCTGACACAGGGCTGCCCAGGCTCAATGTCATCAGGTTTGTGGCCCACCCTACCGGCGGGGAGACCAGTAAGTAAGCAACTAGCGGCGATGGCAGCCCGGCCACTGGTGGCAAGTGGTCCAGCTCTTTCCCCTTGTCTGCGTCCTCGCCGGTTGCATCGGCTGCCGCGTCCTTCTCCTTCGTTTGGTGCCCTTTCTTGCGGTGGCCATGGAGTTGATGCATCTTCGTCTTCTTCAGCAGCTCCGCCACGCCGGCCCGGACTTTCTCCTCCGCATCGATGGCAAAGCTCCTCCTTCCTCCGTGATCCTGGCTTCGCCTCTTGTCCTCGTCACCCCCTATCCGCAGGCCAGGAGTTGTCCTCCGGGGCGACATTGGGCTGGCTGGCTCCACAAGGGCCGCACGCGCACTAGCCAGAATGACGTTCTGCTGTTCGGCCAGATGCTGAGCCCGTAATCGAATGTCTGCTGCTGCCGAGGCAGTCTTGGGAGCCGTGAAGATCTCCAAAACAGATTCCAATGGTGGCAGGAGCTTCGTTATCATGGCCCCGTATGAGTAACCGCACTGGAGAAGAACAAAAGGTTTGGCAATAGGTTCTGGATCTGAGGCGTCCTGAATGCTGATTTGGGTGGTGACAGGAGAAGACGGCAGGCTAGTTATGCTCTTGGTAGCCTGTCCTTGTCGGAAAGGGTCAAGATATTGCACATAGTAGTAGACAAATCCCACAAAAGACATATAATCACTCCTCTCGGCCTTTGAGGTCCAACTGGTCCTACCACCCGAGTTGCCCGCACCGCGGAAGTTGAAAGTGCCCACGAGGAACCCCTGCCTCAGCAAAGTGGCAGCCACGGTCTCAACCACCGGGTCATCGTAGCAGCCCCCGAGCGGCGCGTAGGGATGAGCGATGATGGCGGCGTGCTTGCGCCATGGAGGGGCTCTAGGGTTCGCAGTCAGGGACTGAGGGTGGTAGATGCGGCATTCAAGGGTGGCGTCGTCGTGCACGCTGGGGATAGTGATGGAGAGTGCCGGATCAGGAAGCATGCTGTGGGTAGCCAATGCCGCTGCTAACTTCGTCGTCGGGTGGCGTAATGTATCCGGCGAGATACTCCAAGAGGTCGAGCGGAGCTCTCGGTCACATCTGCCCGAGCTCGATGTCGTCGTCGGTCGAGTTTGGGTCTCGCTTATTTCTCCGAAGACCGCTAAAGACCCGACAACAGTTGTAAATGAACGCGACAGTGACTGGCAGTCCAAAGAGAATCAATACCGTGATGATGAGGACGGTCTCAACTCCCTCGAAATCACCGTGGGTGCCAAACTAGGACACGAAGCCGGACCACGACATTGCTCACGAGGGTCGTCGGCTAGAAGGCTTTATGCGGTCTGCAGATGGCCCGGTGGCGGACAAGCAAGTCTGGGGGTATTCAAAGGTGATATAATATACGAATTGTTGTGAAGGTTACAGGTTAAGAATGTAGAGCTTTAGCTAGGGATTGTCTTCCTGGTGACAATTATTTGGAGTTGACGTCAGCTTGGGACGGGCAAGGGTTGCTCAGGGATTCCGCGTCAAAATAGTACACAGCAAAAATGGCGGGGTCGGATACGGCAGGTCCTTTCCAGTCCGCTGGGCAACGGGAGCCTCAGTCACTCTGTGAAGAAACAATGTACCGCTTTCCAAGATTCCTTGACTGGTATCCACAGGACCCATAGTCGACAACATCCTCACATCTCTTGGCCTCAGAGCCGCCTGGGCCAGCTGGGCCAGCTGGGCCAACAATTCAACAACCAAGAATAGGATCCAAAGCCCTGTTGGCGACTGGACCTGACGACCTGTACAAAAACAATCAATCTCAGCGCTGCTTAGAAACAAGCAGCACACAGGTCAACCAGGGACACTCCATCAACAGCCACCAACATGCACTCATGTCTTCGCCGGCTGCCACCACGTTCAGCTCGAATGTGCTCGAGACAGACAGTCGCCAACAGCCACGGGAATGTCATCTACTATGTACGCACTCCTCCGCGGCTAGTAACCCGGAGGATCGGCCTAGCTACAGCGCAATCGGCCTGCCGTTCGGCATAAAGGCGAGTGGAGTTGGGCAATCCATGCCCGGTGCAGATTTTTGTCACGAGGGCGCATACGCCCCCGGGGCCCGCGCGGTCTGATGACTCCTTTGCATGTACTGGGCGTTCCATGAACGGCATATTGCCTTTCCTTTTTTTTGTGTCAGCATTATTGGTCTGCCCTACTTCAAGATTCTTCGTCTTGACTTCGGGTTTTTGTCTACTTCCCCTCAGCCTGTCATTTCTTTGCCTGCTTTGCATTTGGTCATTCTCGGCTCAAATCTCCAGCTACACCAGAATGGCGTCAAACAATACGAGTGAGGACGCTCCTCGAGCTGAGGACGACAATGTGTCAGCCGCAGAGCCGAACCAGAGCGTCTGGCGCTCTATATGGGAGAACAACAAGGGTGCTCTTCTCATCCTCTCATCTGTTGTCTGTGGCGCGTCAATGGACGCCATTGCCCGCTTCTTGCAGCAAGGCGGTGCTGGCTTTCACACGCTTCAGGTTTGTCCGGCACCGGATTCCAAGAATTTCAGTGAATATTAACACGTCTATCAGGTAATCACAGCTCGTATGGGCATAACGTTCATTCTGAGCACCCTGTACATGTGGTGGACTTCGGTGCCATATTTCCCGCTGGGACATCCCGAAGTCAGGGGTTGGCTGGTGTTGAGGGCCCTGTTTGGATTCGTGGGCCTTTTCACCTTATACTGTGAGATTGAGTCCCCAATAGACACGAAAGTGATTGCACCTCTCATCTGGACGGACACTGACACCCTCACAGACTCGGTCCACTACCTGCCCCTCGCCGAGGCTACCGTGTTCCGCTTCCTCATCCCAATCGTCACGGCCTGGGCATGCTGGGTTGTGCTGGGCCAGCCCTTCACCCGCAAGGAGCTGATCGCGGGCCTGGTGGCCCTGGTGGGCGTAGTCTTCATCGCGCACCCAGAGTCGATCTTCGGCAAGGTTGACGACCACATCCACGCTGATGCCGCCTCCGGCGACCTGGACGAGGTCACACCCGCCCAGCGCATGCTCGCTATCCTGCTGTCCGTCTCTGGTGTTGTCGGCGCGTCGGGCGCTTATACCACTATCCGCATCATGGGCAATAGGGCCCACGCTCTCATAAGCGTCAACTACTTCGCGCTCATCTCCACTGTCGGTTCGGCGGTCGCACTGCTGGCCGCGCCGGGGGTGGGCTTCACTATGCCCAGGTCCGCACGCGAGTGGGCCCTACTGGTCCTCCTCGGCGTTCTGGGCTTCGTTCTGCAATTCCTGCTCACGTCCGGCCTGCAGTTGGACAAGAGCCCCAAGGCCACGTCCATGCTGTACACTCAGGTGATCTTCGCCCTGATCTTCGACTGGGCTATCTGGGGTGTCCTGCCCGGCGGATGGAGTCTCTTTGGTGGCGCCATCATCATTGCGAGTACCCTTTGGTCGGCTCTGCACAAGCCGCAGCCCCCAAAGACCAAGGTGGAGGCGAAGAAGGTTGTTGATGAGGAGACGGCGCTGCTGGGGCCCCAGACAGAAGGTGTAGAGGAGATTAGGAGAGTCCCCAGCCCTGGACGCTCTTAAATACTCAAGCACTAGGATCCTCCCGTAAAACACCCATTTTTGCATACTCGGAGTCGCAATTTTTAATTTCCATCGGGATTTGGAGCATTGGGTTTCAGCGATTGCAACTAGCATTGAATATGTACAGTGAACGCGGGGATATATCAGTGCCCCGACTCAATATAGTGCATACATTTGGCAAATATTTAAAAGAAAGTGATCCCGTATAGAACGAAAGGTCAACACAAGAGAGGCTCACGCCTGATTCTCAAGGTGAGACCATATATGACCCTCTACATTAGGCCGGACCTGACAAGACGACCGAGTCGATCGTGCAAGTCACCGTCGTGCCCGAGACGGAGGCCTTCGCGCCGGTGATCGTGTACTTCGTGGCTGAGTTGTAGTTGCTCGGGCTAGAAGTGCACCACGAGGAGCTCGAGCTGCCCGTGGCGACGATCTTCACGTTCTTGAAGGTGAGTGGCCCGAAGTTCCAAGCAACATCATATCTGCAAGCCCGCACGCGCATCAGTCTCATTCACACTTTATTACCCCGGACTCATCACGCCGAGAGAAGTCTTGCGCGGCGCCTAGTCAGACTATCAACGGACAAGGACTCACAGCTCAATGGCAAAAATAGCCTGGTTGAAGCTCTTGGAGCTCAGCGCGAATGTGTCCGTCTTGGTTGTGCCGGTGCTCCCGTGGACGGTGGTTGACTGCCAGTTGGTACTGTCGATTCTGACATTTTTGAACGTGTTCGTCTCGCCCGCGTAGGTGTTGAAGCCAGAGCCCCAGGCCAGGGACGGGTTGCTGCAGCACCAGCCCGAGCCGAAATACCAAGTACCTGAACGGCCATCGAGGACATTCTGGTACACTCCAGAGTTGTCGGTGGGCTGCAGACCAGGCCAGAGGTAGTAGGTGGCCGCGGCGGGGAGGGTGGGCACGACCATAGACCCGGAGAATTCAGTGAACTGGGCGCCACTGGCCGGGTAGTATGTCAGGAAGTACCATGTCACGGCGGAGGCCGGACTGGCGAGTAAGGAGAGGAGGGTGAGCGTAGCGAGGGTCTTGATCGAGGACAACATCTTGTTGATATGCAAGAGCAGATGATCAATAGGGGTAAGAATAATATAGAACCCAAGCCCAAGGGAAAATGGCTTGACCACTGATGTCAAAAATACCAAAGAAAAAAACATGAGACGACGGGAGGCTTGATATAACTTTATATCAATTTGAGTACCTGGTGGATTCCGTTGTTATTCGAGCGGCAACGTCCCCTGGCCCATCATCTATCCTCGACAAACGACGGGATTCTCGGAGCCGGCTGTGAGGAGCAAGGTCCACAAGACCCATGCCGGTAGATGGTGGTCTATGGTGGTATTGAGACGGGACCTCGACTGTTTTCGGAAGGTTCCCTTGGATAATGCAACGAGGTCGAATTGATTGGGGTGCTTGCTAGAGTGAGTTGGCTTGATGGGGGCAGACTGATGATAGGCAATCTGGTGTGGATAATTTAGAGTCCGATATGGGTGTGCTGATCGTTGCTAGCTCAGGGCAGTCTATATTTGCAAGACTTATGCGCAAGGAATATCAGTGGCCCGCCATGACCCGCCTACCCGTCACCGTGGTATTGCGTAGATATGCCAAAGGTCTCGGCGAAGCTTGATTAATCCCTATGCCTTTGAAGCAATTGGGGCGATACTGTTCTTGTCGAAAGCATTGGGGAAATGGGTCTTGAGCTCAAGATTCAAATTGTATATCGAGAGTCGAGACCTGTACCTTAAGAACCATGAGCACCCCTGAATGCCCCTGCTCTGGAGACGTTATCTGATACAGCCTACAAATTCCTTAATTTGCTAGAATATCATCGTAAATCACCACCATCTCGAAGCGTTCCCGATGTTATGAGCGTTGTGGACGTTCTGCCTGGATTCCCGTCGACACTGGGTTGAGTATGGCATGACTCCGCGATGGAACGACGATCTTCTTCGGCCGACTACACACTACACCTACCACCACTCAAGCGGTGCCACTCACCTCAAAATGGTCGACGCAAGAGCTTGTCGTCTCTGACGGGGACCTTGGATTGCTCGCTGTTTTTTCAAAGACGAGATATCTCTTGAGGCAGATCGAAGCGGACTGATGTGGCAAGAACTGCACATATCGACTCTCGAAGCTTACCAAGTCTTGCTGAGGAGTTACAAAGGTCTCGAATACAAAGGCGGCATAGCTTTGAAGGAGCGTATGGAGGCGAACGTGCATGCATATAGACTAACAAACCAGCTGTTCAATGACCGACCATCAATGCCGGGGACAAGATGTTAAGGCCAAGGATGAGATGGTGACAGGCATGATGGCTGATGCAAGATTTGGGCAGAATTGGAATCGAGCAAGCCTCGCCCGCCCGTGAGTCGGTGGCCTCTGGATGAGGTCAAGGTGAAAGAGTAACCAGGAGATGCGAGATACTCATTTCGAGATGGAAAGTACAAGGTGAGATTGTAGAGTTGCCTAAGGCCTAAACCGGTCCAAGCTTCGAGGCTGTAGGGGAGTGCACATGGGCGGACCCTCCAGGGTTACCGCACCCATGACAGGGGTCTAGTGCAGAGGGTATTGCATAAGCAGAACTTTTTCAACGCCTCTTTTCTCACCCTCGACCACTGTTGATGATTGAAGCTCACTCCCTTCCTACCTCATAGAACGTCACTTCACTTCCTAAGATGGCTTCGATAAAAGATCACTTCCTTGACCTGGAACGGCACCGTCGCCAGCTTGAAGAAAATGTCGAGAAGCTTCGCAAGGCGATCACTCACTGGCGCATGTGCGACGCCGACTACGAGGAACTCAAGGAAGAGGTCGAAGCCATATCAGGGCCCGTACACCGCGCAGATGTGGATAGGATATGTGATGGATTTGAAGGTCAAGTCATCACCGCCAAGGAGGTCAAGGAGATCTTTGGCGAGGCAACAGTGAAGCCCAAAGCGCAAATTGTCAACATCCTTTCACGGCGGATTGACTATGTCTCCAAAAATGTAGAGACCTTGGAGAAGCAGCTTCAGGCCGCGGAGGAGAAGTATGAAAAGGCCAATATTGTCGCCAACCCGGACGTCATGGATGAAGATTCAGGCCTGCCCATCACGGATATCATCGAGGAGCTTGACGATGATAACAACGTCACCTCGTCGCGACTGCAAAGACCGGGCGACTCAACCTCAGCTATCCGTGAGGCGTTGGAGAAGGCTGGCGTCAAGGATCTGCCTGAGACGAACGAGCAGCTGCAGGCTGATGTCGTGGAACTCTCAGGCGATGAAGATAACTCGACCAAGGACGAGTACAATGGGCGCGTTGAAGCACGGAGTCCGGGCGAAGCAGAATCTAGTACAGCATCAAGTGCCATGGAAGTCGACTCGGTAGAGCCTCCTGTGAAAAAAGGCGTTTCCTTTGCGGAAGACACAAAACCGGGCCACGAGCTCAAAGGCGGGGACCCTAGATTTCGGACGCGGGAGCTTATGGATCAAATCATGAAAGAAGCCAAGGATCAGGAGGCACCGCTCTCGAACCCAGTAATACCGGACGATGAGCCAGACGAGGACGCTGATCTCCGGCGGGAGATGCTCCGGTACGGCATGACTGACATTGCGCCCATTGTTGCCGAGCTTGAAATCGACGAGGGCACGGGATCCGAGTTCGAAGAGGAGGAGTTCAGTTCTGATGAGGACGACGGCTTCGAAGATGGCGAGGACGAGGATGAGGACGAGCATGGGCGGACCAAGTCCCGCGTGGTCGACGACAAGTATAGGAAGCGCATGCAGGAACTTGAGGCGCGATTAGGCATAAAGTCGAGCCGCCAAATCGAGGAGGAAGCAGCGACCAAGGCCGCTAGCAGCATCCCAGAGGAGGGCATCGCACGTATCGCTATCCAATCACCAGCTTCAAGCCAGCCAGCAGTTACAAGCCAACCTGCCAAGTCGGCCATGAAGGGCGGCGATGAGGCTGCGCAAGAGGCGAAGCCCGCGAAGAAGGGAGTTAAATTCGCAAGCGCGCTGGACATCGCCCCGGAAACAAAAGCCGAACCAGTTTCGACCTCCGATGAACCCGACGAGCCATTCGTCGATCCCATGAAAAGCACCATCGTGGAACGGAGTCCAGCCGCCCAGCCAGCCGCACCAACAGCGAGCGCACCCAAGAAGACTTCACGATTTAAGAAGGCACGGGCAACCGACTCAAGCCCGAGCTCAGCCGAGACACAGCTCCCTGTTCGCACCAAGGGACCGGCCGAGGCTCCGGCACGCTTCCTCGACCAGGACGTGCGGACCGCCCCGGCAGGACCGGATGGCAAGACGCTCGCCGGGACGGTCGTCGAGCGGGATATGCCCTCGGGCGCCGTGGAGCCGGACGAATTCGACGCGACTTTGCTACACCAGGAGGCTGCCGTGGAGTACCACCGGATGCGCAACCGGATGATACAGAAGCAGGGCGGCTTCGTGACTCAGAAGGAGGAGGCCATCGAGTACCCCGAGGACGAGGAGGAAACGGGCGGGAAACGTGTGAGCCGGTTCAAGGCTGCTAGATTGGGGAAGCAGTAAGACCATACACAGGCAGGTAGGGGTTGTAATGACAACTAGCATGCTGATTGTGACTTTCTGCGACCCTATCATGACCCAGACTCTACCCCTGCTCTTGACCATCACCGTGTCAAGAGAATATGACGACGCCACAAGTTCAAAACAAGCATCGCTACTGCGGCTCTTGGTAGCCTGCAATTAAAATCTCACGGAATCCAGGTCGTCTCACGACAGCCAGTTGAGCTTGCAGCTTCCCATCTGCTTGCTCGGTATGGGTAACATTCCAATATTGAATCCCGAGGGGCTTATCTGACCCCTGACCCGTGAAGCCTTCGCCGGCTTTGCCTTGTGGTCTAGGCGTTTCGTTTCACCACCTTACATGCTGAAGACGGAGGGATGGTATATATATATATACCCATGGCTGCAAGCACCGCAAGCATTGGTGATCAGGCCTAGTCACTTTATTGTTGTTTAAGTATGTCCAGTCGTGCCTCGTAAAAAGTGGTATCATACAACTCCAATTTCCCATGCGCTACTCTCTACACATCCACAGCACGCCCTAGTTGATCTTGGCATTGCTGAAGTCCATCTCCGGGTGCTGCGCCTGAAACTTCTTGAGGATGTCGGCCTTCTTCTGCTCGTCGCTCGTGGGCAGGCCAGCCTCCTTCTGGCGCTGGTCGTACATCATCTTCTCGACCATGGTGCGCGTCTCGCCGTCCAGGTCCGACAGCTTGGAGGACTCGGGCGTGATCTTGGTGACGTCGATCTTGGGGGCGCCCGTGACGACGTGCGGCCACCACTCCATCTTGTTTACCTTGTCCAAGTGGATCTCGACCGTCTTGGTGCCGTCCGACGCCGTTGTGAGCGTCCAGGTGCTTTCGTCGACGTGAATTGACTGGTGCAGATCGCCCTGTGCCACAAAAGCTTTCGTGTCAGTGTTACTGTTGTGAAACTGCTTCCTCATGTGCTTGTTTGTATTTGGGTCTGGGGCAGTTGTGTGGAGCATACACTTATGATGGGTTCCTGTCCCTTGACGCCGGCTTTGAGGCTCTGCTTCTTGATCTCCACGACCAGATCCTTGCTCTTATAGTTGCCCGGAATTCCGCCGAAGGTGATATCTACGTCGCCAATGGTCTGCTGCCACTTGTAGGGGAGGGCATCTTGCTCGGCTTGCTCCTTGGCGCGGGTGGCTGCTTCTTCGGCGGCGGTGGGTTCTACGGAGCTGTCAGTTTAGCTGTGGTGAGGGGGCTCAGAAGTAATCTAGGCAGAGGCTATAAACCCTCATATCGTCTAGAGCGCGCACCTTTGTCTGTCATCTTGTGGAATGTACAGTCAGATATTTGGAGTTGAAACTTTCCAGAAACGTGGAAGCCGGTCGAAGCTGGAGAAGGCTGGTAGTGGTGGGAACACCCGCCCTGGATCTGGAATGGCGGGGCAACTTTTCGGGGGAGCTCCAGCGCTGCATGCAACCAACGCCTGCAGGCACCCACCTGGGCACATCCGAACATTTAGAAGCTTACCCCTGCTCAGTACCAAGGTAGCTAAAGTAGCTAAAGTGCGGGTTGGATCTACACGTCCTTGGATCATGTCTGATGCGCCCTTTCGTCACCTCATCGCTTTTCACACCTGCCAAACACACCACCCTACGACAACTCCTCCGCCCGACTCCCATTATTTCCAAGGCCAGCCTCCTCTCCAACTCGATGAATCGCTCTTGTCGACGTCCCTGATCATCTTTGACGCCTGCCATGTCGCGCAAACCAGGGGCACCCGTCCCACGCGCCGGGCCCGTGGCAGCCCCAACCCAAGCCATCGCCCTGACCAACACCGACGGCGAGGAGCAGTGCCCCATCTGTAAGACCCTCCGATACATGAACAAGTCGATGCGCTTCCTTATCAACCAGGAGTGCTACCACCCGCTCTGCAACAACTGCGTCGACCGGCTGTTCGAGAACGGGCCCAACCAGTGCCCCTACGTAGGGTGCCACAGGACGCTACGCAAGAAGGGCTTCCGCGAGCCCGTCTTCTCCGACCTTTCCGTCGAGCGCGAGGTCGACATCCGGCGGCGCGTGGCGGCCGTCTTCAACCGCTCCGAGGACGAGTTCGAGGACCTGTCATCGTACAACGAGTACCTGGAGATGGTGGAGGGTCTGACCATGGACCTCGTGTACGGCGGCCCCGCCGAGCAGGCGTCCGCCAACGAGAAGCTAATGCAGTGGGAGGACGAGCACAAGGCTGAGATCGAGCGCAACAAGCGCATGGGCGAGCGGCAGAAGGAGTCGACCCGCAGGCAGATCGCCGCCGAGAAGGAGGCCGCCCGGCAGCGCCGCGCCGAGGCCGCCCAGGCAGAGGAGGCCGAGCGCCTGGCCAAGATCAAGCAGCGCGAGGAGGACCTCGACACCCTGGCGCGCGCCCCGCAGGGCCAGGCCACCAAGGTCATGCTCAAGCGGCGCGGCCAGCACCGCAAGGAGGAGCTTGCGGCCTCCGAGGCCGCCGCCCTGCGCCGCGCCGCGGCGGCGGCTGCCGGTGGCCTGTCCATCCGGGGTCTGAAGAAGAAGGGCGACGCGGCGAGGGACGCGGACACGGGCCCTTACGACCCCTTTGGCAAGCTGGATCTGAGCAGCACTCGGTACACGCTCCAAAAGGACTACAAGAACCCCTTCCTCGACAACGCGAAACATGACCAGAAGATCACGGCGGGCGGGTACAGCCTGCCAGAGTACTACGCGCGGGCCATGTTCGAGGCCTTTGCCGGCCTGTCGGTGTTTATCAACGACGAGAAGGAGACGGGCAAACTGGGCATGGACTTTGGGGATGTCGCCACAGGAGGCGCCGGCTTGGCCGCCCAAGCAGACGCGGTCGGCGACGAGGCCGCGAGGACGGCCGTCAAAAAGGAAAAATCCGAGATCAAGCTGGAAATGGACCGTGAGGTCAAGCAGGAAGCCAAAGGGGAGGATGTGGTCAAGGTCGAGCCCCCAATCAAGATGGAGGTGGACGACTATTAGAGCTTCTTACGTCCTGTGGGAGCTTGCTGGGACCATGTGGTCTGCTTGGAGAGTTGATTCGATCATGATGGACGGGGAATTCAAACTGTTTGCATAGCGACGGCGTTTCTTAAGGCTTGGGATGTTCGTGGTCAGGGCCAGGTGCGAGGGGTTTTGAAGCACATCATGTGGCTGTTGAAAGTTGGCGGAAAAGTCCAAGAAATGGGCCATAGAGCGAGAGCACCAGTATCCGAGACAGAGTCCTACGGACGTTATGTCCATTAAGCTTTATTGCGTGCAATCTTGAACGTACCCGTGCCGGTTGTGAGAACGCACCAGTCCCAAGTTCAATATTTACAGTAGCAGGCCCTTTGATCTAACCAGCCCCTGACACGCGCCTTGTAGCTTCACCCACCACCGATCGACTTTCCCAAGCCTATGAAGACCCTTCCTTTCGTCCATTATTAAGCCGCCCTTAACGCCACGCTCTGCAAACACAGAACCGCAAGACAGACTGAAAACGCGATGGGCGAAGTGCTTTCTGTTCAGGTTTCTTTGCATTGCTTCTTATGTCAAGAGTTAAATGCATTGTAACTATTAATCACTGCTGGGCCCAGGGACTCTGTTGCGCTGGCCTAGGGAACACAGGGAGCGTCTGGAGGGTATCTAGACCGCCGCCCATTGGCTGTTGATTATGCTGCCAGCCCATGCCCGTGTTGTGATTAACAAATTGCGACTGTCGGAACGGATTCGTCGTCCCTGTCGGCTGTGGTGCTAGACCAGCACTTGTTGCTGGTCTTTGTGGTTGCTGAGCACCGCCAAAGTTCTTCGCAAATGGATTGGTCCCGGTGGCCATGGGTTGCAACGGTGCCGCTGGTGGAGGAGATTGGAACGGGGAGGGGTTGCCAGTTGCCGAGGACGATCGAGCGAATGGATTTGTGGATGTGTGTTGCGGTTGAAGTGTAGGCGGACTTGTGGGTGCAGACTGCGCACTCATGCCGGTTGGCTGGCCTGACAGCATGGACTGGCGGAAGGGATTAGTAGTTTGTTGCGGTGCCAGAAGATTAGGCATGGACGCGCCCGTCTGGAACGAAGACATCGCCGATTCCTGCGGTATAGCAGCCAGCGAGCTCTGGTAACCAGGCTGGGGAGTGAAGCCTCCGAACCCAGCACCAGTGAATGAGGGCTGCAATGGCTGCGGAGGCGCTTGTTGCTGTGCTTGAAAAGCCCCCATGTGTTGCTGGAAGGGATTTGTAGCCTGGAAACCTGTTTGCTGTGGGACGAATCCATTTTGATATCCCGTAGGTTGTGGCTGGAAGCCGTTCTCTGGTCCCCAAGGCGACGCTCCCATCTGACCTGGCTGAGCGGTGGGCTGCGCACCCAGTGGCGTCTGATTCTGTTCTATCGAATCGAAGAAGTCGATCAGGTCTGTGTTCGGGTTCTTAGCCGGCGCTGGCTTGTTTTCGGTGCTTGACGATCCGTTGACTTCGGGGAATGGTGAGTTGGAGGCTGCTTTGGGAGCGGACTCGCTCTTCTTGGTGGTAAAGAATGGTTTGGACGCCCCTGAGCCTCCTTTGCCCTTCTTAGCCTCCAACTCAGCCAAGTACTGCCTTCGATGGATCTCGAAATCGGAGTCGTTGAGGTAATCCTCCAGTTGCCGTCCGAGGTTAACGGGTGCGTGCTTCAGCTTAGGGACCTCGACCCTCGTATGGTGCTCGTATTGGCGGGCTACGCCGAGGTACTGAACGACCACATCCGTCTGTTTGGTGAAGTTGCGATAGATATCCATAGCTCTTTCCGCGTCTACCTTGGACATCTCAAAGAAGTGACCTAGACACCAAATTTAGTCCGTGGTTCAGCCTAGACGTATCGCAGATCTTACCTAGGATGTTGATCAGTGCCTGATTCAGCACCTGGAATAAGGCCAGTAAATCGAGTACCAACAGCCTGAAGACCGTGATTGTTATTTCGTTCTCCGGTTCGTTGTCCATGACCTAGCTTCCTGTCAGCCGCGAGTCTCGAGATGTTGCTCGGAACCACGAACATCGCATTTCAGAAGAGCCGTCAGTTGGTTCTGAATGGCCTCCGTCTCTCTTAAAAGGCCCTTGTCCACGGACAGCGTATCCATGCGGCTCTCCCTGCCCCTCACCCAGTCGATCTTTGTGTCACGATACGCTCGCGCTCGTTCTGATAGGTAGTTGGCATAATGCCGTATATTCCGCCCCTGTGTTTGGGCTGTTGTCCGTGGGTCAGTAACTTCTTGTAAAGGATTCTGGGCACGGCTATGCGTTCCAGTCTTTGCGCGGCGGGCGTGGACTGACCATCGGAGAACATGCTCACTGCCAGCATATTCCGGTGTTTCGCTAGATAAGCCAGCGTTACATCCGGCGAGCCCTCCCTAATCATTAGGTGCACAGTGATCAAGCTCTTGAAGACAACGGTCCATGTTGAATCTCTCAGCCGGTGCTGCAGCGCGCGGAAGACCTCGCCCACTCCAGCCTCTCCGGAGTGCGTCGCTATAAGGATGTGCTCGATGTATTTCGTCTTCGGGGGCGCAGCCTAAAATCGTATGGAATGTTAGCAACGTCGCCCACGCCTACAGCGCTTATCAAGGACAGCGCGGATCAGTCCTGTCGTATCGTGTCGATGCACCGATGGGTGGTGACGGACCTTGATCTTGGTGGCGCCCTTGACGGACTTTTCGAAGGAGCTTGCCATCTTGATGCTCTCTGGGTCGGCGAAAAACGTAGGGCGCAGTCAGGGCACGTATCGCGCTAATCGGGAGGACGTGGTGCAGCAGCAAGTCGTCAAGAAAGGCACGGAGATTAATCGGCTGCGAGATTGACGGGCGGTGGAGCAGGCTGGGCTGAGATGGGCTGCAGCCGAGGGAAGGGAGTTGCGGCGTTCTCAGTGATGCGACAGCGGCTGGGGGCTGCGAAAATGACAATGGCAATGACGATGGGTCGGCCGGTCGGTATTCACGGAAGGCCAAGCACCACAAAAGGGGCGGAGTGAGAGGTGATCTTCGAGGCAGTTCAGAGAGCGGCCATGGCATGAACGGGGGTGCGGTGCACGATCAAAGCAAGGTACCCCAAGCTGCGGGTGTAAGCGAATTTGAGTATAATCTAAGGGGATAATTATGTACGAGTCGCCTGATGAACAACAAAGGCAAGCAAGCAACCTGCGAGAGTCGGGAGCACGGTCCGAGATGTTTGGTCGACTACCCCGGAGGTGCGACAGTCGGTGGTACTGTGAGAGTGGTTGTGCAGGATAAGATGAGGTTGACGAGTTCCCACGTCAGGTAGCGTCGGTCGACCTTGGGTGCTTGGCTGTCCCTCCCAATGAATGCCCAAGGTTACGACTTCCCACCTGTTGCGGTGGACGGGCAATGGGGAACGTGGGACGTTGGAACGGAGTACGGACATACTTGGGTACCCAAGTACCTGAGCCCGGGCTAACGGCAGCACCGACGTTTCCCAAGCATGCTAATGCTAGGTGGCCCCTTGAGCGTCGCCTTGCCGTTTCTGGTTGGGTTAGGAGAGCTGGACGGGCCCCAGAGGCCCTGACGCCCAGGACATCAGAGCAGTAGGGCAGCGGGACAATCACTGACGGAGCGTCAGGAACAGGTGGGTCATTCCAGGCATGGACGATCAAAGACCGAGTGCATGGTACAGCGTACGCTGCACACAGAAAATTCAATTGATGCTGTCGTCACGTAACCTCAGGCAGATTTAAGGGTCCAGTGTGCGATTCATTACGGTGTCGCAATGTCAGCATCAACGTCAATGTCAACCTCTGCTATTTCACCGTTTCCACCCATGTGCTTCCAGCCTACCAGTGCCACCTAGGGCTGCTTAGTGCCATGCCCAAACATCAGACGAGAAGCTCATCCATCCCCTTCCGTTTCGTGAAACATGGCCATGACAAGCAGGGACTGCCCCTAACCATTTGGTGACTTGTCTGTCCGGGGAATCAAGGCATTATCAAAGCACGACAGAAGACATTTTTTTGACTTTGAGGGGTTTGTATTAAAACTATTCTATCCGGCTTGCCTGACAGTAGATGATGTGGCACACGGCAGCAAAATAATCGCGAAGATAAAACGGATATCAGGTGAGGTTCGCTCAGATGCAGGGGATAAACTCAACAAGGAACCTGGCAAAAGTGTTTCCTTTGTCCACTAGGGGAAGGGGAAAATTGGGTTGAGTCTCAGAACTACCGAGCACCACCAACGATAACGAGCACCAAGTCGGAGAGTACAAGACCCGCCGCCTTGTGTCAGTGCTGAATCTGCAGACGCGCTCTCAAGTACCGCGACACTGGCCACGGGTGAAAAACCTGGGGTTAGGTTTTGATCATGACTGGAACCAAGGACTGGCGCACCACAGCCGGGCGACGACCTGGTGTAAAAATCGGAGCCGCCAACTGACAACAACGGGCAGCCCAGATAGATGCTGCTATTAAATCCTTCCAATTCTCAAACTTTGGTCAGAGATGCCGTGTGGCGTCCGAATAAACAAGGTCAACGTGTGTCGAACGCTTATTTCATGAACCCAGTCCTCTCGTCACAACCAGGCCGCTTGAGCCCACGAGGGGAGAGCCTTGGCTGCGACGGAGAGGCGAATTCGATCATTTGGAACACGCTGGCTTTCATCATCTGCGTCGTCCATCAGTAATCATGTTCAAGCATGTCCAACTTTTGGATCTGCGGTGTTGCAACTCACATTGTTATGAATTGGAAGGATCAACTTCTTGCAGAAGAAGAGAGAAAATTCAGAAAGCTGTGCTCGACGCGAGCTGCAAGATATGGCCAGTCCAGCAAGCTACGGGCCCCACCTACTCATTCGTCAGCCAATGATATCGGCGCTTCAGTGGGTCTAGCATCACCCATCCTGCAGGTACAAGTGCGATGTACCTCTAGCTCTGCCATACAGGTAGTCATCCGGGTGCCTCTCTCATGACCTTTCGATATATCGAGGTGCTTTCCCACAGCACACTGATGCACACCGTTCACTCGAGACTGCCATGCGGTTGCCTTCGGCAGGGGGACTTGTGAGCCTGAGGCTACCCTACAAAATACAATGCAGCCCCACTTCACTCCAAGCCAGGCTCAAATCTGGTGATCCTGTCGCTGGTCTCATTGCTCGAAATTGGGCTCGACAACGGACAAACCTCACCTGGTGCAGCCGTCGCAACCTGCACGACGGGGCAAGAGACCTAGCCCCGCCGACTCAAGTCATACCAACTGATGTGGGAGGTCTTCCGGAGCAGTTTCAGCAATTCAAGAATTACTGTAAGTAATATAACCTTTGCCAGTCGGAATGGAGTTGGCTTGCTCATGATGTTGCACAGTCAACGCCCCAGCCCAGTCTGCCGCTGGGGATTTCCAGTTGAAACAGACCGTGACTGTCCATGGCTTCATATCGAAGCGCAGAGACATATCATCCAAGTTGAGCTTCGTCGACCTCATCGTGGACCGCGGGCCATCGTTCCAATTCAAGTCCTCGTGGGAAGAGAAGGACTCGCCGGAGCATCAGTTGCACAAAGCTCTCAAGCAAGTCTCAGCATGGAGTCCGGTCAGCCTCACTGGTACTATAGAGGAGATCAAGAGTTCCGAAAAGAGTTTCAGCCCCGAATTTCCAAAAAGTTTTGGCCACTACGACTTGACCCTACAACATGTCCACGTACTCAGCCCCTTTCCCCGGGACATCATCATATCAGAAGGCGCTCAATTCCCACCGCACGCTCGACACCTGCAACTAAGATTCGACGAACCCCTCCAAAACAGGCTATTGTTCCGCGAGTCCTTGACTAAAATTGCCCAGGATGTCCTCAACCAACGGTACTTCCATCATGTGGAGACACCGATTCTCTTCAAGTCTACCCCGGAGGGTGCGAGAGAATTCTTGGTCCCAACTAGACGGCCCGGTTATGCCTATGCGCTACCTCAAAGCCCACAACAGTACAAGCAGATTCTCATGGCGGCGGGTGTCAGGGGCTACTATCAATTTGCAAGGTGCTTCCGAGACGAGGATCTTCGTGCTGACAGACAGCCTGAGTTCACACAGGTGAGAAACTCATCTCGCCTTTTGACCAAATTTTCTCTTGGTCTCCCTTTACTGCTACCAACATATGCTGACATGGGTGAGATGAAACAGCTCGATTTGGAGATGTCATTCGCGAAAGGCGAGGACGTAATGAGATTCATAGAAAGTCTTGTCCAAGAAGTATACGCTTCTATCTCCAGAGTTTGGCAAGCGCGCCAGGTCAACGGAGCCATATATCCGACTTTAAAGTCGGATGCTATGGCGGATACCAATGAGTACCCTCCTATAGAAGCAGAATTTCCACGTATCACTTATCAGGAGGCCATGGCTCTCCACGGGTCGGACAAACCGGATCTAAGAATACCTAATAAGGTTCGTTCTTCCTTTGTATAGTGCCCAACGGGAAAGACTGACAATAACGCAAGATACAACGGATCGACCACATTTTACCACGGAGCTTCATCTCGATGATATCAGATCTAGAAGACCCCATCGTCGAGGCTTGTGTGTTCCGGTTCGACGCCCCCTCCAAGGACTTCATCAAATCTATTTGGGACACTCTCCCCAAACCCCTGAGCAAAAACTCAGACGGTCAACCTGTTCCCCTCATCATTGACTCTAGCAAGCCTCTTTCTGGCCTCTCGCCTTTAGGTCACGAGGCAGCCTCGGCCGTCCTAGACGCCAGCAACTCAGACCTCCCCAACATCTCCGGCCTCGAGCAAGGAGACGTGCTCGTCATCCAAGCCCGGCCCAACAAACCCTTCGAAGGCGGCTCCACTGCACTTGGCGACCTTCGAAGGCACATCTACGCTGAGGCAGTCGCGCAAAACCTCCTCCCGCCCGACCAGTCCTTCAAGTTCCTTTGGGTGACAGGATTCCCGCTCTTCACGCCCAATACCGACTCGTCCGATCCAGCAGAGGGTCAGCACGGCGCTAGTGGCTTCTCCTCCACTCACCACCCATTCACGGCGCCCCTTACGCCCGAGGACTTCGACCTCCTGGCTACAGACCCCCTGAAGGTGAAGGCGGACCATTACGACCTCGTCGTAAACGGGGTAGAGCTTGGAGGCGGCTCACGCCGTATCCACATAGCCGCGCTCCAGGAATACGTCTTCCGCGATGTCCTCAAGATGAGCGACGAGGGCGTCAGCCACTTCAGCCACCTGCTGGAGGCGTTGAGGGCGGGTTGCCCACCGCATGCCGGATTTGCATTCGGATGGGACAGACTTGTGGCTACGCTGAGCTTTACAGGGAGCGTGAGGGATGTGATTGCCTTCCCCAAGAGCAAGAAAGGAGATGAGCCTGTTGCGAGGGCGCCTGGGAAGGTCACGGAGGAAGAGTGGAAGACTTACCATCTCAAATTTGACCAGAAAGACTGAATAGACAGGGAGGGAGGGTATCAGTGGCTTTGACGCAGGGACGTATCATGACGTCTCCGCTTGTTCTGAACTACCAAATGTCTGTAGAATGTACGATACACCATATATCATGTATTAATCAAGAGGATAAACATAAGCGCTTGTTCATCAGGGGAAGTGTAAGTGAGCGCCAAACCCAATCCCTCATTCTGGAGCACAGTCAGACTGCCCGCTCGTTATTGTCACCGTGCTTTGCTTGGGGCAGCTAGATATCTGCTGAGGTTGTTAAATCCAGGAAGCCTTATGGGGCTCAAACCATGCTCAGAGGGCATGGGTGCATCCATTTTCCTCTATTCTAGTGAGGTCCATTGAGCATGTCAGCTAATGGCATCGAATCTTTCTCCGTAAAACTGTCGATCACCGTTTCCAGGCAATGCAGTTTGGCAGATTCTTGTGTTCCAGCCGGTCGGGTCGATGGTAAGCAAGTCGTGGGGAAGAAGATCTGCCGATCCGGACTAACACATGATTTGGTGAGATATCTAACGACAGCCCATCCATCCTACGGTGCCACTCACTCATCGCAACTTCCCCTCAGTAACGTCCGTCAGCCGCCCCAGCAACTCCCCAAGTTCCACACATTTATTTATTTGCGTAACCTTTCATCTGAAAACGAAGAAGACCATTGATCCCCCCACCCCCCAATCGCACTCCAAAGAAAAACACAACAGCCCATCCAAGCCCCCATCATGTCTCAGCCATCATCCGCGATCCGCATCACGGAGGCGGCAACCATTTTCCTCTCCACCATCACCGCAGCTGGCAACCTGTCGCTGTCCATCCTCGTGATTCCGCGCTTACTGGAATCACCTACGCCCCTGATGTTGCGCCAGTGGGTCAACAGCTACAGCCTGAATAAGGTGCTCTTCCCCTCGCTGGGCAGCCTCTCCGGCCTGGCCTATCTCTTCCTGTCCTACCACCACCACCTCTCCGCCGCCACGGCCAAATCCAGGGCTTACCTCGGCGCCGGCCTTTTCTGCTTCAGCGCCATCCCGTACACGTGGGCTTTCGTCCTTCCCACCAACCGGAAGATTTTGCGCAAGGCGGAGGAGATGAAGGGGCTGAAGGCCGTGGAGGGCGTGGAGGTTGAGGAGAAGGGCGTTGGTCCCCGGGGCGAGGAGAGTGCGAAATGGCTGATTGACCATTGGGGAATGGTGAACTTGGGCCGTGGGATCGTGTGGGCTGTTGCTGGAATGCTGGGACTGGCTGCCACGGTGTGAACGGCGGGGGCAGTGTTGCGAATGATGGGTTTGGGGGCCTTCTACTCATGAGAGTTCTCTATAGCTGAGGCGGATGGCGTTGTCATTTCATAATTGACTTCTCATGTGGAACAAGGCGGAAAGTTTTTCGAGCAGGACCGGCCTGTTAGCTGAACAACGCCTCGACGAGTATCTTCCTTCATCTCAAATCATACAAAGCCTTGCGAAGAAATTGCCTCACAACTAAACAAGACCATACCCATACGGCTTTGGAGCCTAGCAGCTCGGTGCGTCAATCTACCCAAATCAAATAGCCTCCATCCTCAAGCAGGATATCACAACTTTTCCGAATTCCGATCCAAGACACATGACACGAGCACATCTTTCTCACTTTTGATAACCTCAGTCAGCTTCACGTTCAGTGGCCGTTTCTCATATAGCAAGTACACCTTCTGCTGATTCCAGTCATGGCTATCCTCCATCAGTTCCATGTCGAAGCCGAGGATCAACCTCGCGAGGCAGACCCTCGTCTCCATAGACGCCAGGGAGCGCCCTAGACAAGACCTCTGGCCATAACTGAAAGGAGCTTGAATCAAGTCAGCATTAAGATCTGCATCCTTTGGGAAGCGGAGAAAGCTCATCACTTACTGAACACATCGTGGTTTTCACCCGCGTACCGGGCGGGGCACGACTCACCAAGCCACCTCTCAGGCACAAATTCCCATGGGTCCTTGAAGTTCTCCTCAAGGTGAAAGGCAGCCCAGCCAGGGACCTGCAGCACCGTGCCCTCAGGCACGAAGTGGCCATCAATGACGGCCCCACCTTCGGGAACCACACGGTTGATGCCAGCAGGCAGCGGCGGGTGGATGCGCAGGCTCTCATCGATGACAGCGCGCAGGTACGGCAGTTTCGACACAGCAGCGAAGGCCAATTCGGCCTCTTCACCAGCGAAGGCGCCGCGAATCTCACTTTGCAGCCTGGCCAGCGCGCCCGGGTTGCGGAGCAGGTGGTAGACGGCCACGGCGAGCAGGGTGGCGCTCGTCTCGCTGCCGGCCATGATCATGATCTGCGCGTCGGCGTACAGCTCCTCGCGCGAGATGCCGCCCTCCGCGCCGATCCGGTGCATCATGCCGCTGATCAGGTCCGGCCGCACGTCCTTGCGTGCCAGCCGTCGGTCGACCTTGTCGCGGGTCGACTGCGCGTGCGCGATCGCCTGTGCCATCACCCTCTCGGGCACGAGGGCCTGGATGAAGCTGCCGAGGTAGCCCATGGTGGTGATCATCTGCGCGTACATCATGTTGGTCAGGTTGGAGAAGATGAAGCTGATCCACGGGTGGAACTGGCCCTGGTCCACGCAACCGAAGGACTCGCCGAAGACCAGATCACCAATAATGTCCTGTTGTGTCATTGTCAGTACATGTCATCATATAATTTTGGTCCCAAGAAAAGAGGTTTCGACATCAAGAGTTTGGTCGGGCAGAGACTCTCCTTGTTGCTCTCATACTCCGTGTGAGAAGGTCAGGAAGGAGAGGTTATTGTAACATACAAAAGTATAGTAGTTGAACCAAGCCCACATGTCAATGACCTCTCCCTTTGAGGCCCTCTCGCGTAAGCGTTGGATAAGAAGAGTCGCGTATCCGACCACCATGGGCTCCTGAGCCTTGAGGCTCGCGTCCGAGAACCCCTGGGACAAGATCTTGCGGTGACGCGAATGCTCTTTATGGGACTCGAGCCAGATGAAGCTGGTAGCCCCAAACATCGTCTTCTCGTTACTACCAAGCGAAGACTGCGGGGGCATAAGCTTTCTGCCATTGCGGTTGCCATAGATCTCTTTCACTGCCGTGGCCGTAGTGTATGTGAGCTCTCCGGGGGCAAGCCGGACCACAGGGCCGTATTGCTGGTGGAACTCAAGCATTTTAAAATGAATAGTGCCCCGGACCTGAGATACCATTTTGGGTATGTTGGAGCCACGCCATAGCAGAGGGCCTGGGAATTTTGCTAGTGGGTGGAAGTATACGTTGTAAATAAATTGGCCTAAGGGTAGAGTGATAGCCTGCAAGTGTTGCCAACAGAGTCAGTATTTTTCTGCTCTGAAGGAGTCAAGGCGAGGGTAGGCCTACAAGAAAGGCTCCGGCAAGGAGGACGTGAGATATATCGAGGTATCCCGAGTATACGTCTAGTATTGGCGCCATCTTGTATGACGAGCCTGGTTTATGGGAGGGTGAAGCTGTGAGAGTTGCTGAAGATAGTATATGCTTAAATGGGTTGTTCGAGTGCAAGAAACTTTGGAGTGACGACCAAGATCGTTTGCATGATGAGAGCCACACTCAGGTAGGAAGAAGGTCATTTATAGCAAACGGCCGCCACAGCGAAGGGTCGTTCGTTGTGGGGCAAGCTAGGAGACTCACATCCTTCGACTTTGGCAAAAGTAATTCTCGTAGAAAATGTGGTGATGAAGTGGTATGTTCCGGGAGCAGAGTCCATTTCTTTTGTAAAATCAGGGACTAATAGAAGTAAGCGCCCTGGTAGTCGACACGGATGTCCATGCCAGTTTCCAGACCGGTGTCAGATATGCTCGACTTCGGTGAGACGCAGCCCACGATGCATCACTCGGCCGCACTTGCATGCCTACTGAGGCAAGACATAGTAAAAGCCTATGAGGCATCCTTCCACAGCCGATTCTGAGTCTCCGGTTGGTGAAGTCCATCTGCACAATGCTTGGGGGGAAAAGGTCAGTATCTGTTGAGCCAACAAGTGTGTCGGTCTAGGTCCCCGTCATGTCCGATGCGTGTCTAGATACACTCCGTAGTATTTGGGAATTTGTGGGCAAATCGAAGGGGTGCCTTCAATATAACCATGACATGGATCTGTCTCTATATGATGATTCACTTTTTCAACACTGTTGTTCTTGGAGCACTTCGGGCTGTGGCTGGACATGACTGTCACCCTCCACTCCTGTCGAGCTTTGGAGTTACGAGGAAAGCAAATCTCACTTCAGACTTAGAAGTCAACAGCCGCACCAAGCACATGCTTTCTCACACATAATGAGAGCCATGACACGTCGGTGAACATTCTCCTGAAGGGACATGAGACCGTGAGAGCTGCTTTCGACCTGGTTACCCCCACGTTTCAAAAGTACATGAACGGACTCGGCGAGCAGAGAGGAGCCGTGCCGTATTCACGAACGTGAAAGGTATGGCCGGAGTACTTATGGCCCCACAAGCGGTGAGTGACAAACCTTGAGAAGGATTGTAATAGTCAGCCAGACTGGAAGCAACCGCCCCTTTCCCCGAGTCCGAAGATGACGATCCCCAACACGTGGTGGTTGGCGACTTGCTGCCCAGATCCGGCAAAACGGGTCGAGACCAAGCCACTGCTCAGCAATTCCGCGTGTCTCGCATATTTGTATCACACGTGATGAGGCGGGCTGGGAAGATCGTGTTCCACTGCCTCTACCCGTTTCACGACACATATGGTGGCTTTGGGAGTCGAGGTCCAATCTGACCCTAGGGGCCACTATTGTGGTAATACCTCCGAAACAAATACACAGTCACATCTTGCTTCTTGACAACTTCTCGTGCGGTTCTAAGGAAAATAGGATCAAGTGCTGAGCGTGATAATTATATGGAATCTGTGCCGGTGACGCCCGATTCGTGGCAAGAGATGGAGTCGAGATCGATGTGACCCGGTTTACCGGGTCGCAGGAACCATGCTTAAGGCCTTGTCTATAGGCGCAAAAGGAAAGCGGAAATTTGGTCTCTTCCAATAGGAAGCGCAAGTTAAGGCTGAGCGGCTGACTTCCGCCGTAGCCCGGCCTTGATGACGATGGGATTTTACACAATGAGAAGTGGGTATATAAGACATGCATGCGCGTTTTTGATGTGAGATTCGTCATTTATCAGATCTTACTGCTCCCAATGCTCCCGGGGTGTTGTCCCCCGATACGGCAGCGTCCCAACGCTTGCGCGAGATCGGAATGAGAAGGAAAAAGCAACATCGATCAAGACCTGCGGCCCAGATGCGACCTCGATCTGCGAGATATCCTGACCGATCATCCTGACCGATCTAATTTAGGTTCGAGATCTCGCAGATGGGCTGGCAAAGTGTTTCGACCAGTGGAACCTGTATTTCCCCAGCAGGTCTCGAGGGCACTCTACGTGTGGCTACCCGAGACTTTTTCGCCATGCGGTTGGGGTGGCACAAAGACGCGCCCATCGTTGCAGCCTCAATCTTTATTTTGCTGCCCGAAACTCGTCGGGATGACATCTGTGCTATTAGACCGGTCCGAGTGCCCCCAACTGCCTTCCTGCCCAATTCTAATACCGGTAGGTGACTGTCTTCGTCCTCACCCACTCGTCCAAGCCAATAGAATTGAACCTCCCGTACCCAGAGCTTTTCGCACCTCCATGTGGCAGAGCGGATTCGTCGTGGATGCTCATTGAGTTGATATGGCAAGCGCCGGTCTCGATACCCTTGGCAAACCTCAATCCCCTCCTCAAATCCTCGGTGAAGACGGCCGACGTCAAGCCATACTCGGTGTCATTGGCGAGTCGGAGTGCCTCCTCCTCACTGTCCACCTCGAACAGCGCCACAGTGGGGCCGAAGGACTCGGTCTTGTAGAGATCCATGTCCTCCTTGATGCCCTTGACGACAATTGGGCGCAGCCGGGTCGGGGTTGACTCCTGGGCCTCGAAGTCGCCGTTCAACAGCGTCGCGCCCTTGTCCTTAGCGTCCTTCAGCAGCTTCTTGGTCTTCTCGACGGCCGGCTGGTGGATGAGCACGGGCGCGTCGCCGGCGGAGGGGAAGAACTTGTCTATGCTAGCGAGGAACTTCTTCTCGAACTCGTCCTTCACGGCCTTGTGCACAATCACCCGCTCAGTAGACATGCAAACCTGGCCCGAGTTCAGGAACGCGCCCAGCGCGCACTGGTCTGCGGCCAGGTCTAGGTTCGCGTCGTCCCACACGATGGCGGGCGCCTTGCCGCCCAGCTCGAGCAGCACAGGCTTGAGCTGCTCGCCGGCCAGCTTGCCGATGATGCGGCCCACCATCGTGGAGCCGGTGAAGTTGATCTTCTTGATATGCTCGTTGGCAATGAGGCTACTGGTGATGGCAGCCGCGTTGGCGGGCTCGTGAACAATCATGTTGAGCACTCCAGCCGGCAGGCCAGCCTCCGCGAAGACGGAGCAAATGCCCCAGTGGGTTTTCGGACTCAGCTCGCTGGCCTTGAAAACAGCCGTGTTACCGGCCGCAATCGGGAAGATGACGGAGCGTGATCCGAGAATGTACGGGGCGTTCCTACGAGTCTAATCAGTCCCTAACTCCCCGGACATAAAATTTTCCTCCGTGACACGGGAGTTTGATTTGCTCACCAAGGCGCGATTGCCATCACCACACCATAAGGCTCTTTCAGCACAAGAGCGCCCGTGTTGGGGTCCTGGGGAGTAGGGATAGTGCCCTCTATGGTGACGAGCCTCCCGGCCACGTCCAAGATGAGGTCCTTGGCGACACCAAGGTTGAAGTCGGCCCACGCCCTTGGCACGCCGACCTCCTCCACCATGGTGGTGGCCAGCTCGTCCCGCCGCTTCTCCAGGACCTCGGCGGCCTTGAGGAAAACCTCACGCCGCTTGGTGGGCACCATTGCCTTCCATGCTGGCAGTGCCTTTGCCGCTGCGTCCACGGCTGCTTTGGCGTCGGCCTCGGTCGCGCTGCTGCACTTGTGGACGGCCTTGCCTGTTGCCGGGTTGACCACGTCGAAGGTCTTTGACGCGACGACGTCCTGGCCGTTGATGTGAAAGGGGACCGTAGCCCCCTTGGTGTGAATGGGTATGCCGTTTGTTGCCATTTTGACGTAACAGTGTTGGTTGAAGTGTGGGGAGCGGTCTGGTATCTGCTTTCCGCAGTGGTGTAGTTCAAAGATCTGCGCTCGACCTGGAGGCAACAAGATCGTCGTCTACTTCGATGGTGTAGATCGTAATGTCGGTCGGGGAGCTCTTGCGGTCATAAAAAGCTCAAGATAACCAAACGAAGGGCATTGCAAACCCCTATCATCTGCACTAGGGGTCCCCAGAGCATAAATATTCTTGCGCGACCAACGTCTCATAGCCTGTCCAACTAAGACCTGGAGCTATCATCCTAGTCGCCGGCCCCATCGCCAACCTGGTCAAATGGATTGCGCCAACGTCGGACGGATAAATCGAGGCTATCCAGGATCCTCCTACCAAGACCCCCAAGAAGAAGGAGCATCGTTGCCCCGCGTTTCGGTAAGTGGGCATGGGTTTTAACGGCTCTGCACATCCCCCCTCCCCGGATCTCCATGGAGCGGGAGCCAACCCGGCCATACCAATTGCCCCGGCTGAGGTTTTCGGTCCCTTGCATCGGGAGAGAACCCGCGACGGGAGCATGTTGATTCTTCTTCAAACTGTGCTACCTGCCTCGAGTGCACACTACCGTGCACAAGCCAGCGGACGTAACGGGCAACTCCCCTTCCTATGGCCCCGTCGCCTTGCCCACCTGTACTCCTTGTGGGTGGTCCAAGCAGACACACGAACGAAATCACTGGCCTTTCCCATCTTTGGCACTGCTGTCATCATCGAAACTGTGTTTTCGTCCATCTATGTATGTATAATAAGTTTCGAGTTCCCCGGATTCCTGTCTGTGCCATGGAGATCCACCCCATTTTTTCTCCGGGGTCGGCAAGCTGGGTCCATCCCGAGGCGTCCACACCGAGAGAAGCCCGCTTTCCACTACATATCTGGAAGGAAGTGTTGATTCGCGGTCATCAATCTCAATCAATTGCCTTGATGATGTCCAACTGGCCTAGCCGTGACCTTACTGTGTCTCAGAATGTTCCTGGCCGCTTTTGCGCGTCTTTCTCCTGATTTTGCTTTTCTCGGCAAAAAGTATCCACTCAGACTGTTGCCGAGACATTACCGAGCAGCTGCGTCTTGCGTCACCGCAAGAAGCCATTGACGAGTGAAGACCACAAATTACAAAACGATCAGACACATTTTCCATCAAGAAGAACACCGAAATCCTCGTGGTGATCATCGGAGTCGAAGTCTCCCGGCCCGTAAAGCATGTAGCAGAGAAAGCATGGGTAGGCTGGAGCAAGACGGGCTTGCAAGTCGGCCAGTGAAGGTTCTCAGATAGCCATGAATTTATTGGCAACTGGAGAATTGATATCCACCACAAAATTCCTGGGACAACTACGTAAAGACTGTTAGTATGCAGACTAACAAACTACCGGGATCGAATAAGTACACTGTAAGACACACAGTTACAGAGTAAAAAGGTGAATTCTCAGAGGGGAAAAAGGCTTGACCACACGTCATCGAGAGTATGAGGCTACTGAATATCTCGAGGAGATTCGAAGTTATGAATGAAGACAAGATGCTTATTCTTGCAACGTTGGAACTTGACTACTTATATACACCATCTCCCATTGGCTCTCAATTTGGGCCTAGAGTTCGAAATCATGCTGCTTCCAGAGGGACTGTGGACTGTATGAGTGATTCAATCTCACAATATCCTCCTTTCAGAGATTCCAAACAATACAAAACTATCCGATTTAGCGCTGCCTTACGGCACAATCCATACATGTCAATGTACCCATTTTTGCGCCACAAGTACAGAGCAACTCATATGAGGAGTTGCATAAGAACGTAACATCTCAGGTAGCACCGAGGATTCCAATTGAGCGACAGATAGCAGACAATGCTATCCGGAGACTTCTTCGCCGTCAGCGACTCGCATCATTTCACCCTTTCTCAAGACTCAAATTCTTGCTGACACACGGCTTGGGAATGGCATCAAGCTTCTGCAAGAGAAAATGAAATCACTCTGTGCTCGATTAACCCGCCTTTGATTTCCAAATTTCATTTTACAGAAGAGTGCGGAAATTCGTACGGCCATATTAGAGTTTTATACGGCTAAATGTATTTATAGGTCCTTTACTAACCCCTATATTAACGCGTTTATTCTGCTTACTTAAATTAGGTAGCGGCTATTAACAGCGCTATAATTACTACTATTACCGCTATTATTACTATTACCACTATTACTATTAAAAATTAATAAAAATTAATAAAAAAATATTAGTTTTTATTAAATTTAAATTAATAACCTTTTACTATTATTATTAGCTTTTATAATAATATATTTAGTAAGTGCTTTAAATTACTAAGCTAAAAAACTAGTTGCTATAGGAAATCTAATATTAAAGGGTATTATATTATATATATATAATAATTATTATTAGCTAATTAAGTTAATTAAGCTAATTAAGCTAATTAAACTAACTAAGCTAACTAAGCCTTAAATTGTTTAAATCTAAGGTTTTTTTTGTTTAATTAAAATATTAGTAATAGCTAGTAGCTAACTAGTAAGCTATTTCGCTTGCTATAGCTGCCCTTACTGCTATAGCTGCCCTTACTATTACAGCTGCCTTTACTGCTATAACTGCCCTTTACTGTAAATAAAGTATATTACTTAAGTTAAGCATAATTAAAAATAGCTGGTTAATTATTTAGTTAATATTTATATATTATTTTTTAGTAAGTAGTGCTTATACTATAGATATAGCTGTAAACTGCTTATGCGGCTGCTCTTGCTTTTGCTAAGTAGATTTTATTAAGGCTAGCTACTATGTAATTCCGCTAAGCTTAGCCTAAACTATATCCCTATTATTCTTTTTATTATAATAAATAAAGCTATTGTTAAATTCCTACTATAAAATATACCGCTATATTAACTATATTATTAACTTTAATTTATTTAAAGCTTTTTTACTTAAGCTGTATATATTGCTTAGTATCTTATAGGCTATTACAGCTTACTTAAAAACTATTACCTTATTTACTAAAAAGGTCCCCATATTATATAGCTGCCTTTTAGCCTTTACAATAGTTAGCTTGCTAATAGCTAGTAATAAGTTATATTTTATAAAATCCCTCTTAAGCTAATAATACAGCTTAATATCCTTAGAAATAAGGGTATTCTGCTATCTTTTAATAAGGTTCTTAAGCAGCTAATAATAATAATGCGTATTATATTATACCCATTATATACACTTTATTAGCTTATACTTTTTATATAATTTATAGCCTTTATAAATTATAACTGCTTATTAATAATTATAATAAAAAAAACTAAGTACTTGCTGTAAGCATTGCTGCTATAAATTATTAAGCTATTAGTAATTATTAAATTGTATTAAATAAGTATTAAAGGCTTAGCTTTTTATACTTTTAATAAGTTAAGTAGTATTTTTAAAAGTAATATTAATATAATTAGCTAGCTAATTAATACTATTTTAATTATACTTAAGTATTAGTTTAATATAGTAATATTATACTTTTATAAAGGACGTTGTTTAAAGCCTATAGTTCTTATTGTAATAAGTTTTATATACAGCCTATTTAGCTATAATATTCTTATTTTTATTTATATAGTAATTTTTAAAATATATAATAATAGCTATTTAATTTACAAAATTAGTTTATAGCTACTACTATACTTCCTTATAAATCTTATAAAAATTACTATACTTTATAAACTTAAATAAGTTAAAAAGCTTTTAGTAGGTATAAAGAATTTTTTAAAAAATTACTGCTAGTATTATTAATTTACCTTTTATAAGCGTATTTAAGTTGTATAAATTACTATTATACTTTTTTTCTTTCTTTATATTAGCTATATTATTAAAACCCTCTTTTTTATCTATTTCTATACCTTTACTTACTGCTAATTATAATACTTTTCGCTACTTCCTTTTAATATTAAAAACTATATTTATATTAATATAAAATATATATAGTTAATACTTTATTAGTAATTACCTTATTTTCTTATCCTTTTAATTAAATTACTTTTTAAAAGTATTAATATAAATATTATTATAATTAATAATAACTATAAGTAAGTTAAAAAGATTATATTTAGTTAAAAAAAGCTTTTATTGCTTTATAAGCTATTAAAATATTTTTTTTCCCTTGTAGTTAATTAAGCTTTAAAAAAAGAGTATAATTTTATTTTTTAAAGTTATTTTAATAGCTTAAAAAAAGAGCATTTTTTATTTATTTATATTATATATATAGTTAATAGCTATATAACTTTTATACCTTTATAACTAGCAAATCTGCTATAGCAATACCTAAAAGATGCTTATAATAGTGCCTTTAGAATTTATATACTATTAAAACTAATAGCCCTTTTGCTTAAATTCCTTAAGGGTAATTATTACTAGCTTTAAATATTACATCTTTTCTTTCCTTTATTTAGTAAACTAAAACTTTATAATAATAATGCTAAACTTTTCCCTAGAAAATTTAGTTAATAGCTGATATAATAGATAACTAGGTGTAATAAATGAGTCTATTGTAATTTATTGATTTATAAAATTAACTATTATAAGTGTAAATTAAGTATACCCTTATTGCGTTTTTAGGTATAGTTTAAGGCTATAACTAGTATAGATTAGTTTATTGATTTATAATACCTATTTCTAACTAGTTTTTTAAGATTTAAAAGTTAAAGCTAACTATTAATACTTGTATTTTATTATTAAAGTAGTAATTTTAATAGCTATACTATTACGCTTTATACCGCCTCTACTATAGTATAACCTTTTATAACTAAACCCACTATCCCTTACAATTATTTTCTAATTAGTATGCTTTATAATCTAATCTAAGCTTTCTTTAAAGTCTTTCTATTACAAGTAACTTATAATAAAGAGTTAATAATTGTTAAATAAATTTAAAAGAGTAAAAAGAAGGTTATTGTACTTAATAGTTAATATATTTTAGTATAAATACTTGTTTTAAGTGTTAATCTATAGGTAACTATAGTTAGGAAAGAAAGTTATTATAATAAGTAAACTTAAGATTAAGTAGGCTAAATTAGGTAATTTAAATATAATAAATTAATTATATAAGTTAGATTTTTTATATTTATAGTAGTTATAGTAATATAGGTATTTTAAAATAGTATTAATTAATATACTTTAATGCTTGTTACTTAAGTTGGCGATAGTGTACTATAGTAAAGTGTAAGGTTAGCGGGTGGCTTATACGCGCTGATTAATAGCGCTAGTAAGGCGCTTCCGGAGCTAAAAATTTTTTGGGCCAATCAGAAGCCGTTACAGCAGCCGCCAAGAAATAGCTACATCTAGCCATACGAAACTCCAATATAGCCGTACAAATTTCCGCACTCTTACAGAAACCTCCCCATTTGTGCCATTTGGCCTGCAATAGATGTCATTTAATTTTCCGGCCAAGACCGGGAAATGTCCGGCTCAGCACCGGTGCACTCATGGAAATCGCTTTGAATGCCTACTTGACACTTGTCGACAAGACTGTCTCTCACAACCCCCTTGAACGGTGAGAACTATTGAATATAACCCACAGGCTGAATGGTCGGTAGCTGTCTACGCGTCTATTATTTATCTAGAGTCACTTCACACCCAGACTGCTTGCGTTAATCATGCGAGGAGCGAGCTCTGATCGAATCATGGCTCAGCTTATGTCACGAATCATTGTCGAAGCCAAAGAAAGCGTTGCGAGTTCCCCGTTGTCAGCTTACGTCGAATCTTCTCGAAAATACGCCAATCAGACCGTATGTCCATTGCGGCTTTGTAGCTGGATGAATTTCGACCTCTTTACTGTGGAGGCTCGTAGTTCACTTACCTGCGTATAACTAGCTGCACAATTTATCTCATGGCACTCATGCAGGTGTCGACAAGGTAACACAGACGGACAGCACTTTTTTGATTGTGTACTTTTGTGACATCAGTTTCCTGACTCGGAGCTGCCTCTTGCGTAACGTGTAGAAGGACTACCATCTTCTGAGCTTGGTCCACAATATTGGCTCAGGTATTCACTGTCGGAGTAAAGAACAATCCAAATGACCTGCTTGGCGAATTGAGCAGTTTTGAAGACAAGGACTACGTTTCCTAGCCTTTTTCATTGCCTAGTGACCTACCTATGAAATTTGCTGTGCAGGTCCAATCCCGGATCTCAATGTTCAGTGTGATTACTGCCTTGGTAGTGCCCAGCCCGACATAATTCTGAGAGCAGAGCTAACTAATTGTACAATGACTTCTGCTCGACTCGCACTCGGATTGCACGGCATCTAGTGTTACAAGATAGGATTTGATTGAATCAAGCTCAGCCTTGCATGACGAGTTGTCAGTCACCCTTGTGACTATTTCACGAAAGATGCTCAGTGAGCATTGTGGGTTCCATCACGAGAACGACCTCAAATGGTCATCATCCGCGAGTAGTGTGAAATCAACACCCCTCAACAGATACTCGAAATTTGCGGTCCTGAGGGCTTCAACGATGACAGTATTGGTATCCTGTGCGTGTGACTCGGTCTGTCCGCTGCCAGGACTTACATGCTCAAATGCCGGGTCAAGGTTTCCTCAGCATCAATTTACTAGTGAGGCAATCCTCTTAGTTCTAAGCCTTAATATTCTTGATATTATATCTTTGCGTTCTTGATCCAGTGCAACTACTTTCTTGGCGCAATCGCAGTACGCTATTTGTCAAGAGTTGGGTTTGTTTGTTCATCAATATTGTCATATCCAATTCGGCGAAGCCTTTTGGGGGAGGGGGGGGCGGGTTCTTGCGAGGGTGGCGGAGAGGCGGCCAGGGTTGATGTCTTGGCTGGTGTCTCATCTCCCACTCACGGCCTCGGGAGCCTCGAGACGATTTTCAGACATGACCCAACAGGGACTGCAGTACGGACGATTCGTCCGATCTCTGACCTCTCGCATTGCCCGAAATCCAAAAGTGAAGCTTATAGAAATCCTGGTGCGGCTGAACCGGCCGTCGTGACTGCACCATCCGGATCGATGTGTGCCGCGGCTCTGGCTCATGGCCACCCCCCATGCTACCGGAGTCTTGTCAGGCGACGTCGCAGCATAGTTTCATGTCGATCTCGCGACAACCCCGTACATTGCCCAAGTTGGCAAGCCGCTGGGGCCCTGCAGCTAACAAGCCAGTCACCCAGTCCATCGTCAGCGCATTGCGTTGCAGCACAGCCCGGCGTCACCACCAAACTCTGCGCATTCGTCCCATCCCATCCCTTCCCTTCCCTGACAGGGCAGCGGAGGGAAAGCGCGATGTGTTGGCACATGGGCAGAGGTTGGGTGGGCTGCTCGTAGACATGCTCAATAAAACGTCAACTCTTGGCATTTAATCTCCCTTCCCTATCTCCCTTGCCTTTTCGTAATGCTTGCTCGAGTAAAAGTGACCGACGTTCGTTTGGTTTCTTCAGTCGATCACTCTCGGTTTAATTTCATCTCTCCCTGACTTACATACGCATTTGTGGTTGAGCCACGAAGCCCACTGATTACGACGACTTCATACCGAAGTTTGATCGCATAATAAAACCACTCCCGCAAACACACGTACACACACAACAGACACGTACATACATACACACATACAGGATGGACGCTTACCTGGTAGAGCGGCAAGCCACGACCACGACCGAACAGGCTGGTCAGCCGACGAGAACACCAGATGGCTTCGTCGTTGAGAATGGACGTCTAGTCCCATACTGGTACACAAGAGTAAGCTCCACCCTCGCACCTTATGCCATTGAGAGAACAGCTCGAGCTAATTGTCTGCGACAGGAGGGCCTCATCGTCAAGTGGTCTGTCTTCTTGGGTCTCATGTTCCTCATCACCTTGTACATCACAGTCGGCTACATCCACGCGAAGAGGAGGATACGCAAGGGCCTCGTGCCGCTCGCATACCACAGAGTAAGCTCCGCTAACCCATGCCCGCTTCAATTTGTCCTTCTCCATCGCCATTGTATTAGAGGTGCGATCGTGTACTGACCCTCTTCCTCCCCACAGTGGCTCGTCTCCCGCGCCGAGTTGGCCCGTGTCGATCCTCGCTACGCCTACCCGCAGAGCACCTACACCAACTACCGCCCGGGCTACTACCAGCAGTACCCACCTGGATACAACATGCAGAGCATGCCGCCTCCGCCTCCGATGTACGATCCCAGTGCGCCACGGCCACCCATGTACGACGGCCCGCAAGGTGCAACCAAGATGGCTCCTTCCCAGGACTACGAGGCGCCGCCGCCAGGCCCCCCACCGGCGCATGTTCAGAGGAACGACACCGGGTCGTCAAACCCCTTCAGGGGTTAGTGGTTGATGAGGCAGATGGACGGAAAGAGATGTAGGACTGGAGTTCTCGAAGTACGAGAGGGCTGAACGGATGATTAAAGCGCTGGATGCCGAATTGATTGGGCGTGTCAGAGTGCCGGGGTCAACTCGTTACTGGAAGCACCGCGACGGCTGCACTGTCCATAGCTCACTTAGACATCTTCCCTGGAGGAACCATCATAGCGTCTCTGTAATTCTGAAATTCCCAATGAATGATATATTAATTATCAAAAAACCAAGGCTGCTACTAGCCCCAAGAACTCCGTGCTAGATTTGTTCGTTTACGGGTATCACACAAGACATACCAATCACCGCGTTTCGCACCCACCGTCTATCTTAGTCAATCTCCATCGCGTCGGCGTCATCGTCTGCGCCTGCGCCTGCCGAAGCCATGCCGGCCACATCATCGACCATGGGCTGCCGTTGCTCGCGGGCCGCAGCCACCGGGGCGACCCGGACAGGCGTGGCGAAGGTGGCCCTGGACTCGCGCCGCAGCAAAGGGTTGTTCGCGGCGGCCCTGGCGTCCCGCTCGTCCTGCTGCCTGCGCCGGTGCCGCTCGCGCGCCTCGATGATGGCCTTGCGCACGCTGTCCTGCTCCTCGGGCACGCTGACGCTGCGGACGCCGTCGTCGTACAGCACCAGCTGCATGCCGGCCAGCTCGCCGTCCTTGTTGGGCAGGACGGGCCGCGGCACGGACGGGATGCCCGGGATGATGCGGTTTGCCTTGAGGTGCTTCTCGACGTCGGGCAGGAAGACGAGCCTGGCCTCGTCCGGGTCGCTGTCGGCGTCCGAGGAGAGCTCGTCGTCGAGGTTGTAGATGTATACCTTGTGCTTGGTGTCGTCGAGGAGCATCATCTCGTCGCCGCCGGCGGCAGTGGCACCAGCAGGGACGGCGGCTGCCGATGATGAGGAGGCGCCGGCATTGTCGAGAAACTGCGGTGCAGGAGGCTGTTCGACTGGGACGTAGAGCTTGGAGCCGTTTTGTTCTGCGATGGGATAGTCAGTTATTTGGCTGCATTCAATTTGCTGGACATGGCCAAGGAGAAAGAAAGGAAGAGACAAAAGCTGTAGAATTATCATACCTAGATTCAACAAGCTGAGTCTTTTGGATAACCTCTCGTTGTTGGCATCCTGCGAGTCTGCTTTCCTTTTTCGGCGGATGCTCTGCTGCTGCTGGTGATGCTGGCTGTACTGATAGTTGGGGCCGACGCTGGGGCTTGGCTCGGCGTTAACAGTATGGAACCCCTCCATGGGTATCGGCATGTGCATGGGCATGCCCGGCACGGCGCTGGCCTGTGACGGGCCGTCGTGGAAGCTCGAGACCATCATTTTCTCCTCCCTCTCTCTCCTGCACCGACCTCTCCCCCAATCAGATGACTCGGCTGCCGACGGTCGATAAAAGATACAACAGTGACAAAAGCCGATGCAGCCCGAGACTGAGTCACAGCTCTCCGAGAATCGCAACAAGGACGACCGCTCTGTTTGAAGTTGGTTGCTGGATTGTCGATGCAATTGTCGCGATTGCGCAGCGGCAGCAGCAGCGGCAGCGGCAGTGGCAGGCTCAGCTGGGGAGGCTTGAGGAGTGTTACTGGGGTGCAAAGGTTGCAGGGCTGGTCGGCTGGCCCAGGGAGGAGCGCGCCCCTTCTTGTACCAGCTTTGACTCATTCCAGAAAGCTCTACGACGCTTCTAGAGAAGTCGCCCCCTCCTGGCCCAGCTCCAGCACCAGAACCAGAACCCCGCGATCGCCATTGCCAGCCGCAGGGTCTCTCTCCAACTTGCCCCCCAAGAAAGCTCCCGCTGCAGCCAGCCCCACCACTGCTGCATTCCTGAGGTCGTCGACGAGAACGATCAGATCTTTGTCCTCGACAACACAGATCCGGCTATTTTCTCAACAGAAACCCACACCAACCAGCACACCCCTGCTCATCATGTACGAGGGCAAGTGGACCGCCCTCACGGTCCGCAAGACCTTCCTCGAGTACTTCGCAGAGAGAGGGCACACGATAGGTACGAAACAGTCACGCCAACCCGCGCACGAGATTCAATCTTGGGCATTATGGATATGGACTCGTCAATTGACCACCAACTGACCATGACATTATGCTGCAGTGCCCTCCTCTTCCGTGGTCCCTCACAATGACCCCACGCTCCTGTTCACCAATGCCGGCATGAACCAGTTCAAGCCAATCTTCCTCGGCACAGTGAACAAGACCGACATAATGGCGTCCTGGAAGCGCGCGGCCGACTCCCAGAAGTGTATCCGTGCCGGTGGCAAGCACAACGATCTCGACGATGTTGGCAAGGACAGCTACCATCATACCTTTTTCGAGATGCTGGGCAACTGGTCTTTCGGCGACTATTTCAAGACAGAAGCAGTCCAGATGTCCTGGGAGCTGCTGACCAAGGTGTATGGTCTGGATCCCGAGAGGTTGTATGTTACCTACTTCGAAGGCAACCCGGAAATGGGCCTCGAACCCGATTTGGAAGCCAAGGAGCTTTGGAAATCCGTCGGCGTGCCTGACGACCATATCCTGCCGGGAAACATGAAGGACAACTTCTGGGAGATGGGCGACCAAGGTCCTTGTGGACCTTGCTCCGAGATTCACTATGACAAGGTGGGAGGCCGTAATGCTGCCCACCTTGTCAACCAGGACGATCCAATGGTGGTCGAGATCTGGAACAATGTGTTCATGCAGTACGACCGGCAAAAGGATAAGACCCTGAAGTCGCTTCCTGCGAAACACATCGATACCGGCATGGGATACGAACGTCTCGTCTCTGCACTTCAAGATAAGATCTCCAACTACGCCACCGATGTCTTCACGCCCCTTTTTGCTCGGATACAAGAGATCACGGGAGCAAGGCCATACGAAGACAAGTACGGCAAGGACGACGCTGACGGTATCGATACTGCGTATCGTGTGGTTGCCGACCATATCAGGCTGCTTACCTTCTCCATCGCCGATGGCGCAGTCCCGAACAACGAAGGAAGAGGGTACGTTGTACGAAGAGTACTCCGGAGAGGCTCACGATACGCTCGCAAGTACTTCAATGTCGAGATTGGATCTTTCTTCTCCAAGATCCTGCCTGCTCTCGTCGCTCAGATGGGTGAACAATTCCCCGAGATTGTCAAGAAGCAGAAGGATATTGCTGAGATCCTCGATGAAGAAGAGGAGGCTTTTGCCAAGACCCTGGACCGTGGCGAGAAACAGTTCGAGAAATTCGTTGCGGACGTGAATAAGAAGGGCGAGAAGAAACTCTCCGGTCTCCAGGTCTGGAGATTGTACGACACCTACGGTTTCCCGGAGGATCTGACGAAGTTGATGACTGAGGAGCGTGGCCTGGAGCCAACTGATGAGGCTGACCTTGCGAAAGCAAGGGAAGAGGCACGCGAGGCCAGTAAGAAGGTCAAGGACAAGGCACAGGCGTTCCCTAAGCTCAATGTGCACCAGATCGCCGAGCTCGAGAACCAGCACAACCTGCCCAGGCCAGATTCCGAGCCCAAGTACGGCAAGGGCGATATCACTGCAAACGTGCAATTAATATTCACCGGCGAGAAATTCGTCAAGTCCTCCAAGGACATCCCAGCGGACACTCCGCTCGGTCTCATCCTCGACAAGACAAATTTCTACGCCGAGTCCGGTGGTCAGGTCGCCGATACCGGTCGGATTCTCGTGGATGATGATGTCGCCGAGTTCAAGGTCCAAGACGTGCAGGAGTATGGAGGATATATCGTTCACATCGGGTATTTCGACCATGGATCTCTGTCCGCCGGCGACAAGGTGATTTGCGAGTACGACGAGCTTCGTCGTCAGCCTATCCGCAACAACCATACCGGCACGCACATTCTCAACCACTCACTCAGGGAAGTCCTAGGTGACGATGTCAACCAGAAAGGCTCGCTTGTGGATGACGACAAATTGAGGTTTGACTTCAGCCACAAGCAGGGTGTGACGAACGCAGAACTCAAGAAAATCGAGGACGGGTCCAATGCGTACATCCGTCAGAACTGCAAGATATACTACAAAGACGTTGACCTCGAGGCTGCGAAGCAGATTGAGGGTGTTCGCGCCGTGTTTGGAGAGACTTATCCCAACCCGGTCCGGGTGGTGAGCGTGGGTATCGACGTAGACATGCTTCTGGAGAGCCCAAAGAACCCCGAATGGAGGAAAGTCAGCGTCGAGTTCTGTGGCGGAACTCACGTGGACCAGACGGGAATCATCAAAGACCTAGTCATTGTCGAGGAAAGTGGCATTGCGAAGGGAATCCGAAGAATCGTTGCCTACACTGGCGACGCGGCACACGATGTGCAGCGAATCGCTCGCGAGTTTGCGGGTAGGCTCGAACAACTGGACAAGTTGCCTTTCGGACCGGAGAAGGAGGACCAAGTGAAGAAGACGGGCGTAGACCTTAACCAGCTCACCGTCTCGGTGCTGGACAAGGAGGACCTCAAGGCGACGTACGCCAAGATCCAGAAGGGAGTTGCCGAGGAGCAGAAGAAACGCCAAAAGGCCGAGAGCAAGACCGCGCTGGACACGGTGACGGGACACTTCGCGAAGCCTGAGAACAAGGAGGCGACGTGGTTCGTCGGACAGCTGCCGATCAGCGCCAACATGAAGGCTGTCAGTGATGTGATGACGCACTTCAAGAGCAAGGACAAGACCAAGAGTGTGTATGTTTTTGGAGGATCCAAGGAGGCAGGAGTGGTACATGGTGTCTATGTCGGAACGGTACGTTGAATAAATCTCCCCACTTTTGAGACGATGACCCATTCTAACTTTATCTGCTATCTAGGACCTCGCCTCCAAGGGTATCACCGCTGAGAAATGGTCGACCACGGTCACCGAGATCATCGGCGGCAAGGCAGGAGGCAAGGAGCCCACCCGGCAAGGCGCTGGCACGCAGCCTGAGAAGATCGAGGATGCGGTCAAGAAGGCTGAGGAGTGGTTGGTTGCGGAGATAGACAAGCTGAAGATCTGAGGAGGGGGAGTATAGAGACGAGTGGGGTGCTCAACAATGCTGACACCATCCACGTTATCGCTCGATTCCACCGGCAAAGATGTATTTCTCGTGGTGGGATCTATGCAATGTATCACTATATACAGTGCTTCAAAGATGCTATGAGGGGCCAAAATTGGTCAATTGCGGAGGCGACTAAGCCTGTTTGAAGATGTCCAGCTAAATGTGTCCGTCGATGATGTTCCGACAGAGTCCACTCCTACATACGAGGCAGTCCTACCCAGAACATCCGGCCTGCCTTGCCGCAGAGTCTTTGGAGCTAAGTAGACACGGAACTATCTCCCCCACGGGCCATAATTGCACACGTACAAACTTCGGCACCTTCAGGGCTAATAAGATACCCCGTCACCGCGGGTTGACCTTACATCCTCCGATAATTCCAGGTCATCATGACGCTGGCGTTGCGGTACCAACTCAGCAAGGGGTTCTCGCCGTTGCGGGTCTCGCAGTCCTCGACGAAGGCCCAGCTCTTCATGAACTCCTCGTGCGAGCGCACCCGGCTCAGCTTGCCGGTGATGCTGCGGTAGATGGCCTCGGTGGTGAGGAAGTCGGTGGGGAACATGATGTCGAAGTAGCCTTGGTGGACCTAATTATGTTTTGTCCTGGGTTAGTCACATTCGCTCGAAGGACGAGTCAGGTATGAGCTTCGGGTTCGAGGACTTACCAAGGGTGTCGAGACTGGCACCGGCCGTCTCTGGTACCTTGTCTGCACAATCGGCGCGTTCAACCCGCGGATGGCGTCGGGTAGGGAGTGGAAATCACTCGTCACGAGCTGGTGATTGGGGAAGTATCGCTCCAGCACCTCAAAGAAGTCCATCAGCCTCGTGGGAATGTACTCGGGCTCGCTCAGGCCGCTCCCGTCCCGGCGGCTGCTCCTGGCCATCCACCCTTCCCTCACTCGCCTCCTCGCGGTCGTCCACCATGGCTCGCTCTTGGGCACCCCGAGCCCGGACTTGGAGTAGTACGGCAGAGGGTACACGCCCTCGGTGGCGATGTGCCGCAGCCTCAGGAAGCGCTGTATGTCCGGGTCGGTGACGGGGCTGAAGAACTCGTGGAAGTCGCCGTCCTCGTCCACCATCACGGTGCCCTGCAGGAGCTCCTCGGTGCGCAGGTCGTAGCGGAGGACGTCGTGCGCGAAGTTGTCGAAGACCTCAAAGGCCAGAAAGAAGCAGGGGCTGGGCACGGGGTCCTTCCAGTCGAAGATGGACTTGTTGATGATCTCGACCTTGTCGCGGTGGCCCTTGGACTCGGCGGTGGCCATCAGGCTGCCCTGCTGCACGCTGGCGAGGTTGGAGCTGATCTCGATAACCTTGTAGCGCGTGCGTTCGTACACCTCGGGCTCGACGTCGCGGATGTAGTCGAGGATGTTGAGCATCAGCGTGCCGCGGCCGGCGCCCATCTCGTAGATGATCAGGTCGTGGTAGGGGAACGATGTCTGCCGGTAGTTCTCGCACAGGTAGCGCGCGACGGCCTCCCCGTAGTAGGGGCGGAACAGCTCCGTTGGTGTGTACCACAGCTGGCGCGTGTCGGACTGCTCCTTGCTGTCGAGCGCGTCCTCGAACTCGCTGTAGCGCCGGCTCAGAAGGGAGTGGAACTCAAGCTCGTCGCGGATGGACCCGAAGTCGAAGGGCTCGCCGGGCGTGAAAATAACGACCTGTTTGGAAAAGTAGCCGTAGTGGGGGTTATAGAGACTGTCTGTTTACACATGAGCGCCATAGTCAGTCGTAAGTCGCACACCCAGTCATGCATCCCCGTGGAAAGGACAGGACCCAACTGACCCTCGATGAAGTCCCGCATGAGCATCTTGACCCTTCTCGGCCGCTCCCTATAGCTCCTCAGCTCCTTGGCTGTGACGGTCGGGAACCGCTTGAGGTCCTCGGACCGGTCGGCGGACGAGACATTGCTGCGCTGCTGCCATTGGCGCTCCTTCTCTGACGTGGAGAGCGCGCCCCTCCTCCTTTGCTCGGACGAGAGGGCTCTGAGCTGCCTCAGCTGGCGGCCCTGGTGGATGGCGCTGGCGAGGTTGGTGAGGTTTCGACGTGACTGACAGGCTGGGTGACCATGCCGGAAGAGCTGTCTGAAGAGCTGTGTCACTATGGGCGAGTCCATAGCTGGAGGTGACCTAGCTCCGAGCGCGAAAAGGCGGTCGTGTGCTCGTGTGCTCGTGAGAACGTGGGGAGCTTGAAAGTGAGCAGTAGCCGCCAGCCTGCGGGAGAAGATTCAACGGTGGTGGTGGAAGCAGGTGTGATTGGCCGCAGCTCTCCGCGATGGGACCCTGGCATCCATCCAGCTCGGGGCATGGGCGGGCATGGGTAGGCAGATATGGGGCATCCAAGTCCAATACAATCCTCATAATGCATGACATCAATGCCGCAATCGGCTTGCGGTGACATGAAATTCTGAGAATAACAAAAGAAGCATTATCTGTGTTGACTATAGTCTCAATTTGTTGGTCTCTAAAGAAAAATTGCCGAAAATGCCCAGACTTCTGGTATATAACACACAAGCGTTTTGTTGAAACTTATAGCCCCCGGCCTACTGTACTTACATAGCGAGGCTCTCAAACTTATCGTCATCATGCCTCTCAACATAAGAGACCACGCCCGCCTGTACGGCTCCGCAGCCCTTGCGGTCGCCTTCTTCACAGGTATCCTCGTCACTCTCGGCTTCAAAGACGTCTATCCAGATCTTGAAAGGAGGTACAAAGCCTCCAAGAAGAAGAAGTCATATCCACGCCCCCGGCGCAACTCAAATGCATCCATCCTCACCTACGACCCGCGACGCAGCAGCATCTTCTACGGCGACCCTGTTCAGCTAGAAGACCACGAGTCCGACAATGGCTATAATTTCACAGACTCGATGGGTGCCGGCCTGCCCATCATCTCAGACGGCATCGAGTCCACCATCGGCCACACGCCGCTCATCCGCCTCAAGGCCCTATCGGCCCTGCTGGGCAGAACGATCCTCGCCAAGGCCGAGTTCCTGAACGGCTGCGGCAACTCGCCCAAGGACCGCGTCGCCCTCTCCATGATCCTGACGGCCGAGCAGGCCGGGCTCCTGGTCCCGCACAGGGGCGACACCATCTACGAGGGCACGGTCGGGTCGACGGGCATCTCGCTCGCGACGCTGGCGCGCGCGAGGGGCTACCGGTGCCACATCTGCATGCCCGACGACCAGTCGCACGAGAAGAGCGACCTGCTGCGCCAGCTGGGCGCCGCCGTCGAGCGCGTCGCGGTCGCGCCCATCACGAGCCCCGGCCACTTTGTCAACCTGGCGCGGCGGCGCGCCGCCGAGCACGAGGGCGCCCACCGCGACGGCAGCGTCGGCTTCTTCGCCGACCAGTTCGAGTCCGAGGCCAACTGGACGGCGCACCTGCGCAGCACGGGGCCCGAGATCTTTGCGCAGACGGGCGGCGTGCTCAATGCGTTCGTCGCGGGCGCCGGCACCGGCGGCACCATCAGCGGCGTCGCGCGGTACCTCAAGGAGGAGGCCAAGATGGGCGACGAGGTGCGGGTGGTGCTGGCCGACCCGCAGGGCAGCGGGCTGTACAACAAGGTCAAGTTCGGCGTCATGTACTCGCCCACCGAGCGCGAGGGGACCCGGCGGCGGCAGCAGGTCGACTCGATCGTCGAGGGCGTCGGGGTCAACCGCATAACTGAGAACTTCGAGGCCGGGAGGGAGCTGATCGACGACGCGGTCAAGGTCACGGACGAGCAGGCCTGCAGGATGGCGCGGTGGTTGGTCGAGAACGAAGGCATCTTCGCTGGTAGCAGCAGCGCCGTCAACCTTGTCGGGGCGGTGGTGACGGCCTTGAGCCTGCCTGAGGGGAGCACGGTCGTCACTATACTGTGTGATTCGGGACAGAGGCACCTGAGCAAGTTTTACAAGAAGATCGCTGAGATGGGACTGGAGGAAGAGCATGGGTCTCTGGATTTGCTTGCACTACTGGGACTTGAAAGCCGCGACAGGTAATGGCGGAAGACCCTTCCTGAGTCCTGCCTCAGCTAGCCTCTATCATCAAAGCGTCAAACATCAGAACCTCTCCAGAGAAAAAGAGAAAAATGAGTAGATCCTCATCTATGAAGAATGCGCGACGTCTTGCCCACGGGTCGACACTCCAACAACAATTTTGTGCAGTAGAAGACGACAGAATTAAGTCTCTTCTTGAAAAGAAAATAAACCCCCTGATGAACAGTATCGGGGCGGCAAATCACATAACTCCCTGTTGGATATCAGCTTATCCTGCTCCGGGGCTCCCTCCTATTACGCCGCAAACACCTTTCATGAATGACGTCGAGAGCAAATGCTGAAAAAAGCAGCTCAGAGAGGCTAGCAGCTGAAGATGTCCATGAAGACTAGGCCGAGGCAGAATGTCTCAAGGCAATGAATGCATGGATCATCAATCACGCCGTCTGCCGTTTCGTGCTTAGGAGAACTGTGTGGGAGAATTAGTATGCCTATCGACACGAGCGGCCGAGCGGGTCGTTGGGAATCACTTACCTTCCAGCGGTTTCCACACACGAGACACTCACAGAAAGTGGTCATAGGCTCATCGGCGCTGCGGGTCTGTGCCTGAGAGTAGCTGACCTTCTTCTGGCCACACTTGCCACAGGTGAGGGCGTCGCTGATGGATTTCTCGGGCTGGGCAACCTGGGCCTTGTTCATGTTCTCCTTCTCAAGCTTGTTGTCGCGCTCTTTGTGCTCCTGGGACTTGAGCTCATCCTGACTCATCTTGACAAATTCGGCAGGGGTAATCTCCCCGGACATGACCCTACGACCCAACTCGCGATTGCTCTTGACCTTGAGGTTCGAGAACAGGGACCTGATCTTCACTTTGTACTCGCCACCCTCGCCCTTGAAGTGCTTGAAGGCGGCCGCCTCCACCTCGATAGCCTTGGCGACCACGACCTCGACGGAGTCGGTGGACCGGTAGGCAAGTCCGTTGTACAACACGCCGATGCAGTTGTTGCGGACGTCAGAGGAGGTGCGCTTCAGGTCGACCTTGTCCACCTTGAAGTGGCGTTTCTCGGTGTCGCCCTGGTAGGGCTGGTTGACGGAGGGCGTGGGAGGGGGACCGGGCGAGGCGGTATTGGACGGGGTGCTGGTGCGTGAAGAGGCGGCCATCTTCATCTTGAGACGCGCATCGCCCTTGGAGTTGTTCCTAGGACCCACATTCTTCTTCCACTTGTCCACGACCTTCAGGGCCACACGGGCGATCTCCTTGTTGGTGCTGCTGCGAAGCTTACCCGCGTGTCTGCCAGCGCCGGTTCTCTGTTAAGTGAAGCCAGGGGTCAGTCAAGGTTGACATGTTGCGACGTTTGCAGTGCATGACCAAGATGGAACAGCGGTTGGGTGTCAAGAGTTTCCTCTCGCAGGCTTTTGAGGTAGTTTGTGTTCAGACAAGAAAGTAGCACTAGAAGGGATTAGACATACACGAAGAGTATCCTCACTTGGGGCATCCGACGCCTCGAAGTCGTTGAGCATGGCGAGGATGGTAGAGTCAGGTTCGCCTTTGGTCACAGCTGTCGCAAAGGAGGCGAGCTTGTCGGCAAGCTCCCTCTCAGTGAGCTCCTTCTGAGCAAGCTCCTTGTCATCATGCTCCCTGTCGTCAAGCTCACTCATCTTGGATTTGGGGTTGATGTTGATTTCAAGTGAAGGACAAGAAGAGCGGGGTCTGGTTGGCCTCGGGCTTGGGACAAGTCAGTCGGGGCAAGGCCGAGATTGCGACGGCGTAGAGTTGGGCGATCTAGGCCGATGGTGCGTGAGGGGTAAGACCTGTAGAAGAGAGAGAGTGATCAGAGAGGGGTGGTCACCGGAAACCACGGACGCTCCTCTGGCGATGTGGGGAGAGAAGTGTTGGGTGGAAGTCAGGTAGGAGGATGGAGTGGCGTCAATGAGTGAAGACCGGTGGTTGCAAAAAGTGGTGGAGGTTAAAGACGCGGCTCTGCTTGCAGCCATACACACGGGGTGGTGCATGGCGCACGGGCCCGACAGGTGGGGAGCTCCAGCGTGCTGACCTGCACGTTTATCTGCGGTGGGGTCAGAGCAATTCACGTTTGATCCAACAAGCTTCCATGCATTCACCATGGAACATCAGGGTTATTTGTTTGCTTTGGCCAGGGCCCTCTTCAATCACTGGCTCGCCCATGACCAAATAAACAAAATCTCTGGCCATCCAGCTTGCTCGACTTGAAGTCATCTTGGTATTCTACAAGGATGTTAATTTTGTTGGCAAACCACAGCAACAGTGATAAAATCCTAGACCTGGAGCAAACATGGTGAATGGAGTAGACCCAGAGCTTGTCTTCAAGAGATGTCCTAGCCTGGCTTGATAGAGAAGACCTGGCGTGTTTGATTGCTGAAGGCTATGCACATTGGTAAGCAGTGGTACACGGCCCATTTCGAAACCAGAGGAAAGTGGCATTCACGAAGAATGCCATCTCTTTCACCATGCTATTTCAGCCTCAGCGCTTGGCTACGGATTTTGCCTTGATACAAGATATGGAGGCTCGAGGGGGTAAAAGGCTGCAAGGGTGCTTGGTCCTCGCACCTCTCGAATTTAGGCGTCTAGTCTATAAGTGGGAACATGATGCTGACGGGCTGCTATATCCATGATCAGCACCCGCAAGCAAGTATCTGGCTTTCTCCTCCTAGCTAGGTTCAAGGGCCTATTGTGGAACAAGACAGGTAGGCTACATAACTCAAAATTCTACATTGAAGAGCCACCTCCCCTGGCATCCCAGCTTCAGGCCTTGATGGTATGAAAGTGTGCATAGTGTGCCAGTTGGAATCGAAAAACGGTTGGGGAAATGTTCTCGAAGCTCCCCTTGCCAAGGCGTGGAGCCGAGCCGAGGCATCGAGACGTGGCATCTGGAGCTGCACTGCTGCGCTGCTGCAGTCCCTGCCGATCCCCCATAATTAGGCCCAACGTCAACTGGGAGCTCCCGATTGGCGGGACCCTGGAAAGGGGGCGTCACTCAGCCTTACGTATTTCGTGTCTGTCAGGCTGTTCGTATCCATCATCTCGTACTACACACTCTCTTCATCACGCAGAGGGGCGGCACCTGTTCGACGACCCGGAGGTATACCACGACCCCGAACACCCAACTCACACGTCCACTCGACAATGACTTGAGCAACCCCGTGTCTGCGTGCAATCCGAGCCCCCCGCGATGAGCCCGCTCTCCTTCCTCCGGAGTGTTTACACTCTCGACACACTCGACACTCGCTTCACCACACCGGCCGCGACCTCGTATAAGACAGTCATTGACTCCCGCGGTGACCATAATGTAAGGGATGCACAAAAAGAAAAGATCGCCAGCAGGGCCCCACCTTCAAAATGGAACACGCCGGAATTCTACCTTTACTTTGCCGTCGTCTTCACCTGCATCCCGCTGATGCTATGGGTCCCATATACTGTGTCAAGACGTGCGTCCTCTAGTATCCTGCAAACTAGAGTAGTTCTGCTGACAGATTGAAGCTTCCGATCCACGGTACGGGAAATATGAACATAGACTATCGGATGGCTGGGTTCCTGGACGCAAGATCGTGAGCAAACATACATTCGGGTACTACCTCAGACATCATGCTAAGAGGTATCCATAGGACAATACGGATTCCCAGTACCGTAGCTTTCGACAGAACGTCCCCTACTTGGCCCTCCTCCTTATTTTCCACCCATTGTGCAGAAGACTATGGAACAAGTTCAAGCCCCTCCCGCCCCATGGGAAAACACCCCCCGCCGACGAGGCCGAAGCCCGGCTCGAGCAGCGCGCCTCCTTCGACTACACATTCGCCATGATATTTCTCGCTGCGCTACACGGCTTCTCGATGTTCAAAGTGATCGCGATTCTCTGGATAAACTACAACATTGCAACATGCCTACCAAGGAAGGCCATCCCAGTGGCCACGTGGGTGTTCAACATTGCCACGCTGTTTGCGAACGAGCTCTGTCAGGGTTACCATTACAGAGACATAGCAGCGGTGATATCGGGAACTTCACCCATGCTACTCCGGACAGTCCCCGTGCAGAACGGGCTCGTGAATTGGGGAGTGTGGTTGGACAGCTGGGGCGGCATCATGGGGCGCTGGGAGGTTCTGTTTAACATTACCGTCTTGAGACTGATCAGCTTTAACTTGGATTACTATTGGAGTCTGAATCACCGAGGCGCAAGCTCTATCGAGGTAGGCGCATTCTACTGCCCTTCCCGTTACGTCTTTGAGACACGACACTGACAGATCTAAGAAGAAACAACTCGACCCAGCCGCTCTCTCAGAGCGGGACCGCGTGACTATACCCGCTCAAGCTCGAGATTATACTTTCCGCAATTACCTCGCCTACGCGCTCTACGCACCATTGTATCTCACCGGGCCGATCATCACCTTCAACGACTACATCTCCCAGCTTCGTTACCGGCCCCACAGCATCGAGACCAACCGCACGGTGAGGTACGCCGTGCGATTCCTGCTCTGCCTGCTCTGCATGGAACTCACACTGCATTTCGTCTATGTCGGCGCCATCGCCAGCTCCCTGCCGGTATGGGACTCATACACGCCCGCGCAGCTCTCACTGCTCAGCTTCCAGAACCTGATCATCATCTGGTTGAAGCTGCTTCTGCCCTGGCGGTTCTTCCGGCTGTGGAGCCTGGTGGACGGTATCGACCCGCCTGAGAATATGGTGCGCTGTGTCACCAACAACTTCTCCACCCTGTCCTTCTGGCGCGGGTGGCACCGCTCCTACAACAAGTGGCTCATCCGCTACATCTGGATCCCCCTGGGCGGCGCCTCGTTCGCCACGCTGTACTCGTCCCTGCGGTCCATCGCCGGCTACCTGATCATCTTCACGTTCGTCGCGCTCTGGCACGACATCAAGCTCCGCCTGCTCATCTGGGCTTGGCTCATCGTCCTATTCATCGTCCCCGAGGTTGTGGCCAGGATGGTCGTGACCAGGAAGATGCTCGGCGGCAACGAGACGCGGTACAGGATGGTGTGCTGCGTGGGCGCTGTGGCGAACACGTTGATGATGATGACCGCGAACTTGGTTGGGTTTGCGTTTGGGCTGGATGGGCTGCAGAGTATCTTGCGCGGCATATTCCACGATTTTTCTGGTGAGTCTTGATCTCCTCGATTCTACTCAAGTATTGCTGATCAAAACAATGGCTGACTTTGCCCTCAGGTGCACTATTTTTCATCACAGCATGTATGGCCATCTTCACGGGCATCCAGGTCATGTTTGAAATTAGGGAGAGCGAGGCGCGGAAGGGCATTGCGTTGAAGTGTTAGATTTAGGAGACTTATGTACTGGATAGTAACAACCACATCTTGGTGCATCAAAGCTGTCTGCCATGGTCGTCTTGGCCGTTGAGTGATGGCGGCCTGTTGTGGTAAGAGCGCTCTGGCCAGGATGTCGTCAGGGTCTGAGACAAGTTGGCTGGGCTGCTGCCCAGCTATGACTGCCCTGCCCATGGTTTTTGCTTTTTCAGGTACCACCTGCTGGTCTCAGCTTTCCATCCTGGCAGAGAGGGCTGGCTTAGTCCTAGCCCAGCTCCTCAGGAACTATCCTGTAGAGTTGCCCATCTTCGAAGTTGAAATACAGTCCCTCCGCCCTCACGGTTGGCTTTTGGTATGTACGAAAGGTCTGGGGATGACAGATTCCCGCTCATTAAGAGTGATTCTGCGGCGCGGAGTATTGCTGCAGCTGTAACACGGCATGAAGCCAGCTTCTTTGACAGTCCAAACGGCAACGGTAGGTAGAAAGCGTTTCTGGTTGAATCAATGCTGCATTAATGTATCATATCTTGCCCTTTGAACTATGCTAAAGCCCATACAACTATTAGGGGGTATATCCAACTCTTGATCTATCGCAAATATAATGCATGCCCATGCGCCATGAGAAATAACGACCAAACCATATCAGACGTCCGCCCCGTCTAATAATGATGCGGACTGATCGCCTTGGTCTCCTCCTGCCTGTAAGCACCGAGCTCGACATCGGTGGTGCTCCTCAGCGCGGTAGGCTGACCGGCGAATCGGCCGTCCAAGCGGGCCTTCTTCTCGGTGACCCAGAGGCGGAGCCACAGGGCGCCCATGACGAGCAGGAAGATGACGCAGGCCGCGACGGCGATGGCGATGATCCACGCGGCGGTGATGGCGGACCCCTGCTCCTGGATGTTAAGGAAGGTGTAGGTGTAGAAGCCCTTGGTCGCGTAGGTCACGTAGGCGAGGGCCAGGTACAGCGCCAGCACGATGACGAGCCACAGCATGTGGATCCAGGGCGGCAGCGGCGTGCGCGGCACCACGATCTCGAACAGCGCGAAGAAGCTGTTGAGCGCGTGCTGCGACGTGTTGCTCCAGCCCGAGAACTCGTCTGTGAACCACACCCCCGGGAAGATGACGCCCCAGTACACGGCCGTCACGATGAACGGGTACGTCGTGATGGTCGTGTAGTAGAAGGCGTGCAGGGCCTGCAGCGGCCGCGGGAACCGGTCGAGCAGCGGCGTGCCCGTCCGCGCGTACGTGAAGGTGTGGACGGCCGCCGTCAGGTTGTAGAAGGCCAGGCCCCAGTAGGTCAGGACGGTGAAGTAGGAGAAGCTGTCGCCGGCTTGCTTGCACCCGCCGTACGAGGGGTGCGTGCAGTACCAGCCTGACGCGAATAGTTCGACGAAGATGCCATAGAGGCCCTGCAGATGGGGGTCTGGTCAGCCGGTTGCTCCTTTTTCTCCTTTTCACATGTTCGTTATGCACGCGGGCACTGGAGTGCAGTTTCGCTGTGGGTCACTGGTCGGAGCGATCAATGATCGACCGACAGGTGCAGTGGGATGGATGGCATGCATCGCCGGGCCGCCAAAAGTCAAAAGGAAGGTAAGGTTTCGCTCCAGGACGTACAAATACGGCGCGGCACGCGCACAAGGCGTAGGGCGGGAGTAACCAGGACGTCTCGTACCGGTGGGATGGATCCCACAGGTCCTTGCCGAACTTGAGAGGATTCTGGAATCGAACCATCTCGGCGACAGGAAAACGAAGGACTTGTGAGGATGCGGACGTGGGCGTCGTGGACGATGCAAGTGATCTGTCCCGATCGATCCACCCGTTTGGTCCGCCAAGAGGAAGTTGTCAACGACTGTCGATCAAAAGCGAAAAATAAAAGCAGCAAAAGACTATTCGAGGTGGTGCAGAAACACGAAATGAGACTAGGTCGGAAAGGCAGCAAGACTAGAGAGGGAGTCCGGGCGCCTCTGGAAGCCGAGACACGGCAGACCGAGGCTTAAAACGCGGACCCTTTTCCAAATTGAACCAAAATGGACCGCAAAGATGTGACCTGAACACGAATTACTTCTTTCTTTCGACTAGCTTATCGCCGTCATGCGCTGACTAGTCAGATCATGTCCACCACCACTAGAGAATAGATGCATCTACACCAACAACCAGCCTGGGATACTTGCCCACCCGACACGCAAGCTTCAATGATCTGAAGTCGATGGCGGGGTAGCATTCAAAGGTCGCCCTCGCCCCTTTTCTGATGTACTGAGATATCTCGGTTGGATTTGTGGTTGGAATGCTTGAATCGTGGCCTTCAGGTGAACCGAAATGAGGCCTTCTCTTCGAGCAGACATGTCCGTTCGGAGCCGAGTCAGATCTAAGGCGAACTTCCAGCGACGATAGTTTCTCCCTTCCGGATTTTTGGGCTGCCAAGCTGTCAAAACATTGACCCGTCAGTTGGCATCACCGCATCCCGAGTGACTATCACGCACATGTTAGGGTTACTTTACGACGCCCGGACTCTGAGAGCTACCGAGCGCCCCCAAGATGATAACGCTGAGTGGCATCCGTTCCTACGTGTGTGCATCCCAGTCCAAGGAGGTCCCCAGCAGCGAGTCCCAGGTCGAGTTTCCTCGCCTGGACTGCAGGTTTCCGATAGGATTGAGTGATGAGCGAACCAGCATAGCAGCCCTTTGCTCGCCTAATGGCACAGATGAACACGGCACCTCGGTCCTCCGACCATGTCTGCGGCAGACGGGTTCAACCGAGCCTCGGGATTTTGCGCAAAGCTGTTGTCTCGTCGCCTTCAACAATCTACGGGGATGCAGTCGCCGGGCAGCATGGACACAAGGCCTCGTAAATGCGGCGGCAAGGTAGGCAGTGATCGTTTTGGTGTCCCCAGGGAGATTTTGCAAGAGGCTCGCCTCGCTGCGATCAGCGTCTTGTGGTATGTGGCTCAACAGATGCAGTGTTCAATCGGGTTCGTGGTTGTGGCTTGCCACGACAGGCGACGAGTTGGGTGTCTCGTGCAGTCCTGCAGACAGATATTTGATGACTGCATGGTTGGCCGCTTCTGCAATGTTCGGACGAGACCTGCATCAGCGCGGTGCCGTACAGCGAGCATTTCAACCGGCGCAGGCTGGGGTGCAGCAGCCGCTGACTGGCGGATTGAACAGCTCCTGGGGGACCCGGAAACAAAAATGCAAATCTCGGCGGGCCACCTCGGGCATCTCCAGCTAGGGGCTCTTGGAGGATTGCGGCTCCTAGCGTTGAGATTTTCTCCGGGTGATGAGCCTAGGGAAACCAGGGATCCCACACCCAGATAGATTCAAGTCCCTTGAATTGTACTCCCAGATGACATGCCTCCCTGGCAAAGAAATTGTCGATGCTCCTCTCCAGGGCAAAAGTTTGCGGCAACACCGAGTCTGGGCCAAGGAGAGGTTTTCTTGCTGTTGCCACAATATACAAGGCAAAGAAAAGGAGAGAGAAAGTCAAATCTGAGAAGTCTCTTTGAATAGCAACGGCCCCCATTCAGCGACAGGGGCATACGCAGCGCTGATCATCAGTTCCCACGGGCCAAACGCCTCGGGAGGCTGGACGGGCCACGGACATTTCTATGCAGGGCCACAGCACTGTGTGTACCTAGGTCGTGCTAGACTCGCAAGGTAGGATGTACCTAGGTAAGAGGGCCTCGAGGCTAGCGCCAGGATGTGCAGCGCGGTCCAGGGGCGCGGGTGCCAGTGCGATGTGGCAGTGGGATAGCGAGGGTGACCCCAGCTCGAGCCACGAACAGCTCAGGGGCTGGAATGGGTTCGGCGATAGTGTTGAACGATGACCATGAACCTGAGTATGAATCTGAGTGCAATACACATATATGTCTTTAATGAGTGGTTGCAGTAATTGCAGGGCAGTCGTGTCGCCCGGTATGAGACGGAGATATATGCTACAGTACCAAGATTTGGCGATCACTTGCGCATCCACATTGGCCGATGGGCGAACAGCAATACAGTATAGTATTAGTAGTACAGTAGCATCGATTGGGGGTTGAAGGAGAGACGAGGAGGGCAGGTGCCACTGTGTAGCCAGGGCCCAGGGACCCAAGACTTAAGGGACCCAGGGCTCAAGGGACGGAAGGGGCCACTTCAAGGGGTCGTGGCTTCCCCACTGGTTCCCTGCAATCAATCAATCATCCCATTGTGCATCATCATCGGCCCCTCTCAAGGACCCTCCAGACCCTCCAGAGGCTCCAGAGGCTCCAGAGGCTCCAGAGGCTCCAGAGGCCCCCCAGAGGCTCCAGAGGCTCCAGAGGCCCCCCAGAGGCTCCAGAGGCTCCAGAGGCCCCCCAGAGGCTCAGCCAGCGGAGATTCGGCGAGGCAATTCATGATCTACAGTACCAAAATAATATCTGGATACATACATACATACAATCAATCAATCAATCAATTAATCGCCCAGAGCAGTACCTTGTTCTGCACTACACTATGTGCAGTCTTCTCCGTTCTCCCTCCCCACCAAATCTCCTTTCGCATCCGAGGTCTAGTCCCAGTCGGCCGTACAGTACCTTGAGTAGGCATAGTCAAGGTGTCAAGGCCTACGTAGACTGCAATGGACTAAACCACACTGGTTCTTAGCTGTCATTCCTCGTAATACCAGCCCATCCTCCGACAAGGTTTGGCCCCAACGTCTTATCTTACTTTTTGTCCACGGCCGCTGCTGCGTCGGCGCCGATGGCACGCTGCCCAGCCTGACTTGCTCAAAGGGGACGGGGCTTTTCCAGTTCGGTCGGCCTGATGGCCCTTCTCAGAAATTGCTCCTGGGATCATGGGACGGCAAATACCACGCTGCCACGAGGAGCTTGGGCTTTTTTCTTTGCAATCCTTCGCCCGCCGTCTCGCCAGCCTGACGATCATCTGCTCTTGGACCTCGACCTCGAACCCAGACTTCGGATGACCTGGCGAACAGACTCCGCTTGTTTTGCTCGCTTACGGGGGTGGCCCCTTTTCCCTCCGCCTGCAGCCGCAACCTTCAACTCACCCTCACCCTCGCCCGCGCACCCACTCACACACCATCCACCCACACCCACTCCTTCACCTGACCCTCCGGCCCCCTCTCCCCACGGCACGGCACAGCACAGCACACCAAAGCGCAGCTTGCTGATCAGATCTCGGTGTGCACTGTGAAGAGAGAGAAAGAGAGAGACCTTGGGCACCCTCGACGACGTGAATAGCTCAGAGAGGGGCTAGCCAAGGCAAACACAAACACAAGGGCAATGCAAGGCCAGTCAGGTTGTGGCTACAATTAATTAAATCGTCAATGTGTGCGCTTCACCTGCGAGGCACTGGCTGATTGCTCTGCTCTCTGCCCTGCCCAGCCCTGCCCAGCTCTCCTCCCATTCACTTCTGCATCTGCATCTGCGCCCGCATCCGCATGTAGCATCTGGCATTTTGCTATTTGTCTTGTCTGCAGGGCCTCGAGCTTATTGTCTAAGCCACCAAGGAAACAAGTCCTCCTCCTTCTTCTCCTCCGCCGTTTCTGACCACCACAAACAAATCCACAACACACCCGCTCACATTCACATTCGTTCCCACTCTTTCGACATCCACTACCCACCAAGCAAGCGAGCAAGCAAGCAGCCTCGCAATACCGAGAACAGACCTAATTCAACCATCGCCCTTCAATTTGCAATAGTGCCATAGCTTGGGCTCTCTCCTCCGCCTAGAGCCCCCCCCTAGTTCTCCGGCGCTGCGGTGCTCCAGTGCTCCAGTCGGTCCCAGCTAATACAAACCTTAATCTCCTCAGCCTCTCGTTAGTCCCAGCTCGGTTGGACTATCACTTGGAATCCACCGTCCGTCATCAAACCGCATTCGCCAACGTCGCGCCGTTAATCCATCTTTTCCTTACTTCATTCAGCATTCGGGGATCAGCATCTCGCGGCTGGGCGTCTTGGTCACGCTCTTCTCTCCTCCTTCCATACGCCCCCGCTGGCCACTGGCCACTTCAAACAGACCACTTGCATCGTCTTTCCTTCACGCCCCCTCTCCAATCGAGCCATGACTGCGACGACCAAGGCTGTCTGCTGACCTACTCGTATCTTTTTCTGGAAGTCGACTGCGTTCACATGTGCCCTATTGGCACTGCAAGGGAGGCCAGGTCCGGACGATCAGCACTTGAGTCAGGACTCACATATTGAGCCTGCTGCCCCTCGATTTGTGCAACACTTGCCGCCCTGTCACCTGTCTTGTGTGAGCGACAGGTTCGTTTCTCGGGAGTCTGCAGTGCGGCTGGCTGCGTGGACTGGCGGTTGGCTGCTGTTGACTCTGTAACATTGCTCACTACTGGCTGCACCATTCTCTCCGACGACAATTACGCCTGTCGATCCCGTCGAATCCCCCACGTCCGTTTGCCGATGGTCACAGACACGCCGGTCTAGGCTGGCACCGAAGCGAGCCATCATTCCCTGCTGTGCACCATGACCACCACAAGCGTCTCGCGCCCTATGGGCCACAGCGATCCCTTCCCACCACATCTGGCTCCCGAGCCACATCCTGACCGGAGTGACACGAGGAGCCCATGCCGAACCACAATCAGCCACTTCGATGACTCCTCAGACGACGATGACGACTACCTGGAGGCCGAAGAGGAGCTGCGGAGCCCGGCGGCCTCTCGTCATCCCAACATTCCTCTGCACCCGATCGCATCTATGCAGGACGCCTTCGCCGAGTCACTCGACGAGGCTACCAATGGCAGCCTTGAGCCGAAGCCAAAGTTGAAAGATCTCGACGCAAAGACGCGGCGGGAGAAGCTGCTTGACGAGGACAAATCCGAAGGCCCGCCGAACCGGCTTTGGCGCTTCCGAACCGGTCAGAAATGCCATGAATTGAGGAAGTTGATGGCCCAGATATCATTTGGTGTCTACCTGCTCATAAACGGCATGGCCAACAGCAACGCTCAAGTCCTTTCTATCTTGCAGGGCCACATCGACGAGGTGGACGAATTCCTGGAGGCGACCATGGACGACGTGAGACTGGCTACCCAGGATCTGAACGAGCGGCTTGATTTCTTAAAACTACCAATGGAGAATATGGAGGTTTTTGAGCAAATGCTGGAAAATCGGAAATTTCGCCTACAGATCGTAGAGGGAAACGTCAAAATCGAGCACATCCTCTCCCGAACTTCGACCGCCCACACTCAAACCATCCGCGATATATCCGAGGGCCTTCGGGCGGCCAAGCAATTTTCGCAATATCTGGCCAATACCGAGAAGGGGCAATGGCGGCAGGACCGGCCTGACGTAGTAGATGTATTCGATGCGATGAAGGGCAACACTGAAGGCTGGTACAACGCCTTCTCAGCCCTAGAGTCACAAAGCACCCTTCTCAGCGGTCTCTGTGTCCGTCTCAGCACAATGATTGTGGAGATCGACAAGAGGGCCGGTGAAGTTAGTCGGCGGACTAGGGTGAGTTCCAACCGTCTCTCGGGGCTAGGGGATATGTCTTGTCCATACTGACCAGTGACCAGTTTACCCTAGAGCCATACTCGGATCCCGATGGGCGACCTATCCCTCGCTCCCCAGAAAGCCCTGCGCAAGCCACTCCGCCGCCCTCACCCCCAATTTCCAAGGTCGACGCTCCTCCACGAATTAAGACCCTATATTTTGGTGCACCAATGACCTCTTTGCTCGAGGACCCCGAGAGCCCCGTCTTATTTGAGCTCCCCGCGAGGCCGGCAAAAAGAATCACACAAGATTCCGACACGATGAGAGAGAGCCTGCCAGCATTTCAGTACACTCCCCCTGAGAGCTCAAAGACAATACCGGAATTAGTGGTTGAGCCAGCAATCCGGCACGAGGAGGAGGCGGGGAGTAGCGAGTCCAGTGACAACGAATCAGAAAGCTCGACCGACGACGGCAATGAGAACGACAATGGGTTGTTCATCCTGCAGCCCAGAACTTACACCCCAGTGCCCCCGGCACCCATACCTTCGCCACGAGTATCCGCAGCGCCACCAGTATCCTCAGCGCCACGAGTACCCGCAGCGCCACGGCCAACGCCAGAAGAGATCAGCATTCACATCGAGGCCGAGGAGGATGAGAGGCACTCGGAGGATTGGTTGCGCGAGTCTGCCGTCATCGTGCCACTGCCTCCCCCCCGTCAAAGGCCAGCACTACATCCAGATCCTCACCCAAGACCGTTGCAGATAAAGCAGAGGCAAGCGTCAGAACCACATGAGTTGGAAGCGCAGGTTTCACACCGGACGTCATTGAGAGACAGAGTGTCACTCAAGATCGAACTTCCAAAAGATATACACGTACCTGCAGCCAATGCGTTAGAGCTCCAATTGCCACGCTTTCCCACTCCAAAGGATTCGCCGAAAGGTTCGCCACGCAGTAATCGACCTCAGGATTCCGCGCGCGGTTCTCACATGGATGGACATTCCAACAACGACGCGACGAAACGCTATGTCAATGTAGATTACACACCACCGACGTTCCCGAACCTGATCCCGTCTCCTGCTTCCGAACACCAGTACTTCCGCCCTGTTCAGGCCAGCCCGCACTCGCCTTTGCAGCAACGCCCTCACACAGCTGGGACAGTTGGCAACAGGCCCGGCAACCATCAGCGCAACGCCCCGTCACAGATGGGGATGAGTATGCTCAGCAACGTAACAACGATGACACAGGATACCTCAGGTACCAACCGGACGGTAAAGAAGAAGCGCAGCGCTTTTGGGTGGCTGAAGAAAGCATTTTCGCTCGATGAAGAGGAACGGGCGGCGTTTGAGGAGAGAAGGCGTCAACAGCCTCTTAATTACTACTACGACGGACGAAGCCCGAAATTCCTGGACGGCAAGCGGTTGGACCGTCCACCATCCAGTAGGCCAGCCTCCAGTCGACCGACCACAGGGCGACCGCCGACCACACGACCGACCACGGGACGTACTTATACGTAATTCTAATTCGATAATCGCAACGCATGCGTGCGGCATAGACCTCGCAGATAGCGGCAACGGAAACACGAGGTCTCCCTTGCCGTACAGCATACCATGATTTTCTCTCGACATCTCGATCACTTGTCGATAGATATACGACCGTCTCGTCTTTCGAAGATACCCTACAAACAACAGTGCACAACCATCCATTCGCCATTTAACATTGGGCCATTTGTACTACATATCTCATCACTAGCAACAACACCTCAAGGAGGCCTTCAAAATACTCTACCGCATTTGCATTTTGTTTATTTATTTTTTGGCTACTCTACGATCAATGGACAGCATCAAGCGAAGCCATGTTTGTTCCGCCCTACGCTCTCAGAGCTTTGTAGGTTCTATTATTGTTTCTGTTTCTAGTTACACTCATACAAAAGCGACGGGCGCATGGTGCAACTTCTGGGAAGGTCTGTGACTATTCGATTGGCCTACAAGTCTATGGGGCTCGGAGAGATGTGGCTTTGAATAGGGCCCCGGATGGAATGATGGAAAGGCGTGGCGATGGACACCAATGTACGATATCTGGTTACCTAGGTAATGACCGAAAGCAGGAGAGAGCAGATGTGGAAAGCTCCAACCAGCGTGTCCTGTGCCAGCCACGTGCAATCTCTCATCCAACTTTGGACATCCATTCCCAAGAAAGTCTTTTTTTAGGGGCCAAAAAGGACACTGTTACTTACCAAGGCATTTGAGGCGTAGGCACTCGTTCGACTCCTACGGTCAGCTTCGTCTATCGGAAGTCGCAGGGAGTGGCCCGCCCCCTGCAGGCCTGAGCACGTCTGCGGCGCCCTGTGAAGCCTTATCACACACCCCCAAGGAGAGCACAAGCTGCAACCTGTCTGGGCAGACGAAGCAAGACCTGTCTCGCCCATACTGACCTGCTCCAACTTCTCTAGTTCCTACCATCCAGAAGGTCTCGCCGACTTGCTGGTTCATAAATCATGCCTCGACTAGTGGTCTCGCACACTCTGCGGTGACGTTGGCACCGCAGAAATAAATCATGTCTCCAGGCTAAGTAATGTTCAACTAGTAGCTTTCTACTCGGTCCATTTCCAAAAGATGAATGCCGAAGTCACGCGACCTGGCACGACGGTTGAGAGGTGTTGCTATATTTAGCCACACCGGGTTCCGAGCAGCTGGCCGGAACTCGGGGGCGGCCCACCGAGAAACGTTGAAGCAGCCATCAGATCGACGGCAGCTGCCGAGAGATCGGGGGCGGGCAGCTTGTCATGTTTGTTCTGGAACCACAACCAGCTTGCTTGCAGCGGAACACAGCCTTCTGCTAACAACACACCAATACGACGTATTTGCGCAGCATGCAGCAGGCCACGCAAACAGCATGCTGATCTCGAAAAGACGGCACTTGAAGTTGTGATAGGCAGAGGCGCCAAGCATAGCTTTAACCTTAAATCTAAAACCTCGCCCGGATTATGACATGCTTCCGGGGAAAAGGCTCGATCTGCCAAGTCGACGGGCTGCAGAGGCTGACGTCGTGCTAATGGGCCAGTAACAGCCATTCATTATGTCAAGCACAACAGATTATCGCCTGTCTAGTCAGGCTCTTTACCTAAGGCCAAGCACCGTTTCCACCATGGCATTGTGTGGCCATCGTGGCTCTGCAGCTTGGCAATCTACACCGATCGCCATTGAGTGGTGGGGAGTACCAGCTGGCCCAGCCCCCGGGCAACGGCTCGGCAGCTGTTCGACGGAATAATATGGCCTTACCTTGAAATGACGAGTGCCACACCGCACCGGCGTTCCAGCTTGACAAGGTTTCTTAAGGCTGCAGGGAGGCGGGTCATGGCGGGCCACGTGAGTGTGTTGATCTATCCATTCGACGTCCAGCGACGAGCGACCAGCGGGCCACAGAGGGCAACAGGACTGGGACCGAATCGCCTGGGCCGTCTGCTGAGCCATGCTGCCGAGCGAAGATTGAGTTCTCCCTGCCCAACTTGGCCTCGCAGCTGCTTCGGTGTGGCATTGGTCGTGGTTGGGGGCCAAGTCGACTCGTGTGCAGGTCGTCGTTGTCGAGGGAGTTGGGGCGGGATCTGCGGTGGCAGATTGTCGTTGCTATGAATATACATTGACTTGGCATACCAAGCTCAATCTCGATGGTTATGATGCGATGGGCCAGTATCATAAATAGAGGACCATCTCGACTGCTTCATGCGTCTGATATCCTCCCCATCACCATCGTCATCAACAGCAGCTCACTCTATCAGAATCGACATCATATCAGAAAGTCAAGTATAATTTACATAAAATAGTCTAATCACCAACCTCACCGAGACTACCGCTCCATACACTCAGACAAAATGCACTCCGCCGCTCTGCTCTCAGCTCTCCTCCTCGCCGCGGTCAAGGCAGACCTCCAGCTCGACCAGGACGATGTCTCGCAAAACTGCACGTCTATCTGCCGGCCCGTGCTGGAGCTGAGCCGGACGTGCGACGTCGACGACGACGCAGTCCCTGACGATCTCACCGAGGACCGCCTGACGCTGCAGTGCCTGTGCACCAACAACAGCTTCGACGTCCAGCGCTTCACGGGCCTCTGCGCGAGCTGCATGCAGCAGAACCCGGTGCCTGACGACGACGACGACAACGACAGCGACGACAGGCCCGATGACAACAACAGGGAGTAAGTGCCTGCCAGCAGAGTCAAACAAGCCTTCATAAATGCTAACACACATTACCCCCTAGCATCAACGAGATCCTGAGCCGCTGCGGCTTCCAGGGCACAACCTACTCGGCCTCCGACGCCGACGCGGCCAACGGCGTCGTGGTCGCGGCCACGCGCCCCACCAACGCCAACCAGCTGACCACGACCATCACGGGCGGCGGCGCGGCCGGCGGTGCCGCGCCCACCGGGACGGGCGTCACCAGCGCCGCCGCCGGCACCTTCACCACGACGGGCACCGTGACCAGCGGGTCGAGCACCATCCTCACCACGGGGACGACGACGGCCACGGGTGCCGCCAGCACCGGCACCGGCGTCACTGTTGCTGGCGCGCCCGGCCTGGAGCCGCTCGGTGGTGGCATGAAGGCGTTCTTGACTGTCGTGGGCGCTGCTGTCTTGGGCTTCTGGATGTGTTAGGTGTGTCGGCTGGGCAGTAGTGGGAGTGGAAACAGAGCGGCATGGGTTGAGATTGATGCCTGGGTATGGTTAGGGTAACGCTTGTTATGATGAAACTACAGAGTACGGTAACTCATATTGGTATTATTGGAGGAGAGTAAATGGATTTCCTGAAGCAAGAGATTCCCCTTGGAATATGATATTTTACATTCTATGATTTTTCTGGATGAGAGTTGTTAGCCTCTTGTAAGTATCCTTGTCGAACACCTTATACCAGCTGTTTGTGTAATTTATTTTGGGCTGCTCAAGTGCTGCACAGCAAATCGATGTGACATAAGTAAATTAATTGCAGCCAGCTTCGACAACCACTTACATAAAGCAATTATATGTTTTACACTACCCGAACCATTCAACATGGCTTGCAATTTAGGTAACCTTATTATATATGTATTATTTCTACTGTATGTATTTATTAAAGGAGCCTGAGGTGTGCGACTGCTTTGTGGCTGAGAACTGAACGAATTAACGACGTGCTGTTGGGCACCAACTCCTCCTTCTTCCCCAAGGTAAACAGTCCTCTTGATAGAGTGCTAGAATGTTTCAATAGTAGAGTATACTGCAAAGGATTTTACACTATACACTTCTTTAATGAGCGGATCAATTTAGCTTCATATGTGTTTATCCAGGTACCCGCGCTATAGTCTATGGCTAACTTATGTCCTTAGGCTTTGGTCTAAAAGTTGCTGTTTATTCATTTCTATGCAATTTTCGAGTATTCTAGACTCTGGTATTTGACAGAAAATCAAGAAATGGACTATTCGGAGTTTGCGGCCCTCATATATATATGTAATCTCCTCAAGCCTAAGTAGCATTATGGGCTACATTACTCTTCCTCAATAGTGTCTATGTCAATATTCCCACCTCATTGAAAACGACGTATTGAAAACTCTCTCCTCAAGATACAAGATTCAAAAGGATCTCAAACACACCATGACAGATCAACCTGCACAACGTCAGTATTTTGCCGTGAGCGATGCTGCTGAAAGTTCCGCAGCCCCAGCCCCGATGGAGGTTGTCTTCCAATTCGAGAAGCTGCAAATCAGCGACCAGGAAGCTCCTTCTTGGGATGTCATTACTTCGATTTCAAACCTAATTCCAGCAACCAACAAATATCAAAGCTTAGAGATCGACGACCAGAGCAACAACGGCATCAACGAGAAGAAGAAGAGGAAGAAGAAGTCTCCAAAGTCCCGAAACAACAAGAACACATCTAAGCGGGATCAAAAGAGGAACAAGGCTGGTGGAGCGAGTCAACATCGACAGAATACCGCATCCGTGAGCTGCCCCCAGGGGTCACTAGCCCCGTCACGCGACAGGCACAGGAGACGCAAGTCTAGGCATATAAACAAGAAAACACAGAAGATCTTTAAAGAACCGACCGGCTTGCCTTCGATGCAAAAGGATGTGGATGCACCTATGGTCTCGTCGGATCTGGATGTGGCTATGCAGGAATTGAGGATTGAGTGATGGGACATAACAGGATGTTTGAACCAAGAAGTACATGACGACGTTCATCATAACATTCGACACACTTTTGGCAGAGTGCCTGTTGCAGTCTAGTTGAAGTCGGGCTCATGTTTAAGCATTTCTCTGAGTGACTGTAATGCTGCCTGGAAATATGGTCTGAAGGGGAGAACCTATCAAAAGCTGACACATTGTGTCATGGAGGCTCCACGTACGCTCCACGCATTTTCAAGGTGCTAGGGCCGGTTACGATTTCTCTGGATAGCCTTCTAGAATACGAATCCGAACCAACGTATCCATTCCCCAAGAGCCAATAGATATTAATATTAGCGAGCCCGGACTGATTATTCCCAGATACTGCCAGTCTCGCTAAGCTGACGCGTGGTAGTGAGGGCTTCTAATTTTATAGAAGCTGTCCGCCTGGTCATTTGTAGGACTGTCGCACCCGGTGCCTGTGATGCAACCAATAACAGTTTCAACAAAACAAAAAGTGCGTTCCAATTAAAAGAACTCATCTGACTAGTAAATTCCAGATCAATTTTGCTCGAGTACAAGCCTACCCATTGTGCTCTTGCTTGGCCTGCTCGAAGACTATGGAGTTGTTGTGTCTGTCCTCCTCAAGCACTTCTAGCTCACGAATGCCCTCCAAAACCTTGTCATCGCCATGATTGCTCGCTTCAGCCAGAATCAAGTCCGTTGCCTTCTCTGCTAGGATGTATATGGCCAAGGTCGGGAAAGAACCTGGGACACGGGGGAAAGAAGAGGCATCGACGACTCTGAGACCGTCCACACCACGGACACGGAACTTGGAGTCCAGGCACGCCATGGCGTCGTCGTCTGCACCAATAGCAACGGTACAGCAGGCGTGGTGACCGAAGGCCTCACCCTTGATGCGTGTCTCGATCTGTTCCTCTGTAGTGGCATCCGGCCCGGGGATGGTCTCGGAAAAGCCCTCGACACCTTTATTGATCTTTCGGGCGAGCTCAACACCCTCGTACATGGCCTTCAGGTCTTCCGCGCCGCCTTCCTTGAAAAAGTGGAAATCGATATCAGGCACATCGCGAGGATCCTTGGACCTGAGTTTGACTGTTCCAGCTGTGTTCCGGGAGCCAATCTTCAGAACATCCCATGTCCAAGCTGGGCCGCTCCCTGTAGCTGTAGAGAAGCCAGGGAAATACCCAGTGAATGGGAACGCACCGCCGAAGATCAGGGTATCTGGACGGTGGGTCTCGGCAACGCTGCTCGAGTGGAACACGCCCGTGGCGACTCTGAGAAATCAGATGAACGTCGTCAGTATATGCAATGACATTGTATGACCACCAGTTTCTGATGCCATGAGAGCCCTGGAGGGGTTTTGTACTTACAAGTTGCTGGCATAAGGGCCTCCTGACTTGGACTCGATCCATTCCTTGAATAGGGGATCACCAGCCGTGAGACCTGTCCCTTTGGCAAGCGGCGAAAATGATGTTTTAGTCGTGCCAACGACACCGAATTCATAATTGTCCTGCAGATTGGTGCCAACGCCTGGCAGATCCACCAGAACCTCGATCCCAACTTTCTGGAGGTCATCTTTGGGACCAATGCCGCTTAGCTGAAGCAGCTGCGGGGAATTGAAAACACCACCTGCTATAATCACCTCTTTCGATGCATAGATGGCCTTTTTGACTCCAGCGATCTTTGGGTTGGACCTCGGATCAGCCTTGTAGAGGCTCCTTCCTTGGAGAAACTCCACACCAATGGCCTTGGGCTTTTGGCCGTGATTTGCTTTTTTGAAAATGACACGGGTGGCGAGGCTATGGGTGCTGATGGTCAGGGGATACCTTTTCCTACCATGGGCGTCTTTGGCATTCGAAGTTGCCACGAGATAGTCTCTTGCACTGGATCGGCGACCATTTTTCGTCATGGTCATGGCCGGCCGGTAGACGCCCTCCTTTTCCGAAGGGAAAAGAGGGTTGATGTCGTCGAGCAGGCCCTCGGATGATCCCTGAACATTGAGCGCACTGTCGATGACGGGCTTAGCGGCCGTGATAGTCGAAGAGTGGGCGAGATTGGTCTCGACGTATCCGTGAAACCCGTGGCCTGGGGTGCCCGGAGGCAAATAGCCGCAGCGTTCAAGTCGTTCGAACAAGGGACGAATATTGCCGTACTCCCAGGACTTGTCGCCGGTAAGTTTGGCGATATAGTCCCAGTCCGAAGCAGGCGGTAAGACACCGGCGAGCGCGTTGTGGGCTGCACAGCCGCCGAGTGTTCCGGCACGAGGATAGTAAATCCCGAGCTGCTTGGAACCAGCAGGAGGGTTAATGCCGACGAAGATGCTACCGTCAGGTGTCTCCCATGTCATCTTGGGATCCTTGGCAGCCTGCTCCGGGTCGTCATAATGCTTGACGAAATAGTCCCAGCGCTCAGCGGCATCTTCTTCGAAGGCGGGGAAGAATGTAGGGATCTTCGCGTGGAGGTTCTGACCCTGGTCGTCACCCGCTTCGAGTAGCAGGACTTTGTGTCCTTGACGGGCGAGGTTGGCGGCGACGGGTCCGCCTCCCGGACCCGAACCGACGACGATGTACTCGTACTCCTCGCAGAGAGACGCAGGGCTTTCTGGAACCTCAACACTCATTGTTCTATTTTGACGAGATACGGGGAAGATTTCGAATATGTCTGATATTTTCGAGGTTCTGAGTTCGTGATGATTAGGGAGTAGGAGTGCTGCCAGTTCAAGATCATGCTGTAGTGTCCTGAGATCAAGCCTCTGTTTATATAAACATCACCATTATGGCTATCAGGTCTAAAATGACCTCGTCATGCGGTCTATCCTCGCCTTCTGTCGGCGGCCGACGCCTGCAAATCTCATCTCAGAATGCATCTAGTTACATTTGATGTGTACTGTTGATGCCGGCCAACACTCCTTTCTCGGTTATGAAAGGTTCAAGAGCGGGCAAGTGATCGATTCGCCTCTTACACGGCCAAAGGCCACAGACGCGAAGGACCGAAGTAAGCTGTGGGTATCATACCACCCGACCTCGGCTGATCAGCAATGATTGCAATTGAGTATTGTCCATGATGGCGGCCTCAGCACAATGCCTTCTTCGGGTGATTTCGGTACATGAATCTCTCTCTAGATCAGTAGTACCCAGTAGTCCTGCCTTGTCGACTATCTTTGATGTTCATGCCATCCGCTCGAATGCACTCAAAAAATGGTGGTCAGAGCAATGATTAGAAGATGTTCGCTCGTACGTGATGACAGAACTCGAGCTCACAAGAAACATCCTGAATCCTTCTATCAGCGCTAAATGGTAAGTCAAAATCATGGATCACGAAGTAGAAGCAATCTCAAGCCGTTGGAAAAAATACGAGATGGCTTCAGAAAACTCCAGTCATATTTTACATACCCGACTGATGAAACAAGTAAATAGTAGAATACAGAGCCACCCAAAAAACCGCGATGATGAGACTGCTGACGGCCAACGACGACTCCACAGGGCTTGGAAATTAAGACGTCGAAAGATATGTAGGCGAAAAGTGTGCGAGAAAGTTGAGAGGCAACAATTATTTGCAAAACACATTATTGACCACCATAATTGACAGGTGCGCCAGTCCTAGATTTGACCGAACAAGGGGACTACCACACCGCACTGACCAGATAGTAAACCTGCAATACTGGATTTTCGTGGTAATTAATTATGTCAGCCTGCTAGTCTATGTGGCAGCGGTCACCAGTTGACGCCTCCTATGTGATGGTGGTTGGTCAGCGTCAGATCCATCCATTGTCTCTATAGAGCCGAGGCATTAATGGTGATGGAGTGGAGTTTAGGTCAGACAATGGCAAGGGTCGGCCGATGGGGAGAACTTCCGCTGCGAATTCATTCCAATTTGGTATCCTCCTAAGCCAAGCCGGGTCTGCAAGGCTGTAACAGGTAAGGCCAGCAGTGGAACAAGAACCAATTGTAGATCATGTGTTTTCTTTTGAAAGAATAGAGTGGCGAATCGCTCAGGAGGAGTATTTGCATTGCGATTCAATCTAGCTTTAATAGTTTATCGATGACGCATTCCCAGTTGCTTACGCACTATTGAACATCGAAATAGTGAGCTTCAGTCTGTGCCACGTTTACTGATTGAGCATTCGCTCGGATGATGGTAAATTTTGAAACATGGGGAGCATATATGCCCCGATGCCCAACTATTTCACTACTGTATTGATACATTCCGGTATGATTACATGTAGCCTACTACTCTAGAGTTATTAAGCCGTGCATAATGAATAGCTTACACTATAGAGAAAGTCTTGCTCACATTCTGTGCATTGACCTAGGTGCTAATTCGCCGTGATACTGAATATGAGAGCCGGTCTCAAGATGCAGAAGCTAAAACCAAGAGATATTGCAGAATATTCAATAATGATATGATCAAGTTCTATCAAATAGGCGCGGTCCGCTAAGTGTTTACAGGTACAACAAATACATGCTGCGATAGGATCAACTGTTGCTCGGAGCGCGAAAGACTTCCTGGGTGCATTGGTATAACAGTAATTCAGCGGAAACTCCATTGCTGATTTAATATTTCGAGCCTAAAGTCTGGAGGGACCGTGATGAGTATGCAAATAGGAGATTCATAATATTCCCACTAGTGCTATAATATAGTGTATTGCTATATCAGAGTTTGACAACCTTTAAAAGTCCCTCTTGTTATTCAAAGTCTAAGTTATGCTGCTCAACACGCGATTGGATGATGCGCTAGTTTGTGAGGGGACTTAGTGTGAAGTGGTCCAGACGAAAGCTCCCGAAACATGTGGGCGAGGAGGTCCAGGAAACGTCCTTTCCTTGGCAAATGCGAAGAGACGGTGCGTATCCATCTATGTGGGAGACATCAAGTCTAGGAATGTAATAGGACATTTAATTCTACAATGTGTGCGGTTTGCCCAGATCTTATAGTCTTCGCTATTCCATCTATTCCACAGGTATACCTGGTCGCATGCAAGCTACTTGGAACCACAGGAAAGGTTACATGCCACATGCATTAACGCAACAATTCTATTAGAGTGACTGTAGAGTTTCGATTCTAACCAGCCTACTTTCGAGTGTACATATTGTCATCGACCTCCTTTAGGTGGGGCGGACAATCGCGAATTCCCGATGGGGATGTCCGGCAACGGGCCCGCAGGGCTTCACCAATTGTTTCAAGTAACTAGTGCCATAAAGGCCGTTCATCCGACCTCTCATCATCAACTCTAACTCAAGAGCTTTTGACTGAGTGCTCATCAAGAGTGCGCAAAGTCTCAGTCACTATCCCTCAAGAACGTACAATGGCAGCAAATGAAACAACAGCAAACGGTGGGATACCGAATGGCAAGGCGTCAATCCACGAGAAGTATACCATCGGGAATGCGATACTCGAGCCAGCGGTACACCATGAATCGTTTGAGAAACTATGGGAAACTAAATGGAAAGCGCCTGTAGGCTGTCTTCCATCATCGTCACCCTCGACCTCAGCACTGACAAGAGCTTTCTAGTGCACAATGGGAGTCTATCCATTTATGTTTGGTACCGTAAAGGACTTTGAGCCAGTTGCGCAGGAGATCATCAAAGTGAGCCCTCCCGGGGTTCAATGCAAAACGTGGTTTTAACTTTTCCAAAATAGAAAGGGCTGAAAGAGCCGTACGACTGGGACGAGTATGCAGAGATGTTCTTCCCCAAGGCTCAGGAACTATCCGAGATCGCAGCGAGGGCAGAGAAGGCGGGTGAGAAGGAAATGGCTTCGGAATACTACCTCCGAAGCTCAGCATTGTATCGCATCGCCCGGTTCCCGGCTCCTCGGTCAGAAAAACAGCGTCTCGCCTGGACTCTCGGCAAAGAAGCCTTCTACAAAGGCGGAGCGTGAGCCAACTATGCAATTCTCCGCAAGCCATGCTCTCCACTAACCATCTGAACAGTCTGATGGAATATCCCATCCGCGAGGTAGAGATCCCTCACCTTCATCGAGATGATTCTGAAGGCCACACCATCCCTGTGAACTTCCTTCTGCCACCCGGGGCTTCACCTCAGCGCCCGGCCCCCGTAATGATGATATTTACAGGCCTCGACGGCTATCGCACCGAGCTAGCAGTCTGGCAGCGCGGCTGGCTCGAGAAGGGCGTGGCGACAATGGTCGTCGAAATCCCAGGGACGGGCGACTCTCCAGCGGCCAAGAAAGACCCTACAAGCCCTGATCGACAGTGGTCCAGCGTCCTGGACTGGATCGACGGACAGGTGGATCTGGACAGCAAGAGAGTCGTTGTCTGGGGTTTCTCCACGGGCGGGTACTACTCGCTGCGGGTGGCCCATACACACGCGGATCGGTTGTTGGGCAGCATCAGCTTGGGAGGCGGGGCGCACCACATGTTTGACCGCGAGTGGCTGACGCATGTCAACAAGTTGGAGTATCCCTTTGACTTGGCTGACACCCTGGCGTACAAGTTCGGCTATGGGGACTTGGAATCGTTTATTCAGGAGGCGCACAAGTTCTCCCTAGTCAATGATGGAACGCTGGACGGGCCCTGTTGCAGGAACATGTTGCTCGTCAATGGGCAGAACGACGAGATCTTTCCGATCGAGGACCTGCATGTGGCTTTGCGGCATGGGATGCCAAAGTCAGCGAGGGTGATCGAGGGGCGCAAGCATATGGGTGAGCCGGAGAGCTTTTTCGTGATCCTGCGATGGATCCATGACTTGCTGGGCCTAGACGGGGATATTGCGGCTCAGATGAAGTTGTTGCCGTCAAGAACCAAGTACTGAAATATGAGCAAAAGTCGAAGTCGAAATGGATACATATATATTGAAAATTAAGATGTATTTCTTTATCAAGCATTCAGGCAGCATATATAAGTACTTACAGTTTCTAATTGGAAAAACGCAAAGACTGAGCGAATCCACTGGCACTGCCTATCTTCGTTTGATTGACGATGTCCCTACTGATCATCACTTGATCAACTTTCAATCTAAATTGATTTTACCAATGATCCTGATGCCAATTATGAGGAATGTACTCTCTTGTTGGTACTCATGCCAGGCAAGCTCTCAGGTGTCTTGAACATGAAGCCAGAGCAGATGGAGAGGGAGAGGGGGAGGATAGTCAGTCTCGAACGTAGTTCTACGGATGATACCAACTGTGTGTACTACTGACTCAAAACAAAATCAGTCCACTCTGCAGTTAATTAACTCACGGGGTTAACAAAGCTTATTTGCGTACTATTTCTTACTGTGAAGTAGGTCTCAGGTGCTTTCGTTATGTCGCGGCACCTGTCAAAAACAATGTGCATGTGGTTTGCAGGGATTTAGCCCCGACCATGCGACCCCGGAATCGCCTGATTGTGAACCTCGGCATCAACTCGGCCAAGCCCGTTCGAACTGCAAGAACCACGCAACGTCCAGCCTCCGCCATCCTTCAAGAGGACATGAGGGCCAGCCCGCTACCGCTCCCAATGTCGCTGGCCTCACCATATTGCCCTCATTCATGACTCCCAAATGAGCAATCCGACCTTCGCCCAAGCGCAGCAGCGCCTCGCCGAGCGCCGCCGAACCCGCGAGGCCCAGGCCCAGGCACGACTCGCCGCTGAACAATCTGCCTCCCAGATCCGCTCACGAATCTCATCGCACCCTTCTCCCCTCTTCAGGAGCCTCGGCGGAACCGCTCTGTCGCTCTGGGATACCGTTTCGTCACCCGAGGGCACTCGACCGGCCTTCCGCGTGGGCCAGGTCGACGCAGAGCTGCTGGACGAGGAGCTCGTGCAGCTCCTGCGGGACCAGGTCGGAGATGCCCTGAAGTACATCGGCGGGCTGGGCAGTAATTTGAAGGAGGAGTGGTCCGCCGAGATATTGCTGGTGTTGAGAGCCGTGCTGTTCAAGTTGACGGTGTGGGATCACGATGCAACCTACGGCGCAGCCCTGCAAAATCTGAAATATACGGATGCACGGCACGATGGGCCAGTGCTGGTGCCGCCGACGAAAGTGCAAAAATGGCTCTACGGCCTGATCACCGTGGGAGGCAAGTACGGCTGGACGAGGCTTGAGAACTGGCTGCTGAACCAGGACAACGGGTTCGATGCGCCAAGCCCACGGGCTCAGAGGCTATCGCGGCTGACGTCCACAGCCGAGTCTGTCCATTCCGTGGCCGCTTTTGCCTCGTTTCTGGTGTTCCTGCTCCATGGCCGGTACAGAACATTGCTGGACAGGATATTACGGATGAGGCTGGCACCGCCCACCAGCCAGGTCAGCCGTGAGGTCTCCTTCGAGTACCTCAACCGGCAGCTCGTCTGGCACGCGTTCACAGAGTTTCTGTTGTTCGTCTTGCCACTGATTGGCATAAATAAATGGCGCAGATGGCTCAGCCGGACATGGAGAAAGACGAAGAACGCCATATCAAGCAGCGGCGATGGCGACAGCGAAGAGAAGAAGGGCGAGTACTCGTTCCTGCCCGAGCGGACATGCGCCATATGCTACCAGGACCAGAACTCAGCGTCCTCGGAGCAGGAGGTCTTGGCTGCTGCGGCGTCTAGTGGTGTGGTCGGCTCAGCGCAAACAGACATTACCAACCCTTATGAGACGATTCCTTGCGGCTGTGTCTACTGCTTTGTCTGTCTCGCCACAAGGATAGAAAGGGAAGAGGGCGAGGGCTGGACGTGTCTCCGATGTGGAGAGCAGGTCAAAGAGTGCAAGCCGTGGAGCGGAGATGTTCTGGAGCCTCCGAGCAAGTCACCGACGAACAAGGCGGTCATGTTTGCGGACGATGTCAAGGACACGCAGACAGAGACAGAGAGCTCTCAAGCGGAATATGTCGACGCGGTTGATGACCTGACTGAGTCTGCATCTACCGTCAAGGCCCAGAGCAGCGACGATGACAGCTCTGCGGACGGGGACTCGGAGGAATACGATGAGGAGGAGGGTGAACTTGGCGATGATATGGATGATTATTGAGCCTCACGAGGCCTCTATACATAGATGGGCGAAATATACCAGCCTCGGAGATACATGACATTAATGATACCACATCAAAGGCTCAAGAAAAGACGCTTTTGTCATGTAGACCTTCCTTTTGAGCGTCCTGTAGACATTGTTTGACTTCAATGACAGCATTTGCGGAAATCCTGATTGATCAAGTTCTCAATCTGAATACTGGCCGGCCACAACGACCTCAAGATGGTGAAGTCAAGCTCTCTAGCCAACAGGCTGGAACCCAACATCTGTGCCGCTATGTCTGCGGGTCGATAGCAAGCCCGATGGTTTCTGCCCTCACCGTGGGTCATGTTCGCGGCCCTGGGGTCGCGCAACCAGAACACATGATTTCACTGGCGATATGAAGCACTCACATGGGCTGTGACCTATGCAGCACCTCAGGCCGTGAGATTCTGCCCATCAAGTGTCTGAAGAAAAATGACATGTTCTGTTCGAGGAGCCAACATACAATTGTCTTACCATTCTGTTGATTCAACTTGGCTCTCTAGGCGCGGAAAGGTCCGTTTTGGGCAAGCCTCCGTCACATGCTAATCAGCGTTCTAAAAATGACGTCGGGCCTCTGGAAACGGTCACATTCGAAACAAAACACCAGATTGCGCTAACAGCGGTCGAGGCCGTTTGGTCGCTTATCTTATCATGGCTGCCCCTGGGCGATTCAAGTCGGGCCTGAACCCATTCCTCGATAGGATGGGAAGGGGCCCACCTGCGCGCCCCCAGTTGCCAGCACAGACGTAAACCAAATAATTCCCGACGACGGCAGAGACACATCAAAGATCCACACACCCCATGTCCACTTCTGCTGCTCTGCAGATCCTCACCGACACTGTGACTCCGCCCTCTTCCTCCATCGGGCCCCCAGTTTCACACGCGATCGCCTTGTCTTAAAAAACGAAGAAAAAAAAAAGTCTTCCCTCTGGCCCCTCACGCAAGAGAAGAACCCACGAAGATAATGCGACTCTCCAAGCTGTAGTCAAGCGTGCGAAGGTCGAGCCCGAACCACCCCACGATGTTCTCCTTCGAGCAGGGCAGCGAGACGCGATCACGCTACCCGACCGACGCCTCGCCCCTGCTGGGCCGCTTCCGCGCCGTCCCGCGCACGGGCGGCGGAAACACCAGCGCCAGCAACAGGCGCGGCAGCCTCGGCCTGCTGTCTCGCGCGTCGTGGCGCGGCAGCGTGCACGTCGGGTACGGCGCCACCGCGTTGCTGGCAACGGGCCTGGGCGACGACGACGATGATGATGACGAATCCGACGAATCTGACGACGACGACGACGACAACGAGGCGGGCTATGATGGCGCCGGGGCCGGGAGGAGGGGGAGGAAAAGGCTTGCGGCGTGGTTCCGGAAGAGGTGGAAGAGGATAGACGACCTGTGGATCAACCCCAAGCAGGGCGCCGTCAGGCGGGTCGCGAGCGTGTGGTACTCGCGGTGGTTCGTGCTGGTGGTGCTCCCCGCCGCCCTAGCCGTCGGGTGGTGCGCGATCCCCTTCCCGCAGTACCCGCTCAGGGACGGGCCAGATGACGGCGACGGCGGCGACGGCGGCAGCGGCAACTCGACCTCGATCAGTGATCCGGGGCGTCGCAAGTCGCGTGGCCACGGCAGGGCCCATGCCGAGGTCAACTTCTGGTTCTTCCTGTTTGTCTACTACGCCTTCTACAACCTGACGGCCTTGGTGTGGATCACAAAGGTGTTCAACCTGTACAGCCTGAACTGGTGGCCGTCGACGCTGGGCTTCCCGCTCACCATCTGCATGATCGCCGTGCTGGGCACGGTCGGCCCGGTCGTGCTGTACTACATACCCGAGGCCGAGTTCCTGACGGTGCACAACACGGTCTGGATCACGTGGACGTTCTGCATCATGGCCATGCCCGTGGTCATCGCAAGCTTCATCCTTCTCACCAAGGAGCGCCACATGGGGCTGCGCCACTCCATGTCGGAGACGCAGCGCATATTCACGTCCTCGTGGTGGGCGAGCGACGGCGGCTTCGAGTCGCCCGAGATCAGGGTCAACGGCCGCCGGCGACCGGATCCGAATTTGTGGAATGAGCCAGAGAACGCGCTGAACATCGGTGGCGCCCCCGTCGGCCAGCCTCCGCCCCGCCGCCGGATCCCCGTCCGCCTCAAGCCACGCTTCTTCCCCGCCTCCTTCGTGCGCTTTGTCTGGTTTTGTACAGCGTTGTTTATCGGACTGCTCGCGCTCGTGATAGGAGAGGCGTACGCAGAGGTCTACCTTAGGACACTGCCGCACAGCAGTTTGGACACGATAGTGTACGTGTACGGGTGGATATCGACGGTGTATCTTCTGGATGGGTTGACGGGGTGGATACTAGGAGGGAATCAGGGTGAGAGGGTGGGAAGTTATCCGTTGAGCTGGGTCTTCAAACTGTCAGTGGCTTAACGTCCCTTATCTCTTCTTCGCTCAGACGCGAGGAGGGCATGGCAAAGTCGACGAGGCTAATATTCGAGCACAGCTACTTCATGCTAACCTACCAAACCTACGTCCGTGCGCTGTACGCGCGACTGCGCTCCCCCAGCCAGTTCATCCTGCTGCAGATCCTCTCCTCCTCCGGCCTCATCATCGTCACGCCTATCCTCCTCTCCGCACCCGTCCACTGGCTCCTTACAGCCATCGGCGTGAACGGGCAGTCGTACGCCGCCTACCAGAAAGTCGGAGTCCGTAACGTGTTCATCCGATTTGTCGCAGAGAACGCGTCCATGCTCTGCTTCCTGGGCAGCGTCGCGACGCTGCACTTCGGCGCAAACAAGGCCGTCTACCCCTACTTCAGCTTCGACGAGGATGACTCGTCCGTCAGCGGGGACCCGTACGACTACACCTTCGAGCTGACCTTCTACGCCTCGGCCGTGACGTGGGCCTGCGAGCTTGTCGCGAGCTGTATCGTGGCGGGGCTGATCAAGTGGATCTACGGCGTGAATGTGGTCACGGAGGGGAGTCTCGACCTGGCCGTCTGGCCCGAGCTTTTGCCGACGAGCGTGGTCGTCGTCTTGCATGTGCTGCAGAACATGCTGTTCTCGATTGTGAGGTTACAGTTCCGCTGAGGCAGGTTGTTTACACGGGCGGGGGCCTGGTCAACTCGGGCCAGACCTGCGCAACAAAAGCACTCTAGCCTTCTTTCGATTAAGAGTGCTTCGGCAGGCAGCATTCAACGAGGAGAAAGTGCTGGCAGGCATGGTTATCGTCCGCCAAGGTCGGGATGGCCGTGGCACAACAGTGGTGATGTTGTGTCTTGCGAGGACAGCAGCTCGCCTGGCTGCACAGCATACCGAGTTGGCCACCGACGTTGCGGAAGCGGGAGTTTGGTGTTTCCTTCTCAGCCGTCTTCCTTCATTTCTCTTTCGCCCTGGTTTGTGCTGTCATACATGACACAGCAGAACGGGGCTCGCAGGCAAGCAGGCAGGTTCGCATAATGATACCCCAAATACCAGATTACCCCGGAATAGCTCTGTTTTCCCCATGGTAGACGCTTAGTACTTACTTGGGATTGTTTCTTTTTCGAGAATAGAAGTCTAGATCTATGCATGTATCACACTGCATCTGCTTCTCCACATCCGGGGAAGCATGTCCCGTCTCTCCTGCAGGCAGCCGCGAGCGCCGTTTCGGCGGGCGAGTATGCATGAGACCCAGCACACGAAGTTTGTGTGACGGTGTAGAACCTTATAAAAAAGATGCAGTAGAGAAATGTGGCTTGATGCCGAATTGAGAGCAGGGTTCCGAGGTTCCCGTGCATGCATATCTCCTCCGGTGTGTCCCTTTCTGCTGACCGGGCCAACGGTCGGACTCCCTGAGATAGGCAACCCGGGCCATAGCTGTGGCTTTTGGCTACTGTGCCAAAGAAACCGGGACTTCCTCCCCGCCGAGGTGTTATGAGAGAGGGCGAGACCATAACTCTGGTTGCACGCCGATGTGTCATCGCACATCACAAATGACAGAGATTTGCTGAACTATGGTAGATCCGGCTGGCCTGCAGCTGCTGTCTGACACGAAGCAGTCTCCCGTCCGGGTAAGTCAGGCCGGAGAGCTTGACGAATTATATCAGCATGTTCACCTCGTTGGCAGCGCGACTTGTCGGCAAGCGTACCCATATACGTATGTATATACAGACACATGTCGAGGTGACAAGAGCAGTCACTACGTCGTGGTGTACCCAGCATCTTTGGGGTCCTGATTGGGCAAACATCGCAGCGTGGTGAAGTGGTGCGATTGGGCTACTCTCCCGTGGGATGTGTCCATCGCGACGGAGAATTGAGATTTGCGTAATTTATTCCGCATCCGCAACCTGGTATTCGCACACTTACCTTGTGCAACTTTCATTTGTCCTCCCTTTGTTCCAGTACTCGTCATACGTAGCAGCGCAGCGTAAGTATTTCCGACTGATGAACACTTGGCTCGGCCCGTCGTCCAACGCAGAATAGTTTCGGTCCGCCCAACCACAAAGTATTTTCTCCGCCGCAGCGAGGTTAAGCGAATTATTCGGCAGGACAAGCGTAGGATGCCGTAAACTGCGGTGAGTTTCGGCTTGAACACGGCGCAAACTCCACTTCATCCAACCGTGCCGGCGCAACATCGGGAGATCCACAAGTGAAACGCACAGACGGGACCGGCGCCGATTTTCAGACGGGATGGCGGCTGGGGAAACCCGGGCCAAGGATTTGGACTGCGTCTGACGGTACCTAGGTACGGTCTGTAGTTTGAGATTCTCCATCGCTGGGAAACAATGGTCGGGGACTGCACGTGGTAGGCCGCGTTGAATGCTCTCTGTCTGGGATGGCTCTTTCCAAATTGATCGTTTCACGCCCTCGTGGTGGTCATTGTTGATCAAAACCGACATGGCTGCTTTTGCTAACTCATGCGGGTGTAGTGTAGTTGGCCAAGGCCTTCTGCTCCCGTCAGACTGGCGGTGAGACACATTTAAAAGCTTTAAAGCCTGGGACGAATGGAGGAATAGGTCGAGTCATAGTGAAGAGGGGGGGCCGAAGATAGCATTGATCACAGCCAGTCTGGCGCTCCGGCTGCCGTAAAGACTGTCCCTGTTGACAACTAGCCATGGGTGAAGGGAGCACTAATGCAGAAAGACCACGAAACCGTCATTGACGCTAAAATGCTTGACTGACATATTGCAACTCGCAAGGCACGAAAGGTTAAAGAAAGAAGGCAGACGGTGTCGATCACTTCCCCGGCCTTTCCACCCCTGCGACTTAGTCAAATCGACAGCCGAAGCGGTGATGAGCCGGCTCAAGGAGCAGCAGGATGAGCTCATCTTGGCCTGAGAACAGAGTATTACAGTAGGGTAGCCCTGCACTGCAGAGTTGTTGAGAGGGGACTGAGAAGCAACTGGGTGGCCTGGCACGGTAAGTGGCCGTCAACTTTGGGGAGCATGGTATCCGGGGAAGGGGGACCCTTGATGTCGAAAGTGGATGCGCACATTCTGCACAAAACCACCGTGGCGTCGCCCAGAGTAATAATGTGCATAGTAAGCCGATGAACTGTCAATGGAAGCCTCCGAGGGCCCAGAACTCTGATCTGAGACGTTGAATCCCAAGCAGTAGGAATCTCGCGGCGCGTTGAACGCTGCCAGACGCGACCAATGACATGGGCGAGTGCCTGCCTGGTGAGATACATGCAAATACATTGTACCTCGAGACGGGTTGGCAGCCGTGGGCCTCGGCTGACGGAACCCGAAGGGTGTACGGAGAGATGCAAGGCAGAGCAGGGAAGCACGCCACAGACGATGCAGATAAGGCAATGAGTGAATGGGAATGAAGGGGATGCTGTGCCCAAGGTGACTGGCAGCTCCGGAAGATGATGATGGATGGCAGGCATCGGCGAGAGACACGTCAGATTGTGGAATGAACAGGCGCAGGCATCCGGCGTTGACCGGATCGCGAGCTGGAGAAAGTGACTGGCTGATCTGTTAATTAAGGGCTGTGATGGAGGGCATCCTCAAGCAGGCCCCAAGGCTTCAAGGCCGCCTGCAGCAGAGGCTGGACCGTAAGAAGTGGGATGGGCTTCATGTGGGTGTAGCGCAGGCTGCTTGGTGTCTCGTATCCACGCACATAGCACGCAGGCGAGTCGGGGAAGCGTGGGGATGGTGTCGAGGAGCTGTGGGATCTGGGTCTGGGTCTGGGTCTAGGTCTGGGTCTGAGTTAGAGCCCACCTGCCCTGCCAGCTTGTGTGTGTGGTGGCAATAGCGGTGGTGGTGGTGGTGGTGTGCGTGGGTGAATGGATGTGGTGGACAGCCACAATGTGACACGCGAGCTGGTTCGTCTCCCAGACGTCGTGGATGTCGTGGATGTCGTGGATGTTTCTCACGACGGCAGGTCGGACCCTCATCGACAGGAACAACAGCTTGATGAGGCATGGATGAGCGTTTCAACGGGCGGGCAATTCAGGGGCAGCGGTTCCACTCCAGAGCTTAAGGCCGGGAAACCAGGAAAGTCGCGCAGGGAAACAATGGATCGTGACGGGGCAGTCAGGGTCTTTTGCTTGCTTCTTGGACGGCTGTATGGTCGGATGGGTGGATTGGCGGCAGATGGGCAGATGGGGAATGAGGTGTTGTCGGAAGTGCAGCTTGCCGAGACCCTGCCAACCTACGTCGAGTCACATCGTGCTTGTGATGACCCGAACGACAAACAAGTTGATACAGTACTTTGGGCCTGGTGAGGAGTAAAACGGGAGAGGCATGAAGCTCCTCACGGCAGGGCGGTAGAGTAGCTGAGCAGGGACGCGTCCATGGCACTCGATGCTTGCCTGCGACCGCGTCTCAAAGGAGGGGTGGTGGTCTGCCAAAGATGCACCCGTTTACGTAGCCAGGCAGCACGGCCTCATCATCATCAGCAGCTTATCGGGGAGCTGCGCTGGGTTGCTGCGTAGGTGGCATGGCATGGGTGGGAGAGCTGAACGGCGGGAGGTGCAAGGTGGGGTCGAGGAGAATTTTGGCGGGGTAAGTACAGTATACGGCAGGAGCAAGCTCTCTCACACATCCCACATCCCACCTGCCACCTGCCACCTGCTCCAACACAGGCCTGCCATTTGCTGTGAACAACCACAAAACAACCTGGGAAGGAAGCAAGGTACGGTCTCACCTGGGCACTATATTGGGCCAGTCGAAGTCGAGAACTCTAGGGTGTGGACAGTTTCTGGCTTTGACTTGACTTCTGGTCTCGTCTCAGCCAGGAACAGAGACGGAGACACAAACACAAACACAAGCACAAGCACAAGCACAGGCACAGGCACAAGCACACACACACACACAAATATGAACCAGGAACAGGATGCCAGTTCTCACGACATTGCATTGCCTGACTGGGCCTGACAGCGAGTCTGACAGTCATTTACTCTGGGTGTCTAAGACCATTATGCTCCACCCACACTGATTTGGGTAGCCTTGCCTTCTCGTCCTGCTCATCCCGGTTAGGCCCGTCTGAGTTTTCTCTCTTTTCCCGTTTTTTCGCCCTGCCGACAGCTTCCTTATTGTCCTTAGCAAATCACTATAGGCCGAGCTTTCTGGACGCCTCATCCTTCCCTCCAGCCTGTGATCCCTCATCTCCTCCCCTGCCCGTGGCCAACTCGGGACGAACAACCTCCGGAAGTACAGCACAGCAAGAGACTCCTTGGTCTTGACCCCTCCAACCTCTTGGGAATAGCAGCTAGGTAGGTGCCATCTCCTTAGACTGCATGCATATTTACCTTTACCTTAGCCTTGGTAGAGTGTCTGTGTCTGCCTGTCTGTCCGTCCGTCTATCTGCCTGTCGTCTGGCTGCCAGCCTGTGTCACGATACACGGACTGGCCAGCCCGCTGCTTGTTCTGCTTGTTCTGCTTGTTGTACTTGAGGCTACTTGCGGCGCACCCTGTTACCCTCGTCTGTCTTACTGTTACCACCCGCCGTACAGATTACTTGTTCCAAGCAACCTTGTGCGCCATTACTCACGTACACCCAGCTCTTTGCGACACACACCCCTCCTCATCAGCTCTAGCCTTGGACACTGCGCCAACAATTTTCTTCCTAGATAACGACCGTCCTCTCTCACCACCTCTCCTCGCCTGTTCCCCCTTCTTTTCTTCTTTTCTCCTCTCCATCATGCCACCAGCCTCTGAACCCCAAGGCAACCTGGCCACCAACCCAGACGCCTCTGCATCCTCATCGTCCTCCTCTGCCGCCGCCCATCATGCCTCGGGACGACAGCCCGCCGCCGCCTCCTCCACCTCCGCCGAACTCGCCAGTGCAAAGATAAGCCTCGAGAAGTCCCTGCGCCGCTTCCCCGACTTCCCCATCCCCGGTATCAACTTCTTGGATATCATGCCATGGTTCCTCGACCCGGCCATACACGCAACTCTCCTTCGCTCGCTCGAGCTGCAGCTCCTTCACTTTGGCGACTCCGGTAACGCCATCACACCCGATGTCATCGTCGGCCTGGACGCCCGCGGCTTCCTCTTCGGCCCCGGCCTGGCCCTCAGGCTGAATGCCAGCTTCGTGCCTGTTCGCAAGAAGGGCAAGCTGCCTGGCCCCTGCGTCACCGCTGAGTACACCAAGGAGTACGGCACCGACTACTTTCAGATGCAGGAGGGCGCCATCAGGCCAGGACAGAAGGTCCTCGTCGTGGATGACATCATTGCTACTGGTATGATATTACTCGACTTTCCCATTCTAAAAGAAAATGCATCCCGAGAATACTATTCTCGGTGCAGGAGAGCGGCGGATGTGAAGCGTGATATCTAACAGTTGTCTTCCTTACAGGTGGCTCCGCCGCGGCCGCAGGCGACCTGATCAAGCAGCTCGGAGGCACATTGGTTGGATTCCTTTTCATTATTGAGATCCCATTCCTCAAGGGACGCGACAAGCTGGACAATGTTCCCGTCGTCACTCTACTCGATGTGAACGAATAAGCCAGTCAAACCAGATGACTCGGAAGCCCGACGCAACCAAAGCAGACGGACAGTTGTCTAGCTCGGGCTTGGTCGCACCCCATCTCCGGTCACAGCGGCCCAAACGGTCCGATGCCCCGATACACCTCAGCACCTGGTTCGACTTCCGATACCTCGCAGACCGGCAGAAATCATTTACACAACTACGTTATGACTGGAAAGGCTCTTCTTGTTACATTCAAGGCTGGTCGCATTTTATCCCGCTTTTGGGTTTCCCCACGTTGCTCGATCTTTATTCAGGGTCAAGTCTTGGGTCCGACGACCGAGGAGGAGCTTGGCGGGATGCCAAGCTCGACCGGTTCGCAGTATGCATATGTGGTACGATGTGGTACGAGCCAACTGGAGAAATTTAGACCATTGATTGAACGTTTGGGCGGGCATTTGGCTGGATAGATTTCGGCGTTGAGGGTTTCAAAAGTAACCAGCTTTTGATGGGCTCCGCCAATACGTTTGCTTTCACATTGGCAATGGCCATTCTACGGCTGAAATGAAGGCATTGCATGAATGAGATTGCACCTCGGTCTCCCGTAGACCGCCCTGCTATTCCCAATAGAACCTTGTAGAGCACTGCCACATGTTGCACTGGCAAGTGAATGTTGTGAGGTGCCCAAGACAAGACTCTCATCAGGCTAATCCCCATGACAGCCCTCCCGCGCACATGCATTCATTTACCGCATGTGCCCACAATAGTGCTATGCAGCATGCACTGCGAGAACCCGAGTCGTTCGATAGTTTCTAGAAGATACCGGGTGTCCGATGTGCTGAGGCATTTCCACCGTGAATTGTGGCCGGTTTGGCCGGTTAAGAGCGGGCCACGCCATATACGCTCCTCTCCTATAGCAGAAACAAGGAAACGTCCCGTGTAATACGAGCAGGCCATGACAACAGGCTCTTCCCCCTGGCGCAGCTGATCTACCTTACCGTGATTGAGCGGCGAGTAAAAGGCATAGAGTATGTTCGAAAGGCAGGTAGGTACCCAGGTGCCATGTAGACAAGAAGAAGGTTCAGAAGGGTCTTGACAGAGGTATCATGATGCTCTGATGCTAGTGTACGCTTGTGGCAATGGTATAGGTCTATGTGATATGCCAGAAAAACCAAGAAAAGACAACAAGCAACGTGAAAGAAATAAAAGGAGAAGATCATCCTCCCCCGCTTCGGCATAAATATGTCCAGTGCCTCATGCCAACATCACGCTATTTTCCGCGCCGTGCCGTCCCGTTCCGATCCCACCATCAATCCTTCAAGATGGGAAGCGGCGGGTAGGTACATCATACAAAAGCTTTACATCTGCTAGACATGGGCAAGCGCCTACCCCAGGCGCTTGATCTCCCCGTCGTCAATGATAACATTAGATATCCTCCGCCCATCGCTCTCAACGCCGTACCTCCTGCTCATGCCTGCCCGAACGATGTCGCCCGCGGCCAGCCGGCGGTAGGCCTCGTCCCCGCCGCCGATCATCACCATGGGGATGGGATGCCGGCGCAGGACACCGCTGGGCGTGCGCTGCTCCTCGGCCAGCAGCGGTCGCGTCATGCCCATGCCGCCGCCCTCCTCCTGCCCCTCGTCGTCCGACACGATGACCACGAGCTGCAGCGACGTGGCCGAGGGCTTGTACGCAGGGATGTTGGCCAGCTTCTCGCTGAACGTGCACCCGCCCCGCCGGATGATGATGAGCTGGTGGTCCCGCGGCGCCTCCTCCGGCATGACTGCCTCGCACGAGAGCCCGGCTGCGTAGCTTGTGGTCCATGGCAGCACCGCCGGTTGGACGGGCCCGAAAGCTGGGATGTGGGCGCCTGCTGGGATGTCGGTTGGGGGCAGGGGGGCAGCGCCAACACCGATTGGTGTGATGGCTGTGGCGTTCAAGATGATGTTGAGCGGGTGTCCGTGTGTGTCGAGGACTTGGACTCCATTCGAAGACGGGGCCTGGCCTGTCGTCGACGATGATGACGACGAGTCGCGCATTTGGTGCCAGAGGTTGCGGAGAAGGCTGTTGATATTCGTTGCCAGGGTCTCAGGAGCTTGGGGGATCTCGTCTGTGCCGTGGTGGTCGGCGTCGAAAGGGTTGTACTCCTCCAAGATACCATCATCGGGCGGGGCACATTGCTCTTCCGGCGTAGCGTAATCCTCTGCATATGTAGTGGTGGCGTTTCCGGCGATATCTTCCTCAGTTGAGCCTTCCGCTGCAGACACATCATTTATGCGGTCATTATTCTCGCTGATGTCCACATGGTATAGTTGATGTATTTTGACCGTCGTTAGGTCTCTGACGAGCTTGAATTTTGTATCCGATATGTCCGCAAGTAAGGCCCGATTGAAGACAATATTCTCATCCCGTCCAAGACCGAACCCATTTACCTTGGTCACCCTGAGCTCTTGTGCGCCTTCAGGGCCTATTTCCAGGCGCATCGTAAGCTTCAAGCCCGCCAGTCTGTTGACTCTGATGTGATATGTGTCAATTCGATCCAAGTTTTGCGCGCCTATGATTGAATCGAAGACACCGTTCTGGCCGACCATGCCAAACTCGAGATGATATTCAGGCGGCTCGGAGACTTTGGCACAAGTGCCGTTCCCTGATAGCATGGTCGGTGGCAATGTCCAAGGAAAGTATGTGTGATTGTTCTTGATTCTGTACGTCCCAGGCTTGTCTCCGGCTTCTATGCCGGCGTGCATGTTGGGCATCATATGCAAATCAAGCATGCGGGAGGCGTGAAACAAGTCTGTTCGCGCAGTAATGCCAGACCCAGTGAGGGACAAGGTCTCTGGAGGCATGGGACACACGTTCCTGAATTCCTCATTGTAGTAAAACAGCGCGATTTCCTTCGTTGCGGCTGGAGGAACAGGTCTCGTCCTCGTGAGATGCTTGGACTTTTTCGGTATGATCAGAGGATGGCCCTCAGTGGTGAAGACATAAGCGGCATCTAATGAGTTGAGGGGATGGCTATCGTCGTAGAGCAAGTACAAATACTTAGTCGTCTCGCCAAGGAAGAAGCTCTCCATGCGATCAGTCAACTCTCCTGTGATGACGTTCTGGATGCCCGCAAAACCGCATTCGGTTCGACAGCGCCGGTTGATATCACGCATGACCATTTCACCAACGTACAGGTACCAGGTGTCCTTGGTAGCGCGGTAAAGGTGGTAGGTCGATTCGATGAACTCTGGTCGCAGTGGCCACCATCCCAGGCCTCCTTCGACATGCTTTTCCTTGAAGGACCATCGTTCGGGGAGTGCGGCATACTTGGTCCACAATGCAGCATGAAGCAAATTTGTTTCGATAGCTTCATCCAGCTCTCCAGCCAAGATCAGAAGGCCGGGGTAGTATGCGCCGAGACTGTCTATCCATTGGGACGCTTGCGAACCAGTGAGAAGATTGACATTGACGTAGTGGGGATGGCCAGTCTCGTCATATTGATGGTGCTTGATTGCAGCATGTGCATGATGCCAGGCGTCCAAAAATGCTGCGGGCGAGTTCTGTTCTTCGGTCAATGGAGTCCACAGCTCATTAGGATCAAGCCAGGTGCTGTCCGAAGTGCGCCGTTCTGGAGTGGTCATGTTGGGTATTTCGTGGCCTGAAAGTAAAATATGCGATTTGAGGGCATACTCAAAAAAGCTGTCGGCACCGGCGCCGATGACAGCATGACCTCCGATCCAGTTGCCATGTTCGGCATCGACACCTGCGCCTATGAGACCAATGTCACTCCTTCGATTCCAGACAGCCCAAAAAGCGCGTTTGGCGACCTGCTCAAAGCGCGTATCGCCAGTAAGCCTGCTCAAGACGGTGAACTCCAGCACCAGGCTTCCAGCTCCCGCGCTGCACGTCTCTGTGATATCCGCAGAGCCTGGAGCGTTGGAGCTTGAAGTACCTGAGAAGTCGTGGAAAAGAGGCGAATTTGGAAAGAATGGAATGCCATGGCGTAGGTTGACACGTGGGTACGGCATCCCTGTGTTGGTGTAAAATGCCGGCAATAGACGCTGGGCGAGGTCTAGGGCAAGGCGCAGAAGCTGCCCATCATATTTGAATCCGTTGGGCCAGGATATTGGAGGCAGCTCCAACGGGTCCTCAGGGTCCGTTTCGACCGAGGGTCTTGGTTTGTACCCGTTGATAGGCAGCTCCCCGATGGCGAACAAGTGCGCGCTGAGCAGACCTCCCACTCCGCGAATGACCGTTTCAAAGACCTGGATTTTACTGTCCAGATCAAAGCCCCTGGCCCGGGTGCCTTGGCCTGAAGATCCCGACCTCCCGTCTCCGTATAGTTCTACCAAGTCCGCAACGCCGCTCTGGAAGTCGCGCAATGCCTTGGCCCCAGTGCCCTTGTCATCAGGCGGCGCAGAAGCTAGTATCGCAAGAGTCGAGAGAGTATCGACGAGCGTGACGGAATAGTTCCCAAGGACGTCGTTTAAACCGATGTTGTTGGGGTTCAGGCTGTCTCTGGTCAGAGGGGCGCATGTGACAGGTCGGAGCTGTTGGACGGGTTGTCAGCGCAGAGCTCAAGACGAGACCGGACCGTGCGGCGGGGTGCGGCATACCTCATCGTCAGGGAAAGCCAACTTCATGTAGTTGTCGTATCCATGGTAGAACATCTCGACAGTGTCGTTGCGCAGACTCGCGATGCGGTCGGGCCGCATCGCCCATGTTTGGTCAAGCCATGCAAGGAGCAACAGGGCGATGCAGACGACTGGCGTCGACAACGACATTGACACCGAGACCGACGGGGGAGAAGCCATGCCCAGCAGACGTCACCTGCAGCAGACACACGAATCGCTTGAAGCCTTCATAGGGCCTCGGTTCCCAGGGAACGTCCCCGAGTGGGATAAGATGTGATCGATTTGTATGTGCCGAGTTCCTTGGTCGCGCTGTCGTCTTGTTTCGCCTCGTCTATTTTCGAGGGCTGCGCGTACCGGCGCCAGATCAAGAATGAATGTGGTGTCCCCGTACACTGAGTAGCAAATTAATAGGCTATACGTTATTGTAGATGCTTGTGTGAGCTGGATGAAGAATTCCAGGCATGAGATCGACTTCCGAATTGAGCAGTCTAGACTATGCTGTCATCTTGCCGGGATTGAGGCGGGAAGGGGAGGGATCCCTCTTCCATTCTTGACTTAGGTAATCAGCCTTGTTTCAATTGGTCCACTCCGCAAGCCCATCTCTCTGGACCGTTAGTCTACAGTATCGCCGACCGTTGACCCGACCATTGAAACGGCTATCGACAGAAAGCAAGATCCCAGTTTCATTCTATGCATTCATATAATTATGCAGGCCTTCCGTGTACTGTACATAACTGCACGCGTCTTTGGACCTGCTTGTCACCAAGAAGAGATGTCTGCCATCAAGGGCTATCTCCGACTACACCCCGTCTTGGCTCTTGGGGTCCCGGGACAAACATGCTCGTATGCAGTAGGCCGAGTCAAGACATTGAGGCGTAATGTCGTATTCTCAGCGAGATGCTGAGCTGGTCTCGATACCTCACCTCACCGCCTTCATCTTCTTTTTCGGACACAATCTCATATTGGCCATCGAGGCGACCTCCTCTGGCCCAGTTTCCTGCATGAGAGCACGAGAGCATCATGGCATTGGCTCAACTCCTTGCCGCAATGCACAGACACGACTACAGCCTGCAGAAAGAGACGACAAACTAAGGCAGTAAGCTCCCCATACGTCTGTACTCCCGAGTACGTTACTTCCTATACTACCAGCCAGGGCTGAGTTACTCCTGTCGCCATGTCACTTCACCGACCCCTTGAACAACTCCCCTGCCTGGATGCGGACTTGTGGGAACTCGTCTCGATACATGCGTCTTCTTCGTTACCATGTTCCCGGGCCATCACCCAGCGGGGTCCACGCATGAACGCTCAAAGGATGTTGTCGCATGCCATGACTGAGCAGCTGGCTCGTAACCAATGGCTCGCTTGTCACAGACGTGGCTTGCTTTAAAGCGACTTCATCCTGCGGCACATTGCAGCACGCGTGGCACAAAGTTGGAGCGACAAGCCGTCCCTCCGTGACTCGGCTATACGGCCATCGGCTCCTTGAATCTCGTGTTCAAAATTAAGAACTTCAGTCTTCTCTATCCGTTGCGCGAATGGGTTGTCCCGGTATAAGACCTTCACATGCCGGTGCTGCTAACGTAGTCATGCAGCGCGACTCCCTTCACCTGGCGGTGTTGGGAAGTTTACTCCTGGAGAAGAAAGAAAACAAAAGAACAAGAAGAAAAGACGTGAGAAAAAACCACGTACAGCCTGCGTTCGGGAAGGAGTAGCCCCGCATGCTCATCCCGTCCAGATCCTCCGTGGCTGAGGATGTCGCCAGCCGATCTGCGCTCCGGACGGTTGAACTCCTGCCCCATGCACGATGTATTCTTTCTCAGCTCAGACCCCTCCATCGCCACCCCAAAACAAGCTGTCGATGTCAAGTTGACCGGCTTCGAATGGGCTACGGGGTGCATCTCTTCCAATTCCAGCCTTCTGGCCCTATTTCGAGCTGTCGACTGACTTATTACCTCAAATCATACGATTACAACCTTGCGTGGCCGTCCAGCTTACAAATGACATCTTTGAGGGTATTTTGGCCCCCAACTCTTGGGTCACAACGCACAAGATCTACATCCGACCAAAATAAGCAACCGAAAACCATCGGTCTGGAACATATCACATGCACAACTCGACTTATATTTCGGCGACCTACGTTTCGGCAATCATTGAGCTTGTGTCTCGTCGTTGACTCTTCCGAAAGGAAAAAGCCGCCGCTTGCACGTCTCAATGACGCGGGACTGTATATATGGTGTCAATGTTACCCGCAGGCGTGTCGAGCGGCGACACACTTCCAAGTCGCGAAAGGACAAATCATCACGACTATGCTTTACGCGACTTTCGAATCCCCTTGATGACGAGGCTGGCAGACGGTCCGCAAGTACTTCTGTGCGCACATGTGCGGGCGCAATACTGCAGGCCATTGAGACTACTGCAAGCTGCCCCGTTTAAATCACCACCCACTACGTCTTGCTGCTTCTGGACATGCGTCCGAGGCTCAGGCTGCAGAGCTTCATTTGACCAGTCAACACTCGCATTGCTCTGATTAGATGCATGGTCTTGCAGCACAGCGCCTCGCTTCCAGACGGTCGGAACCAGAGCTGACCATACAGATGCAGCTGCAGGCGCTGGAGCCACCAAGAAAAAGTTAACTTGCTGCACCAGGTGCCAGCGCAGGAAAACAACCAGCATCATCGAGGAATTTCTGCGGATGGTCCTTGACCGACACTCGCTCATCTGGCCTGTGGAGGAGGACTAGCGAGCGTACCGCCGCAGAATCCTCTATTAAAAGGCACTCCTTGATGCGCTTTCAACATCCGTCCCCACCCCTGCTTACTAGGCGTACCGACGTTGTACTCTACACTAGTACGCTACAACTTGGTCACTTGAGCTGGGATTTGCGATCGGGCGGAGTATCATCGTGCCGGTCGGCACCCCAACCGTCGAAGCACGGATGTACAATGGCGCTTATTAGCAGCCGTTATCGATCCTTGGCGTACGGTTGGCGATTTGTCCTGAACCGGGAACAGCTCGTTGCCGCGATGAGGGGGGTCTGTTCTGGCCGCTTGGTTGCTAAGGCAGGTCAAGTATTTCTGGTCTGCAAGGTTGCAAGGTTCCGGCTCCTTCACGGTCCACTCGGTGAGGTACAGAAGCCGGGTTCTTTTGACACACCATGGTATGGTACCAGCCAGCCCAGTTCCCCCCCGGCATATGCCCAAAGGCATACCGCTTTTGCTGCTTGCTCGTCCATGAGAGGATCACGGCACTTCTGTAGGCATGAATCTCATCTTACTTGACGCCATTGCGCAGTGAATGAGCTGCATCCACGTCCAAATAGAGTGCTTAGTCGAGTCGATCGAGCGAGGACCCTGTTGCTGCTGTCAGCCGCCTAGTGCGAAAGAGTCACTCACTGCCTTCGCCCTCCCACAATTCGTTCTCCATTCTCCGTTCCCCCTGCTCCACCCTCTCCAATCCCCCAGCCGCAGTGCGTTTTTTGTTTCAGCCCTAAATCGTCCTAAAAGAACGGACCCCCACACGATCAGACGTCAAGGGGCCGCGTGCCGTCATTCCGTGGTACTTGGCGCGTTGCGCGAACCTCGGGACTTACACGCCTCGTCCTACTGCAAAGTACCTTTCTTCCCTCCAAAGTCTACCGTTCTTATTTCAATGGGTATCCCGGTCTATTTTCGTTACTGATGAGTATCACTACAATCAAAGCCGGCCCCTAACAGCTAAGTTAGGATGATCCACGGCACTACCAGCCTAGTACCGCAAATCGAGGTGATCTCGCCTGCCTGTTCTTGCCTTTGACTTTCTGGGCCCTGTAAAGTACCCCGTCTACAGTGTCATCGGTCTCGCTCTGCATGAGCTGGGCATTGGATGGTGACGGTAAGCCCGCAAGGCAACAGTTCCCAAATCTGCCAGTCGCGGTACCGCGGAATTTACTAGTCTTGTGACAGGCAGAAAACAGACAGAAAGTGGCAGCTTGCCTAGCTGCCTGCAGCATTTTCGGACAATGCCGAAAAATCAGTGGCTGTGAAGTGATTTGTAGTAGGCAGAAGACTTGCAATTATTAGCCAATAATATTTGAATTTCAGGAATTGTCCCTAGGATATGACAGACTAAATCTATCTATTGTACGTCAGAAAGGTAATAGTGTTCAGGATCAGGCAGGACCTGGTGCAAGTAATCTCTTCACAGTGAGTGAGCAGAGTCGTAAAAGCCAAATAAAAAAACAAATGATTGGGAATCTCTAACATGAAGCATAGCCGCCGTTCCAGAAAACAAACACAAAGAAAAACTCAAAACAAAAACACAGCGATTCGCCGTCCTGCCAGTAGCGCACTTTTAGTTCGAAAAGGAGAGAAATTCTTTTTCCGCGCACTCAGAAGAAGAAGATGTAGAAAAGGGGAAAGTGAAGATCTATGGCCTCGCTGCCTAGAATGACCCAGATTTACCCCAAGACCAAATGTAACAATGATGAAGCGAACAAGTATGTAGGTACTAAGGTATCAGACAATTGCCCAAGGATGCCACCCAAATCAAAAACAACAAAGCAGGAAAAAGGAACGTGAAGGCAGGGAAAATGGGACAGCCCAATTCCCGTAAGAGGAGGGGATCTAGCTCCCTCTGCCTAGATGGAGCCACCAAGGCTAGATCGGCACAGCCCTCCGCGGGGAGGACGAAGAAATCGGAGGATGACAACTTGTAGATAGGGCTGCATTAGCCCCGAACCTTCCTATTCTCGTATCCGCACGCCCAGCAGACCAATGGGTCGAAATGCGGCGGCGCGAACAGAAGAACAGAAACAGAAAGTGTCATAGAAGAGGGTGGAAAAGGGAATTTCCCTGTTGTTGATGTCGCCGGCTGCAGCCGATTTATGTACACACAGAGAGAGAGAGAGAGGACGCGCCGCCCAGGGTAGCAGCGCTTGATTACACACCGGCGTACTGGTGGTGACTGCTGTGCTGCGATGGGCCTGACTGCTTGAGCAACTCGCCGCACGCCTGCCTGGCCATGGCGGTGCTGCGCTGGGTGTTGATGTCGGGCGACACGGACGCCGAGGCGATCATGCCGTTGATAGCAGGCAGCGAGGACGAGGACGGGCGGCTGCGGGGGAGCTGGTCCTCCGGGTACGGGTCCTCGGACATCTTGATGTCGTCGTCATGGCGCTGGTTGTTGTGCTGCTCCAGCGCGGCCAGCCCCGGCTCCGGGCTGGCCTCGAAGGACGCCCGTTCCAGGCACTCGTCGATCAGCTGCTCGTGCTGCTCGTCCGTAAGCGGCTGGGGCTGCGCGTTCAGCTGCTCGACCAGCATGTCGTACGAAGAGGAATTCGCCGACATCTCCCGCCTGTGCCCGATACCATACGGGTGCTGCTGCTGCGCGTAGTGCTGGCTGGGGTAGTGGCTGAACCCGGTCGCCAGGTCGAACATGGCCGGAAGCCGTTGCTGCTGGGGCGCAGGGTGCTGGATAGAGGAGGCCTTTGCGTGCGCGGGTCCGAGCCCGGCGGCTGCGCGGGCGCTGTGGCGCGCGGGGACCTGGACGCGCCTCCTGCGCGCCTTGGACGGCTCGCGCTGCTTCTGCTCCAGGCCCTCCTTGACGAGCTCGGCCTCGACGTGGATGCTCTTCCATTCGTATGCAGGTTCGCGGCCCTCGCTCTGGAGCTCCTCCATGAACATCCTGAAGATCTCGTTGTAGCGGTTCTCTTCCCAACGCACGTAAGCACGAAGCAGTGCGGCTTTCTGTTGAAGGACGGGGAGAGTCAGCTTCGTTTTGGTGCAGTCAAAAGAGTGTCAGGGGCTGGTGAAAGATAGATGTGTGTACTTACGTCGCGCTGTGGCCAGGAGCCGTGTCTCAAGACGCCCCTGTGGATTTTCATCTGCAGGTTCGCCTTGACCTGCGTCTTCTTGTCCTCGCTGAGGGCGTCGGCTTCTTCAGGGCCCAGGAAGTCCTTGATGATGTTGTCCCACATGCCGTGGCCCCTCTTGCCGTACCAGTTCTGCCTAATGTTCCACAGCCGTCTAAGGTCAGCCGGCGTCTTGTGGTCCAGATCAACCTCATCTTCTGGCAGCCGAGTTGTGTCGCCACTCCTGCCGGCTTCGTCGACTCTGAAAGGCTGAGACACCATTGGCGGGCTGGACGACTGCTCCTTCTTCACACGGGCCTTCCTGGCGCTGGGCTTCCGACTAGAGTGCCTCTTAAGCTGGAGCGGTGGGGGGCGTCCATAGTTTGATGGCGAGAGCCTCGATATTGGGACCACGTCGCGGCGGTATGGCCCTGGCTGAGTGTGTTGTAGCAGGTTGGGAGCCAGTGGCCTGTGTGTGTAGGATCCGCTGCCGATGTCTGGCAGGCTTGAACCACGGAGTAGTCCGTAGGAGTTTTCATTAATTGCATTCTGTAGGTAATATGATGGCAGCCCATCTGGATCTGGCCCCACAGACACGCTAGATGCGCTGTAGTGACCAAAGTATGGGTTTGGCTGCGGTGGTGGGATGGAGTCTTCATGGCCTGGGGAATTGTGGATGTTGTAAGGTCCAAGAATGTCGTGGTGGGGTGCCTGCGACACTGTTGCTGGCACGGCCATAGGAGAAGACGCCTGGCTCGTGCTGGTCAAGAAGTCTGGGTAGGGGTACATCGTGGATGTATTGGGTGGAGTTGGCTGCTGTGGGCACGGAGACTCCTGAGGCTGATGATACGGTGACTGGACCTTAGACCGCTGGTGTAATGGTGGTGAAGCAGCACTGGAAACTGGGGTCAAGAGGTTGTCGTCGTCGACAACAGTGGGCTGGTCAAAGGCCGAGACCTGTTGGTCTTCGTTAGTCAAGAAGGTCTGGGTGGTGTGATATATAGAGGTGGTGGATGGGATTTTTGCGCCTGCTTCCTTCACGCGCATATATATGCAGGCGGGAGGCGGGAGCGATAGTCATAGAGGCAGGGAGACTCACAGAAGTATATATCTCGTCTGGATCCGGGTAGGCGGAAACAGTATCTGGGTGTCCAGTGGCGCAAGAGCCGTCATTTGTGTCCATCTGACTGTGCGCGCTATGGGCGAGATACTGAGGACTCGAGGCCATGTCGATGAGAGCTCGCATCCGGGTGGAGGTGCAGTCAATCCTTTTGTCTTCTTCAAAGAAATCTGGCTTGGGGAGGATGTCTGCCAGCTGAGTGATGGAGTGGCGGTTCGTGCGAGGGCTGATCTAATCTTCACCTTTGATTCGATGTCTCGAGCAGAAGGGCAGCAGTATGGGGCGGTTGGTTGTTGGATAACCGGATTATCGACAAAGAATGATAATGGTCTTGCCTTTGGAGGTCTTTGGGGATGTCAGGGGAGCAGACTTCATTTTAAAGAGAGCCTCGCCATCGGCAGAGCTCGAGGGGTCCCGCCTTTGAGCTTGAGCTGGGTGGGTAGAAGAATACAAGGTACATAGTGAGTGGAGCATCGTCCACGGCTGGTTGTAGAGGTGCTCAGTGGCACAGGCACGAGCGACATGGATAGAGATGGTAGGTGGAGAGAGAAGCTTCGCAAAGGAAGACTTTGTCCAGCCAGCAGGGGTGGGAGACAGCGTTGAAGTTACAACAGGGGTTACTCTACCTGGGTACATACCGACCACCCGCTGTGGCAGTTCAACCCGAAAAGTCTCAGACCAGGGCTCGGGAGTCTGTGAGGTGTACGGTACGTACTCCGTACTCCGTAGATAGGGCCGCAATGGGCGAGATGGCCCTTGTCCATCGGCGAGACGGCCACCATGGCACATGTAGTTTGACAGGTACCATCGGTAGAGCTCATGATTCGTATGTTAGCCGCTGGATGGTTCCGTGTCATTGTCAAGGGGGCTTGCCAGACTGGGATGGCACTACCTTATTCGGGTATGATACAGGGCTATTGTGACTGTTGGCCTCATCGACACAAGTGTAGTTAAGGGGCGGGGAGCGAGAAGGCAGACTGGCGACGGGAAGAAGTGTGAGGGGCATAGGGCTCAATGTCTGCAGCTGGACAGCGCCTAATGGATGGGGCAGTATGGGTGGGGAGCAGGGCAGGGCAGGGAAGCCGGGGAGAGTCCAGGAAGGAGGGCCTGGCGTGGAGTGCTGCGTAGAGCAGGGAATCCCGGAATAGAGTTGTCCTCAGAGCAAGGGGCAGCGACAGCAATGCCTCTGGCCTTGGCTGGGCCACATGTACATTTGTATAGAAGGAGACCCTCGGGGCTGTCTGGGTGCAAATCTGGCATAGCCCCTGTTTGCTCCCACCCTGGCAGCTGGCTTCTGACATCAGGCCATGACCGGGTTGTTGCTGCCCTTGCGATGTGTACTATGTGTATGATATACTGGGGCTCCCGTCGAGTGCTGGGGTCTTTTGGGGCAGCGGTGCGGACGGGAGCCGGAAATAGGTGGGAATCTTTGCGCCGTCGATAAGCCATGAACCACGGGCCACAGTGTATTTTTCTCGCAGTGGGTTCCGTTCCTTGAGGGGGAGGACCTGCGTGTTCTCGACGAGAGGAGAGGGTCTCGTGTTGCTCCACTCAGGGTTGCATAGAGATACACAACAAGAAGGCAGGTGAACGGAGAAAACGGGATAAAGCCGACAGTGGGGTGGAAGTTCTCTGTCAGCTGTTCGTGGCTTCACAGCAAGTAGCACATCTTGTGTCTGCTTTCTGCGGTCCGGTCTGCGTAATATGTCCCATGGGCTGACCGCGTGAGCCACCCTCCAACAGACTGGTTGTGTCTGTCTAGAGGTCGGATTTTGAGCCTGACAATTGCTTGTTGCCCATGTTGTGGCCACCACACTTGAGGTGTCAAATGCGCGAATGAGGGAAGCGAGCGAGTGCGGCGGGAGTCGAGGTGGATACGGCTCATGACATGGGCCGCGGTCGTCCATATTCGGCTGTCAGCCCCACAGAGAACAGGATCGTGAGAACAGGCAGGGTAGGGCAGATCCCAGGGTAGATTTGGCAACCCTTCTTGCGTACCCTCTCTCCAGCCCTCATGCCCCCAGACCGAGGTCGAATTCTTCGCATGGACTTCGGTGAAAATACTACCGGGAACCCAAGAGCAAAATATTACCGATACACAATTCTAAGCCAGGGGAAGAAGCCGCGGTGTCAGTGCGATGTCAGGCACGCAGCATGATATGCGCACTCTATGACCGAAAGATGAGGGATGTCATTGCGAAAGCCTGGGATATGACGGGGTTGGGAGATGTCCAAGTTCTAGCTAGGGTCTTGAGTGGTCGAAGGATCAACCTGGATGGTGACGATGACTTCAGCCTGAAGCAACGACAGACGGACGCGGGCTCAATTCTGTAGACGCGGGCTGACAAGGTACCGCTGAAATGACGAGGAAATGAGCAGCGGGAAGGCGGCACAGAGTGTCTGGAGACCCTGGGCATGCTATGTCTGGCTGTGAGAAAGTGACTGATCTTGCCTTGCTTGCTCTTGACAAGCGGGAAACAACCACACACACACAAATACGTGCACATGGACAGACACACAGAATCACTCCAGACATTCTGATGGTCGCCCGATATCAGCCAGCGACAAAGAGGGCTGACTGCAATTGGCTGGATGGCCAGACGAGACGAGACAAGACAAGACCGGGACCATGGTCAGAGGAGACAAGAGGGCCACGAGATGAAGGCTACGGGAAGAGGGTGAGTGGTAACAGGCAGGAGACGACAGGAGAATAGATGTAGACTACGTACCGTACCGTACCGTACCGTACAGTAAGCACGGGAGATACATCGCGGGGAGAAGAGAGGCAGGACGGGAAGGGTGAAGATCGGGGAAGACGGCTAGGGGCACTAGGAAGTGGGTGAGCAAGAGACATTGCGGGACGAGGAGATTGGTCTTGTTCATCGGCAACTCTGAGCGAAACAAGGGTCCGAAAAGTGGAAGACCCTGTGAGGAACGGATCGTCGCCAACGGAAAAGCGCGGATTGCTGTCTGGCGTAGGCAGGTGTTGGGCGTTGCAGTCGAAGTGGAACGCCGTTGCAGGTCGGGCAGGGGGTGTGATTTGACGGTTGACGATTTCGGTGTTTGACCATTCCCGCCGTCGCGTCTCTACTAAGTACATACCCCCCACCCCCAAACCACCCCTCTCTTCCGTCCCATCACACACACAGATGCCTGACGAACCGATGTGACGAGCAGCGAGTTTTGATGAACGCATAAAGGGGGATGCAGCCGGCTTCAGGTGCGACCTGGAACGGAAGGGCGATGAGGTCTGGCGTTGGATTTAGAGTTGTGTTGCTTGACCTCGAAACCGACTAAACCTCGGGAGAGATAGCGGACAGACGAGACTAATCAGCGCAATCGGCACTAATCAGCAATGACACACTCTCTCCCTCCCTCCCTCACTCGGTGGGCGCCGAACGGGAACAGCCCAAGCACGGACACAGTCACAGACACATGCGCACTAGCTGGCGGAAATTAGGCGCGCACACGGCTGGCTCTCGTCCCAATTACGAGTATCTGAAGTGCTCGAGAGACTCCGAATCCTCCCAATGGAACCCACGATGAAGTCTTTCATTTGACTCTGGAATACCGGGAACCTATCATCTCGGGAGGCTTTCCCGGTGGACTCGGGTCTGGGTATCCATATTACAAACAGAGCAAGCCCACCGTGCATCCCAGACACGTCATGTGGAAATGCCCCAGCAGGAGCTGAACTCGGACCCCCTGAGCAAACGCGTCGACGCGGTCTTGCAATTGCGCTCAGCATGAACGTATCAAAGCCTACTATTTGGCAAGATACGAGCGCCGCCGCCGCCTGCTGCTGTTCTCCCGTGGCCGTCTCCCCGCACCGCCTAAGCCGACGCGTTGACGACCGTAAAGCACATGATGTGCGTGCCCATGGACGAGGCCGAGGACAACCATGGCACGTTCGAGCCCCATAGGCCTTAGGCCCGCGCCCAGGTAGCTGATGAAATACGGGTGACCCTGGCTCGCGGCAGACGGGGCTGACTGGCGCAATCTTGGTTCCGTGGTGGACACTGTCGATCATCTGAGGTTCACAAGATGGGTTGTGCTTGCTTGGTGATTTAGAGCTAGGCATAAATCTGGTCAGTGCCCAGGGGACAGCCACAGCCCATCGACTTACTGCAAAGGAGAGCATCTACACAGATGAACCCTGGAGACGGGATGATTTTGGTCGCGCTAGAACATAGCGCAACAGAAGACGACCGGCAAATTGTGGACAGCAGGCAAGGCTCCGGATCCTGCGCTAAATTCATCGCAGACCAAGCCCGGCCTTTGCATGGAGTCAAATCCTCAACGGCTCGGCCAGGCACAGGTCCCAGTAGGATCAACAGAGTCAAAGACAACGACTTGTTTGATCGATGGCTACCAAGGCCGGTAGGAGGGGGGCACAACGGGCGAGTAGAGGAGGTCGAGAGACGAAACAAGCCTGCCAACAGACAGAGCTTGGTCACGGACATGGAGCCATTCAGATTCACGCACATATGCACACACACACACACACACATACACACTCAACACGCACACGCACACAGACACACACAGACAGACATACACATGCGCATACATACTCGCACACTGGGGTACCTCTATTCTCCTAAAGGCAGAGGGGTGTAACCAAGTTGTGTACCACGGTCGAGTATCTCCGGACGGTGGACGGTGACTGACGCAATCCGGCTAGAGAAGCGGAGAAGGGGAGGGAAGGCAGGGAGGGATGGAGTGTATATGATACAGCGCAGAGCACAGAGCACCAGGCACCAAGCACCAGGCACCAAGCACCCAGCACCCAGCTCACCGTACTGCACCCTACCACAGCATCTGGGTACCATAACACGGCGCAGCAAGACGAAAAGACAGAGCGTTGTAACGCCAAGCGAGGTTATGAGACCGGGCAGCGCTCTGGGAAGATGAGGCCAGCCCCCCGTACGAATTGTACGAATGAGCGGTAGCATCCATATGCGGCCAAGTGGGGTGACATGGGGGCTGAATGCGACTCCTGGGCCAGTCAACATGCGATCCAGTCTGTCGGGACGCCAAGACCACGCTATGTCACCTCATCCCAGGATGCTCCCTGCGAGTCGTGCGAAAGGGCGCCTGCAGATGCGGTGTCCCAGAATCCCAGA